CATCCGGATTTTTTTTTGATTTCCCGAGGACACGCTTTCCATGTACATCCCGGAAATCCCACTTGACTCTTCCCGCTTATTCTTTATTTTTTCCGTTCGACGGGAAATTTTTACATATTTGCATCAGCTCGCGTGCAAAAGGGCATACGAATTTCCTCATTAAAACCGGTCGGGTATAAGCCCGGAATGGCTTTTTATAATTGAAAGAGACTCGTAAAGCGCCTTTCGGGACGACGCGGCCTAATTGAGTTGATCGTCTAGGCGTTTTCGATAATTAATTGAATGGCCTGCGGCATATTTAGCAGTTAATTAAATTTTTCGTGGACGGAAACAATCGATCCTATCATTTTAATTTCAGCCTAGTTTCACGATCGCGGAACTCCCTCCGTACGTGTTTTAATCCGGGCATTTTTATTGTTACCTACGGTTCGTGCTCTAATAATGGAGCCCGTTCTACTCAATTCTCGGAGCATCAGAACTTCCGAACAATCACAGTTACCTAACATATCATTCCGAACTTTTTCGCTCGCGTAAAAACTTTCCGGGAAATGAAGTTTTCCGACTCTACAACACGCGGACGTCGAAATTTCTTTCGTCGGTTTTAATAAACTCGTGTCGCAGATAAACTTTCGGCTGTCGTTAAAAATTCGTTCGCGACTCCTGGGGAAATTTATGACCAGGATTTTAAGTAAGTTAAACGTTAAACGTTTAATTTACGCGGTCGTTAATTCGAACTATTCATTTTAATGTGTTGTATCCACTTAATAAAGTCGCGAAACGTAATTAAAACAAACAATCTGATAGCTGTCATTAGAAGACGATTAAGGGAAACCATGTATGGAGGAAATACAGGGAAATTTCGGACGAATCGGCAACAGCGCATTGTTGTTTTCAATAATTCTTGATGTGTTGCATTATTCTACAGCGAGAATCCATCAGTATAATTTGTATATGGATAAATAGAAGGCTTTTTTTATAGTATTCTACTATTACAACTAAAAACTATAAATAGCGAATCGATGAAATATATTAATTTTTGCCTCATACAGGTCATTTTATTCTGACAGCTGTCATTTAGAGAACGATTGAAGGAAACTATGTGAAGAATCGATGAGAAATTAATTTCTTTGAAAATTCGTTCTTTAAAAATTTATGCGGTCGGGTTTTTTTCCATTTAATCGATTATGCACCAGCAGCATATCGTAAGTTATCGTTAAACGTTTAATTTACGCGTTAGTTAATACAAATTAACGATTTTAACGCGTTGCATCCACTTAATTAAGGCGGGAAATGTAATTAAAACAAACTATTATAGTAGAAGAGGACTGGGCGCATCCGCCAAAATTTCAAATACAAATTTACCTTAAATCGGGCTATTAAAAATAAAAGGTTTCCGGGTTAATCGAATCGCAAAGGATCGCATATTTTTGAGCAAATCGCGCGGATTAATTTGTATTCGCACAGCGAAACAAAATCGGATTACTTTCTTTCCGCGGCTCGTTGAAAAGTAATCGGATAATTCGAATCGGGTTCGTTATTTTTTTTTTTTGATTAAAAGAAAACGGCATTAGAGACTTACGTAAACGGTTAGGAAAAAGAGCGTTTTAATTTTCTTTTTAGGCGAATCGCGCCGCGCCGGATTACGCCCGCTTCCGCCGCAACTGCTCCTCCGGTGAGTGAATAATACAAACGGATCGAGTTTTATTCAAATTATAAAATCTGCAAGTACCCTCCGAAATTTCCGATGTTTGTCAAAGAACTCTCCACTCTCCACCTACAAAGTTTTAATGGAAATCTAGAGGCGTCGCCTGATGTGCAAACACCAATACATCAATGAATTATTTATCCTCCGGCTAAATATTGACGTTTATTAATACCAAACGCGGCCGAGGTTTATAGATAGATAAAAAAAACGTGCTACAAAGCTCTCAATATTTGCTTTGAAACAATCCCCCGTTCCATTACCGCTTTAATCTCTAATTTGTTATGCGCGGTTGCCGCTCCGGGGTTTTTGGCGCAAATTCACTTAAAGCTCCGCGCACAAAAGCGCGAAGCGCGCCGCCGAAAACTTAATAAGAAACGGGATATTCTGCATCGTCTTAACAATAAGGGCATAACAAAGACTAACGATCCCCTTCGGATTTATATGAAAGCTTCATATTCCAGTCGGCACCTGCGGCTTTCAAGTGACGTCTCGGTTTCGAATTAGCCGGATTAATTAATTAATCTAACGTTAATTATACGACGGAATCGCAGTCTGCTCGCTCCCTGTTCCGGCATAACTAGATAATTTCGTTGTTTGTGCCCCGCACAAACGGGATTTTTCATCGGTTCTTTGCGGCTGTTTGCACGTCAAATAATAACGTGTATAACACGTAAATGGACGCCGAGACCTTCGTCAATGTCACGTTTGCGACGATGTCGAATTCCCGACGACGAGCAACAAATTTTTGACGTGAAAGATTACGTACGTATGATTAATGGTTGGATAAGGGAGAGGCAAGCTCGTTATGGAATTCGTGGGCGACAAAACGTAAAACTAAAAACTTTTTGACAAATACGCCGGAAATGCCGGAGTAATCGGCAACACCGCATTGTTCGGCAACACCGAAACTATGGCTCTTTCGTATGTTTAGTTACTCTATTAATGAGAGAGGCTCAAAAATGAGAAAAAAATTAAAAGAATGAAACTATGTTAAGGAAATAACGGGAAATTCTGGGAGAATCGGCAACACCGCATTGTTCGGCAACACCGAAACTATGTCTTTTTTCATATTTGATGTTTAGTTACTCTATTAATGACAATTTGTTAATGAGAGAGGCTCAAAAATGAAAAAAAAAATGGAAAAAATGAAACTATGTGAAGGAAATAACGGGAAATTCTGGGAGAATCGGCAACACTGCATTGTTCGGCAACACCGAAACTATGTCTTTTTTCATATTCCATGTTTAGTTACTCTATTATTAACAATTTATTAATGAGAGAGGCTCAAAAATGAAAAAAAAATTAAACTGTGTGAAGGAAATAACGGGAAATTCTGGGAGAACCGGCAACATCGTATTAATGTGTTCTATACTTGTTAATTCTATACCTACTTGTTTAGTTTATTTTATTAATGAGAATCCAGAATAATTTGTATGAATAAGGAAAAGACTTTCTCTATTGTATTTTATTCTTACAACTAAAAATAGCGAAACTACATGGAAGAAATCCGGGAAATAAAGAACGAATCGGCAACAGCGGATTGTTGTTTTTCATAATTGTTTTTTAGTTACTCTACTAATGAGAGGCTGAAAGATAAAACAACACCGAAACTAAGTCTTTTTTCATATATCGATTGTTCTGTTATATTACTCTATTAATGACAATTTATTGATGAGAGAGGCTCAAAAATGAAAAAAAAAAATGAAAAAAATGAAAAAAATTAAACTACGTGAAGGAAATAACGGGAAATTCAGGAAAATCGGCAACATTGTATTGTTGTTTTCTATACTTTTTGATTAGTTATTCTGTTAATGCTAATTTATTGAAGAGTGGTCATTTTATTTTGATGGCTATCATCAGAGAACGATTCAGGAAACTGTGTGAAGGAAATAAAGGGAAATTCCGGACGAATCGGCAACAGCGCATTGTTGTTTTCGACACTTCTTGATTAGCCACTCAATTAATGAGGATCGAGTGGAATAATTTGTATGGATAATCAAATGGCTTTTTCTTATTGTTTCGTGCTATTATAACTAAAAATAGGCAATCGATGAGATAATAATTTACGTCTCACGCAGGCCAATGTATTGTGACAGCTGTCATTAGAGGACGATTAAGGAAACCGCGTGAAGGAAATACAATTTCTGTTGGTGACTTTTTTATTCGACCATTCGATACTTTTGTTGCGGAAAATATTGCCCGAATAGATCGTAAATACATAGTACATGTTTAAAGGGGCTCCTTTTACTTCCATCCGGAATTTATCGTTTGATATAATTCATAAATTTCGCGCGAATATAGAAAAAAAAATGCGGATAACATAAATTTCTTTTATCGTAGTATCTATTGGTGAGGTTAATAATTAAAATTGGAAGATCTCTCGAATCGAATTTTTATATTGTGTTCGAGAAAAACCGATGATTTTACGACGAAAATTCGTCCAGATTCGCAATATTTTCCGATAGATACGATTTGCGTGATTTCCCACAGGAGATTACTGAATAGCTCGAATAATGCCGGTTTTTTCACAATTTTTCCGATGCATACTATGGCCCGAGACGTTATCTCAGTTTTCATATCAATGGTAATGTTCCTGAAGAAAATCCGAAAGGAAAGCCCGCTTTCCCTTGACAGCAAGCCGATCTTTCCCAAGCGATTTCTATTAAAAAAGCGTCTCTACAAGATAATTGACGTTTATAAAATTAGCTCAAGTGGAGTTAAACCCGGTGCAATTTGTAAAAGATAATTTAAACCCTTTCCTATCTCATTTCCACTCGAACATCAACAATGTAACACCTTAATTAAACTCAAATTAGACCTCTAGTTTGTCTTTGACCTTTTGCTAGAACACTATGCACGGAATGTGTGTAGAGAATTTATAGGGCAAAGAAAACCCTCTTAGTTCTAAAATCTAATAAGAATGTTAAAGCCCGAAATCTTGGCGAATTATAATCTCTTCCACGGCGCCGATCTAATTAGTTTACCTTTCCTAATCGATTCATCTCCCATCCAATCTCGTTAGATTCAAGCAAATGTTGTGCAACATAACTAAATTCGCATAATCAAACATTCCTCCATGTATAAGCCATTTATTACCTTCTGTGCTATTCAGTATTTTCCTATCAAGTAGAAACAAAAAAAAAGGCCGCGACGAATCTCATCATCCATGGATACAATGCTACCCACCTGTGAATCCCACGCGTTCCTCCATATCCGTTCGAAATTCATCTAACCCCACCCGTTTGCACAGCGAATTATACGTTATACACTCGATTTATTTTCGGTCTGTTTTATTATGTCGACGGTTGTAAAATTGATTTGGGCCTTTTTCGCCGTCGCCATCGGCTCCATCACCGAACCAACGACCAGCAAATTGGGTACGTAACACTGTCATTATTCTTCTTTTCTCCGCCTTTGCACCGGCACGACGTTTGCTCGGTCGGATTAACTGATTGGAATCGTTTCGACAGAACCGTACATCGAAGAGGTCCCCGCTGTGGAAACCACCGGCAAGCGAAATTCGAACGCGGATTTCGGGAAATCCGACGATGCATCGAATGCTAAAGCGGTGAAAACAGCGAATGTTGCGGTGCAAACTGGCGATGGGACGGGGGAAAGGCATTGGAAAATGCAAGAGGTAATCGATAGCGTGCTGGCTTCGAAGGAATTCGCTGGGAAACTCGAAGGAATGGTGCAAAAGATCAGCGCTAAGAGGTTCGAGGAATTGGAAAAGGAAGTGGGAACGTTGCGCAATCAACTGGAAATCAACGCGTACGATCTGAAGGCTTTCAAAAGGCAGTTGAACAAATTGGAGAGGATCGAAAACGATACGTTGGAGTCGGTGAAGAAACACGACGGAATGAAAACAAATCTAAATCTCGAAGCGGCTATCGTGCAATCGACCGCTTTGAATAAGAATCTCCTGAAGGAACTCGACGGATTGAAGCAGAAACTCGGCCAAATGGAGAACGACACGCGCGAGTTTAACCAAACGCTAAACACGATTCCTAGAGAAACCAGCGAAGTGCCGATTTCGCAAAAAACCATCGATAGAATCGCCAGGAAAGTCGCCCAATCCATGGCGCAGAAACCGCAAAACGTCATCGAAAGACCTAGAAAAAAACCCGAGCAAAAATACCAGCGAAAACCCAAACGGAAAGCGCACGGGGATAGATATCCTTCGTTCTTCGACGTGATCAAGAATGACAAACGCCGAATGGGCTTGCACAGATCGAATTTCGATGCGATGGAAAACTGCCAAAGTTTCACTAACATAGCCAATCTAAGTACACCCAAATCCATCCAGACAACTATATGCTATAATTCAATCGATTCGAGCGAATTAAAACCATCAAACAACGATACATGCGATGTAATCGCGGGTAATATTAACTCATACACGATCACTATCACGATTTGCGACTTGGATCCAACCTATGATTACGATTTCGAAAATAACCCGGACGTTATTAACCAATACGGTAATCAAGAATTGCCATTAGTGGCAATAAAAATACCTGTGAGAAGACCAATCAACCCTAGACCTATCATAAAGCCCATCTATAAACCTTTAATCTCATCACCACTGCATGAATCCATTGGGTCTTATAATGGTAAATACCAAAACTCCAAAAAAAAACCTGCACTTGGACCAACACGTAGACCTAAACCTACCCATATGCCCAGGCCCAAACCAACAACACCAAGACCTCTATATTACGATTCAGATGAACAATATCATCAAACTGATACAGCTAATTATAATTTACATTTCTACGATTATGACACGCCTAATTACGACATTAGTTATGAAATTTCCGAAGAAGATACCAAGAGAAAACGGATTTTTGCCAAACTCATCGGACAAGTCGTAATAAATCTATTCAAAAGAGTGAATGAATACGAGAAGACAGATACATACAATCGCAACATAAAGCCAAGGTCCGAGGGTGTACAAAAACAAACTCAATCGAACGTGACAGCAGTATCGATTATCGAAACTTTGCTGCGATTAGGCAATAAAACTTTCCCTTTAGCTAGAAATCTCACCAGAAATTATTTCCGCGCGGATCCGAAGTATAATAAAACATGGACGAAGAACGATAGGATTATTTTCTTCTTGAAATATCTGTATAAAGGAGCGATAAAATCGATTAATAACATCAGCAAGAAAATTCCTACGTGGCAAATGCCAAAAAACCTGAACGGTTTGATGAAAAACAGTTACGACTCAGTCGTTAAAAATATATATAACACATTGAAACCTATGATGAAGAACACCAAATCAAGGAAATCCAGAAGATGTGAAGTGAATCCGCCGAATTATTTCGACAGCAGAGACACACCGAGGCTAATCGAAACCCATCCAAGCTCTTACTCAAAACATTATCCAAACTCTTATCCAGACCCTCATCCAAGCTCTTATACAGAACCTCATTCAAGCTCTAATCAAAAACCTCATTCAAACTCTGATATAGAAACTCATCCAAGTTCTTATGCAGAATCCCATCCAAGTTCTTATGAAAAACCTCTTCCAAGCTCTCACCCACAACCTTATCCAAATTCTTATGCAGAATCCCATCCAAGTTCTTATGAAAAACCTCTTCCAAGCTCTCATCCAGAACCATATTCAAGTTCCTATGCAGAACCCCAACCAAGCTCCTATGAAAAACCTCTTCCAAGCTCGTATCTAAAACCTAACCAAAGTTCTTATCCAGAACCTCATTCAAGCTCTTATCAAAAACCTCATTCAAACTCTGATCTAGAAACTCGTCCAAGCTATTATGCAGAACCCCATCCAAGCTCTTATGAAAAATATCATTCAAGCTTCTATCCAGAGCCTCAAAAACCTAATCCAGATTTACAACAACACAACGTTCCGAACATCCAGCACAGATCTGAACCAGTTCAAGATTATCTGGATGATGGAAGTATGATTAGGTATATCAAATTCCCTGTGGATGAACAACGATTGGATGTGTTAAGGAAACTCATCGATGGATCATGGCGTTTAAGGTGACTTTTCAAAGCGATATTTACCGTATTAGAAAAAATAATTTCCATAATTTTTCAGAGAAAAGTCGCTGACCAAGCTTTCTGTTGAAAAACAGACGGATTAATAAAATACATAATACAGGAAATAATCATATAAAAATATTACTAATGTAGAATTAATACTTTATTCGAGGAAAAACTTTTTTGTTAATTAATGATTGTAAAATATTTGCATTTAATTTAATTACCTGCTACTGTAATTGAAAACTAACTAAATAGTAATTTAATTAATTATTGAACCATAGTAAAAAGGGCATAATCTATTAGGTATTTTTACAATATGTTACGTCGTCTATTTTATTAGCCAGCCGACTGTATAATTCGTTTATTGTTCAGTCGATTTTTAATTAATATTTTATTGCTTATGAAAAATTTATAACTTTCGACTTTATTACTCATTTTTGTACAGGGTGATAAATGTAATTGTTATTGGTAATTAATCAGTTTCCTCGATAATACGATACATAATTTGATGGAATTTTAACTTAATCATCGACGTTTTAACCATGTTATTATTTGGTTCAAAATTGTGGGTTACAAGACATTTAATCAATTTAAAATGGAATATACCAAATTTTATGGTTAACTTTGTACATTTCAAAACCGTCGCATAACAATATAAGCCTACGAAAAAATCGTAAAGTGCCAAATTTGAATATTCCTAAAATTATTACGAACGCATTTCCATCGGAAATAATTAATTAAAATTTTTTTCTCCGTTTTACAATCGCGATAAAATAGAAAACAAAAGGATCATCACCATTTCGACTGAGTCCCCTCTCCGATTTCGGTTATTTTAGCAATGAAGTCCGTACTTCGGATTTGCATTGTTTGGATATGCATTTATGCAAATATCTCCACTCAGGCGGACATTTTACCTTCGTTAACAGGTAGGTTAATTGCATGTTTTGTTCACGCAGAAAACTAATTTCTCCTTTAACAGGCATGTTTCCGCCAATTTTTCAACCAGACGGGTTGGTGAAAAAAATTATGGACACCCCCAGAGATCTGACGAATATTTGGAGTGCATTGAAAATGCCAACGCTCAACAATCAAATTACCGTTTCAACAAAACCGTACGTGAATGTATCTAGAAATTACTACAAGAGTAATATAAAGAACAAGACAGAATTGAACAAACGTTCGAAACGATCAAAAACTACTAAAACAACCAATGAACTCATTACGGAGTTACTTCGATTATCATCAGAAGAATCGAATCAAAGCGGTGATTGCCACCAAACAATATCGAAAATAAGGAAGCTGATTGCCCAATTGGAGCCCATTTTACTACTAATATCGCACCTAAAAGAAGATATTTCAAATATCAACGAGAAAACTGAAGAAACTACGCAAAATATGAATGTAGAAGACCAAACGAAAGCTTTTCCTAGGGAACAAACCACGCAAGCTCCACGTAATCTTGAAGCTCATATTAGAAACATCTTAATGCAAAATAGTGCAGAAACCCCAATTACTGAGGGTAAGGGAAAATCTAAACACATAAAAAAACACAGTGAAGAAACTACTACAGAAAGGTCTACTTCTACTAAAAGAAGCCCAAAATTAGCTGAAACTTCACAACCTGCAGTAATCGATAGCTCAACGAAAGTTTCGCATACAGTTCACAAAGAAACACCTACAACAAGAAGACACAAATTCCATAAAAAATCTAAGGCAATAAAAGAAAATGATGATGAGTTTCAAGAGGAATCTGAGTTAACAGTCACAAAAAATCCCCAAAAAAGGCATGCCAAGAAGAAGAAAACTCGCCACGTTAGAGAAACTAAATATTCAACTACTCCAACTCCTATCGAAGAAGCCACTGAAGATAATCCAAGAAAATCCGACGAACCGACCACAATAGAAGCCACGTTACTTACAACTCCTGCTAAAGAAACCAATCACTCAACAGATTCCACTCCAAATTCAGAAATTTCTACTCAACGTATAAATGTTGAAACCACTTCAACATCCACTCCAACTAAAGATTCACTCGCAGAAACTACTACAATATCTTCTTTAACTGAACCAAGTACCACCAAGAAGTCTAATGAAGAAATTAATGATACCACTGTTACTACAATTTCACCTACAAGCACTAATATTCCGATTAAGGAAGCCACAACTGCAAAAATCGAAACTTCAATTCAACCAACAAGCACAGATAGTCCTGTTGAAAATTCTACTCCAGCGAGTGTACTGAAAAATACAGTTGACTCCACTATAAAGTCTTCAACAGTTACAGAACAGAACAAAATTGAAACAACAACTAAAAGACCTGAAGATGTCACCACAGTAAAAACAACAAACCTTCAGGAAGATAAAAAAGTAAATCTTCCAAAATTAACTCAACAAGATAACTCTGCTAGTGTTACCGAAGGACCTGGAATTACTTCATTGGTAAAAAACGCACTTCAATCCAAAACTCATTCCAGAAGAAAACGTTCGGAAAATGTCGACAAAACACCATCAATCAAAGACAAATCGAAGCTGAAAATCGACCTCAACGAATTGCCCGAATTTGTTAGAACGTTGTCGATTCAACAGGCAATTAACCAGGAATTTGATGGAAACCATAAACCCGCTCCGATTCCACTAACCATAAAACTGGACAATGCGATATCGAAACCCGTTAGGAATCAGAAAAAGGAAAACATTAGCTTGAAAAATCGATTGAGATTGATAGAAGAAAATTATCAGAAGATCCATAAGAAAAATAGAAAGTTGCTCGAAAGGCAAAAGCTCTTGGAACATCGTTTCAGGAGAGAAGGAAATTAATATTAATTTTATAAATAGTCTAGGTTATTATACATATTAAATTATATACTTGCAATTAATAAAATTGTCCTGTATATTGGAAATGATAGAAAATAAACAGTAATACACTCTCGTGTATGATTGGAAAACCAAATTTTTTTCCTGTTTTATGTTTCTCTTTTCCAAGCGAACCGCCCGATAAAGGACTAGATAAATTTGAATACACACATGCAACGTTTTCAGGGTGATTAAAATATACACCACGTGTGAATTCCAAGGGTTTAGGTACATAAATAAATATATTTTGTTTGTGAAGACAATGTCGTTCGATAATCAAACGGGAAATAGGAATCGATTATATTGTTGTTTTATGTTGCGCATGTAAAAATAAAGTAATATAATGTTTGTTATGTTATACATCTGGAATCGTATAACAGGACATTTCGATTCCCCTTTTACTGAAGAATTATACGCGCGTTTTATGCGGTTTATTCGAAATGAACACCCAGTATAGAGTGTTCTCGAAGTTGGTAGTTTGCATAATTTGAGACCCATTCCCAGATTTCATTTTTCTTAAAAATTTACACTAAACAAAATTTGAAATATTAAAAATATTTCAAAGAAATGCGGTCCTGTACATCGGTTGAAACCCCTCGACCGCGCGATAGATCGCGTTCACCGTAGGTTAGAATCGACACAGTAATGATTTATAAAATTATATCTTATTTCTCTAAATTTTCAGATTCATGGATGAATTATAAAAGTAAACAGGGATTTTCAAACAATAGAAGAAAATAACCGAAACTTTAAATTCGAAAGAAATATTGGCTCACCTGTTTTGTTGTCGAAGAAAAGTGAAGTTCATAGTGATTGTTTTTAATAATCCCATAAATAAGCACTAACTAAACTGAGAAGAACACTAAGAATTAACTAAATTAAGAAAAAACACCAAGAACTAAAACAAACAAATTAATCACTAAAGTCTAATCACAAAAATCTAATTAACCCCGATGTTATAAACAAAACAATACAATTCGCGCTAGACAAACAATCGGGATCGGTATCGTAAACATTTTTCTAAAGCTGGAGAGCGGAGGGGGAAATTTTCACTTGCTGATAAAATACACCGCATCTCTTTTTAATCAGCTGACTATTCAGGCCAGGGTTGTATTCGCTCTTTGCATTGATTTCTAATGGCTCTATTTTGTTTATTATAAATTTTTTAGAATAATGAAATCTGCGAATCGGTCTCAAATTATGCAAACCCACCCCTAGAATTTAGTACCATAAGTTCGAGAACACCCTGTATAAATTCGGCTCGTTAAAAACAGATAAGTACTGAAATAGTTAGCTTTGATGAATTATTCATATTAATATTCATGAAATATTGATTCACTTTAATTTTATGGTGATATTTTAGCGGTATCAATGTGCCAATCGCGGGTTCATTTTTGTAATGGCTATGAATAGATACAGCTTATCAGAACATTTTTTTTTTCGAATTTTCCGGCTGGTATTCAACTGCTAGATTTAAAACAAACGTTACCGGACATTGGAAATACGTTGAATTTATGATATTCGAATGTAAAAATAAAATGTGGAATTTACAGTTACTTTTTCACTTTATTTTCTGCATTTTTACGTACTCTATTTTATATTAATTTGAATGTGGGATATCCAGATTTCTGTATGTAAAATAAGGCTTTATATTATAGTTCATATTGGAGTAATTATTAGAATTATTAAATCGTAAAAACAAATCTATATACTAGTAGTTAGAATATAGAGGAATATTTGACAATTTGTGGTTGTGGAATTCGCATAAATTGATGCTGGTAACAGCTGTATTATATTCCACGACAAATCGTATCCTAAATTATCAGCCTACCAGTTTATTCTAGCGTATATCGGGGAATTGCGACGAATTTCGAATTGAATTATTCAGCAAATTAGGAATTTAAAAGAACTCTATCCCAGCAAATCGGCGTCACTTTAATACCTTTGCAAGTACTCTTTTCATCAAACGATCATCGAAAATATACTAGTCCAAAAATTTATGCCGAATTTACTTACATTTCCAGGCACAGAATATGCGTTAAACAACGCGAAAGTACAACCATGAGCACCTTAAACTCCACCACCGAATCTACCCCCGACAACTCCAGCGCCATCTACGGGTACTACAACACCACAGAAACTTTCTACGTACCGTACAACGAACGACCCGAAACCTACTTCGTCCCCATACTATTCCTCATCATATTCGTGGTGGGCGTCGTCGGCAACGGCACCCTCGTCGCCATCTTCATCAAGCACAAGAACATGAGAAATGTGCCCAACATGTAAGACGTCTTCACAAACCATTCAAAAAAGAGTTTCTAGTAAATTGTTTAGGTACATCCTTTCCTTGGCCCTGGCCGATCTGCTGGTGATCCTGACGAGCGTGCCCTTCACGTCGATGATCTACACCATGGAGTCGTGGCCGTGGGGCGAGCTCATATGCAAGCTCTCCGAATTCGCCAAGGACATCTCCATCGGCGTGTCGGTGTTCACGCTAACCGCCCTCTCGGCCGATCGGTTCTTCGCCATCGTGGACCCGCTGAAGAAGTTCCACACCAGCAGTAAGTCGATTACAAGGTACAATTGCATTCGCGAGCTGTCGCCGTGTGCGGTTTAAGGTGGAGGCCGGCGGGCTACCCGCATCACCGTGTGCACGGCCGCCTCCATTTGGATCCTGGCGGTGGTTTGCGCCGTCCCGGCGGCCGTGGCGTCGCACGTCAAAGGCTTCCCGGACTATCCGGATTCCAGGTTCTTCGTTTGCTACCCGTTTCCGGACTGGTGGAATCAAACGTATCCGCGCGTAATGGTGGCCAGTAAATTCCTCGTTTTCTACGTCGTACCGCTGACCATAATAGCTGTGTTCTATCTGAGCATGGCGGCTTCGTTGATAACGAGCACCAGAAACGCTCCGGGCGAGATGCAAGGAATGCACAGACAGGTACAAGCAAACCTTTTCCGAATTAACGATTCTCTTTACGAGCTGTTTTCCAGATAAAAGCTAGGAAGAAAGTAGCAGTAACGGTACTGGTATTCGTGGCAGTATTCGCCGTGTGCTTCGCCCCTTTGCACATCTTCATGCTATTCTTCTACTTCCATCCACACGCCGAGGAGCTCTACAACGAATTCTGGCACTACTTCAGAATAATCGGCTTCTGTCTGTGCTACATCAACTCCTGCGCCAACCCCATAGCGTTGTACTTCGTCAGCGCCGCGTTCAGGAAGTACTTCGACAGGTTTATATTTCGCACCGCCAGCGGTACGGGTGAGTACTTATGCGGGTTCTGTTTAGGTACTTGTTCTGCAAGAAGCTCACCAGGACGACGTCGCACAGCTACCCCCATCAAAGGGCCACCTCCATGTCGCTGATGTCACCGAGAAGGCCCCAGTCGATGGTGATGATGCGGGGACATTCGCGTTCCGTGCATCTGCGCTTCGATCCTGTGGTGATACAAGAAACTTCGGTGACTCTACTGGGTGTTGGTAACGATAACGCCTGTCACGAGCTCTAATTCGATGATGTTCGCGAAGAAAACGAATGGTTGGCATTGAAATCGATTGGCAGTCACTTACGATAATATTTCCACGATTGAGAGTTTTAATTTGCGCTTAAAAGCTTTTCGACGTTTTACGATTATATTATCGAATTGGATGGTAAATTCGTTGTTTTTGAAACGAGCAAACGTCAATTATTAACGGAATTAGAATGTAATATTATTTTTAGTCACAACGATTTCAATGAAATTCATTCACTGTTATTAGTTTTATGGGATTATTAAACTGAAAAAGGATATATGTATAATGTAGCGAGATATGGGTATCTGTATATTTGTTGATTTAAATGTATTCGAAAATAAAGTAAATAAATATTTATTTAATTTTAATCAAACCAATATTAATTTCACAAAATTTAAACAAATAAAAAAACCTTTAGTTAAGCTAAAATGGCTAGCTAATTGAAACCCTATCATCCTTTAAACAATACTTATTACTATGCAAATTAACGATTTCAACGATTAGCTAAGTAGATAGGCACTACAAATCCGTCTAGGTATATTGTTTAATTAAATATTAGCCAATTAATTAATCGCTGACGAAACGCACGTCCATGAAATCAATACACAATCGTACCTAATTCAATGTACTTACTAAGCATCTCTGCCTAATAGCTAATTAATATACAGTAACGATATATGATTAATCAAAGCTGTTTGATTTAATCACCTAACTGATACTAATCGGATGGAAAACCGATCTATTCGTTCGTATGGAATTTTAATCGGACGGAAAACTAATCTCTTTATGTTCACATCAAATTCTAATCGGACGGAAAACTGAAGCATTCGCTTATTATAAGTCAATCGGTGATCGAACGAAAAACTTTTTCAATCGAATTACAGCCGGTACATTTCTGATCCGAGAGGATCATAAAATCAAACGAAATGATACCGCTCTAAGCATATTCGCATGCCACATAAGGCCCTCTGTTTCGACGTTCAAAGCACTCAATATAATTGCTGAACTTTGCGATTTTCCGCGGCATTTTACGCCGATCGCCCGGAAAATCGTCGGCCATTTACAAAGTGGCGAGAATTTTTGCATTTTTTATTTTCCGGTTCGAGCGGCAAGTGCATTAAATATTCATTGCACAAGGGCCGGTAATAGAGGTAATTGAATGTAACTGGTAACCTATACTCTGCGACTATCCGTTCGTCTAAAATAATTACTGTTAATTTAATTGCTGTTAGTCGATATACAGTGCAAATTTGTCTCATATAAAGGAGAAAGAATGAGTGATAATGTGGGATTGTAATTTTCTCATTCTAACCACTCTGTTGTTTTAATAATTTTAATAAATTTAAACCACTGTTGTTTCTTTATTCAACCTTAACTGTTTTAAAAGATTTTTAAAGTGTACTTTGCTAGATTGATCATATTCTACTATCTACAGGGCGTTTTCGAACTCAAGGTTTAATTTTTAAAAAGATGAAGTGGCAACGAGTCATCTTAGCGAGTAAATATTTAATTAAAACCGGGAAGAAAAAAGTTTAACAATTCATAGTGGATTCAAAGAAGATTCAGGTTAGTAACCGGTTGGTTAAATTTATTATATTTATAGTTTATCAGTTTGACAGTTAACACTCTTAAAGTTACGATCAGTAACAAAGAAATGCCGTTTGTATAATATTTTGGGCTTTATTTTTATTGTGTAAATATCGCCGATTTATACGCAAAAAATGCCTCGTTATCCCGTACCTTACGTAATGTAATAACGATTTTCCGATGGATGAAAATCCGCGATGCGATCGTGTTGTGCGACGAAACGTCGGACTTTTCGAAAAGAGAGGTTTATCGGAGTTTCCGCGCGAGGAAATCCTCATCAAACGATTTACTTCGGAAACATGCCGGAGTGTACGTGCATCACAAAGGCCCGACTTTCGGCCCTTTCGCTGCTAGAATTAACCCTCACGATTACTTTGTTTGTTTTCGGAGGTTTTTTTTTGCATGGGAAGCTGCAGTTGGAATTCATTTGCATTCGCTGTTACTCGTCGTACGCGAAATTATATGTATGATTTATGTAATTGATTTACAATGAAAGTAAAGGAAAATGTGTGTATGTAATCGCAAATGAAACTACTGGATTAATACATGTAAAATGTAGGTACGTACATAACACATTAGGTAAATAATATGTAAACCTTCATTGCGTGAGTATGGAATATTTAAATCAATACAATCGGTTATTGTTATATTAAAGCTTGCATTAAATGCTTAATTTGCCGTAATTTAAATATGTTAATGTAATTTTGATAATTGAAATTTTAATTAGCTGGCAGAGCTGGAAAGATAAACACAAAGATTAATAAAAAGGGTCTGAATTGACCCTAAAATTAACATATTTAACAAGAATTAAACTGGTTTCCGGTTTCCAGATAGATAAAAGACAAAAGACCAAATAATAACATAAGCTCAAACTCTACCTTTGTACCCACATTTTACACTAGATTTATCTCAGTAAAGGATTATAAAACGAAACGATGGAAGAACAACATGAAATTTGATAAACGATTTATTTATTTACAAATTTGAAAAAAGGATAACTAATTCCTTTAGTAGCAATTATATCTACTATTCTATAACTGGATAAGAAGGATAACTGGGATTAAGAATACCACATTGAGTTGAACCATCACTTCTCTCTATCTTCATATAACCATTTTCTCCCCATTTTTCACCCCACGAATTCTTCAGCAACCAATAAGGCACGCCATTTTCCTCTCCATAACCGACCATAAGCACTTCGTGATTATTCGGAGGGATTTTCTTAGGACATTTTAAGATGCCCGAAGTGTATCCTTTCATGAACTGGACATTTAGACTTACAACAACTGGTCCAACGGTACCTACAAAGCGATTTATCAGATTAGAAGGAAAAATTGGTGCTTCAGAGGCAGCTTCAGAATTAACAGATCAACAGATCTGTAATAGTAGAAGAAGAAGAAGAAGATTGACTTACCAACGGCGTCTATTAGATGCTTCTCATCATTTGGCACGAGTACATAATCGATTAGTTTAGCTACAGGTTTATTGCGGTAACAGGTTCCGTTTTTGGCATTGTAAGGGTACGAGAATTCCGAACCCAATCCGTTATTTATGATGTATTTAAAAGCTTCCTTAGCGCTACCGCCGGAGCACCCTCGGTTCTTATAATGCGTAGAGCAATCGATCAGCTCCTGCGGTGAAAGAAGCACTCGCCGATTGTAGAGTATGGCGTATTGACTTTCGATAGCTCCCACCTGAAATTAACGATGTATTCATTCGAGTATTTGCGTGATTAGATTAGAACTTACAGCCGCCATGGCCCAACAACATCCGCATTTCCGATCGCAAGTTTGCCTCCTAACTTGCGTCACAGCACCGAATTGTCTCCAATCCATCGATGCTGGTGCATTGCCGTTGAATTCGTGCATTCTGTGCTTCGTCCTCGCTTGGATTTCGCCTTCGACTTTGAGTTTTTCTGCGGCGACGGCCTCCTGGTACTCCTCCTCGGTCAGATCGCTGAACTTGTTGATTCCGATCGTCCAGGTCACCAGGCCCTGTTTGTATCTCTCGTTGTGCTCTTCGACGCGCGCCATGTTTTTCCGGAAGACCTTGTAACGGCTGAACTCGTCCATGTCGTCGTTGTAGGTTTTGTTGTAGTCCAATTTAAATCGGTTCCATTCGAAATCTACAGCCATCACGTACATTTCGCCGAAGAAAATGTGGAGAATATAGCGGGTGGCGAGCACGATGAAGGTAATCGTTGCTTTGATATCTTTTAGGATTTCCATTTTGGAGATGCTTGGAGTGTATGGTTGCGAGAAGTGATTGTGCTTATGTTTTTGATCATTTGGTAGATTTGTGCAACGGTTAAATTATTATTAATGATACTATTGTTGTATTAAACCGTAAGAAGGATGTTTAATTTCACAATCTAAATTATTATTTTAATTAATTTTGTCTGGAGCTTCACAATTTTATTAGTTTGAAGTATAATGAAAATTTTCGTCATTTATTCTACGTGTAGATAATAGTATATCCAAAATTTGGTTAAAATTTATTGAAAAAAATTAAATTTCCCATAATGGTATAATATGTAGACATGATGGAAAGACTACCTACATATTTCTAATATTCAGATGGATATTTTCATAAAGACATTTAATTGTATAATTTATATGTAGATGGTGTTAAATAAAATTACTTGCGGTAAAAATAAACAATTTATTTACAACTCTACCAATTTGAAAAAAGAATAACTAATTCCTTTAATAGCAGTGATATCTACTATTCTATAACTGGATAAGAAGGATGACTGCGATCGAGAATACCACATTGAGTTGAACCATCACTTCTCCGTATCTTCATATAACCACTTTCTCCCCATTTATCACCCCACGAATTCTTCAGCAACCAATAAGGCACGCCATTTTCCTCTCCATAACCGACCATAAGCACTTCGTGATTATTCGGAGGGCTGTTCTTAGGACATTTAAAGATGCCCGAAGTGTATCCTTTCATGTACTGGACATTTAGACTCACAACGACTGGTCCAATGGTACCTTCGAATCGATTAATCAGATTAAAAGGAAAAATCGAAGAATGAACAGATCTGTAATAGTAGAAGAAGAAGATTGACTTACCAACGGCGTCTATCAGATGCTTCTCATTATTTGGCACGAGTACATAATCGATAAGTTTGGCTACAGGTTTATTGCGGTAACAGGTTCCGTTTTTGGCATTGTAAGGGTACGAGAATTCCGAACCCAATCCGTTATTTATGATGTATTTAAAGGCTTCGTTAGCGCTACCGCCGGTGCATCCTTTGTTCTTATAAAGCATAGAGCAATCGATTAGCTCTTGTGGAGAAAGAAGCACTCGCCGATTGTAGAGTATAGCGTATTGACTTTCGATAGCTCCCACCTGAAATCAACGATGTATTCATTTGAGTATTTGTGTGATTAGAAGAGAACTTACAGCGGCCATTGCCCAAAAACATCCGCATTTTCGTTCGCAATCTTGCGTTCTCGCTTCCGTCACAGCATCGAATTGTCTCCAATCTATCGATGCTGGTGCATTGCCGTTGAATTCGTGCGTTCTGTGCTTCGTCCTCGCTTGGATTTCGCCTTCGACTTTGAGTTTTTCTGCGGCGACGGCCTCCTGGTACTCCTCCTCGGTCAGATCGCTGAACTTGTTGATTCCGATAGTCCAGGTCACCAGGCCCTGTTTGTATCTTTCGTTGTGCTCTTCGTAGCGTGCCTTATTTTCCTTGTAGATCTTGTAGCGGCGATACTCCTCGTCTATGTCGTCGCCGTAGGTTTTGTTGTAGTCGAATTTGAATCTGGTCCATTCGAAATCTAAAGCCATCACGTACATTTCGCCGAAGATGAATTCGAAAATACTGTGGCCAGTGAGGAGTAAGAAGGGGATCATTGCTTTGAGAATTTGTAGGATTTCCATTTTGGAGATGCTTGGAGTGATTACGAGAAGTGAGTGTGCGTTTGTTTTTGATTATTTGGTAGATTTATTAAACGGTTAATTTATTATTAATGATACTATTGTTGTATTAAACCGTAAGAAAGATGTTTAATTTCACAATCAAAATTATTATTTTAATTAATTTTGTGCATAGCTACACAATTTAGTTTGTAGATTAATGAAAATTTTCATCATTTTAATTCTTCATGTGGATAATTAATCTTTATGAAATTTATTGAAAGTTTGGTAATTTTGGTAAACACATCTTGTATTTCCTTAACGGATGCAATATTCAAGGGTCGTTGTATATTCATCTTACATAGTACCCTCTATACACTGTTAGAGTTCTTCACATTTGTGGTATTTTTGCTCATCTTTCTATTTCCATCTTTTGGAATATTAAAAGGATTAAAATTTAAACACAAACAAATACCTCTTTATCCTCTTAATAATATATCTTTTTATAACAATTTTATAACTATAACTACTTTTAATACTATTGTAACATTAAATTTCTATATCGAAATTTAAAACTATTCGTTATTTTAATTAATTTAATTTACATGACTGGCAATAATTATATTATTAAATTACTTAAATCTGAAAATATCCATAGTTCAAATGTTCATTTAAAGGAAGTACCTATGAACGTGTAATAATAAAACCAAAACATAATAAAAAAATATGACAAATTAATTTATTTTTTATGCTTATTATTTATATATTTTTTCTTGTTGTAAAATAAAAATGATTAAGCATGACATAAAGAGGTAATGCGTTATTCGCAATATTGCAAAAAATATATTTATTAAAAATTTTGTTAACAAAGAACCGATCATTCTTGTCCTTTCTCATTTCTATCGACTTTCCCTTACTCTTCGGTATTTTCCTAATTTTTCCCCTAATTTTCTTATTCCATATTGGGATAAATGGATATAAAATGGATTCCGCAATCGTGCTTACTGTCGCCTCTTTGTATCCTAAAATAACCCCCTTCTCCCCAAGCACTCCCCCAAGAGTTCCTCAACAACCAGTATGGTACGCCATCTTCCTCTCCATAACCAACAAGAAGTACCGCATGATTAATAGGCCCTGCTCCTTTTTCAGGACAACTTAAGATGCCTTTTGCATAGTCTACAAAAGGATCGAATTTCACAGCTACAGATACTGGCCCAACGGTACCTGCGATTTGTCGGATTAAATTAGAAGAACAGATATGTTAGAAATAAGCGATACATTACCTACGGCATCTATCAAATATTCATCATTCTGTGGTACGATAGTATAACCGCTTATTTTAACCTTTGATTTAGTTTTTCGACATTTTCCATCTATGGCTTCGAAAGGATAAGATTCCTCGGTATCCAAGCCGTTATCCATAGCGTATTCAAATGCATCCATTGTTTTGCCGCCCTTACACCCCTTGGTCAAGGGTTCTTTAGTACAATCGTTCAACTCTTGCACGGATAATTCTATCAGTTCTTTAGTTTTTATAGCGTAGTGACTTTCGATAGCACTCACCTAAAATAAAAGAACAACTTTAACCAATAGTTTATGATTATTAAAATCAAATTTACCGCGGATATGGCCCAACAACATCCGCAATACCTTAGATCTTTCTGTTGTTTTTTGATCCGTGTCATAACTTTTAATTTCCTCCAATCTATCGAGTCCGGTGCATTACCATTCTTAACGTGCGTTTTCATACGTGAGCGTCTCGTTTCGAGTGTGGCGTTTACGTCATCTATTAGACCAAATAAATGCTGCTCTTTCAATTCCAGATTATTCATATCGCTGAACTCGTTGATTCCTTCCATCCATGACACCTTTCCAGCTTCGTATTTCTTGTTGTGTTCTTCTATTCTCTTTAGGTGGTCCTGGAAGACATCGTAGTGATATAACTCCTGGTTCAAGGAGTCGTAGATTTTGGAGTAGTCGTTTTTGAATTTGATCCATTGGTAGTCAACGTACATTTCGTATTTTTTGCCGATCATAAAAACCAGGAGGTCTCGAATCAAGATGATCGAAAGAGAAATTATTGCAAGGATAATTTTCATTTTGTATGTTTTTTTGGAAATGACTGCTCGAGCACAAACGGAAATGTTTGTTTGGGAAAACTTACAAATGTTCTCCATATTATAAATGTTGATAAAGGTGCATTAATCATTAATAATACTATTGTTACATTAAACCATAGGAGAGGAGTTGAATATTTCTATAGAAATCTAAATCGAAAACTAATCGATATTTTCATTAATTTTTCTACATATCTGGCAGCAATTATTATTTAATTGCTTTAAAATCTGAAAATATCCCATAGTTCATAATGTTCCTATAACCTATCTAAAACCAATTCATTGTAAAATGGAAAAAGATATTAGAAATATTCAGAAAAATTTTAAAAAGACAAATTAATGTACTATGTATTTGTATGTATATTTTTTCTTGTGGTAAAGTAGATTTAAAATTACATACTCGTAAATAGGTAGGTAATCTGTTACACGCAATATTGCAAAAAATATATTTTTCAAAAAATGCTATACATAGCATATAAAAAATTATTTTAAAGAAAGTTCTGCTAGCGACAACAATGTTTTATTTGTTTTAATATTATTAACAAATAACCGATCCTTCTTGTCCTTTCTCTTTTTTATCGAGTTACCCTTACTCTTCGGCCTTTGCATAATTTTTGCCCTAATTTTAAGCTTCATCTACATCAACAATAGGATAAAAGGGAAAATCATGGATGCCGCAATCATGCTTATCAATGCCTCTTTGTATCCTAAAATCACCCTTTTCTCCCCACCTTTCCCCCCAAGAGTTCCTCAACAACCAGTATGGTACGCCGTCTTCCTCTCCATAACCAATAAGAAGTACCGCATGATTGGGACGTCCTTTTGAGTCAGCACATTTAACGATGCCCCCGCCGTAGAACGTAAAATCATCGAATTTCACAGCTACAGATACTGGCCCAACGGTACCTTCGATTTGTCGGATTAAATTAGATGAACAGATATGTTGTAAATAAATTATATACATTACCTACAGCATCCATCAAATATTCATCAGTCTTTGGTACGACAGTATAACCGCTTATTTTAACCTTTGATTTAGTTTTTCGACAGATTCCATCTCTGGCTTCGTAGGGATAAGATTCCTCGGTATCCAAGCCGTTATCTATAGCGTATTTATATCCTGCAAATGTCATGCCGCCCCGACACCCTCTTGCAAATTTTTTTTCACTGCAATCGATCAACTCTTGCACGGATAATTCTACCAGTTCTTTAGTTTTTATAGCGTACTGACTTTCGATGGAACCCACCTAAAATATAAGAACAACATTAACCAATAGTTTATGATGATTAAAGCAAACTTACCACCGATATGGCCCAACAACTTCCGCAAATGGTAAAGCGTGGGTTTTGTTGCCTGACCTTTGTCAAGACATTAAAATCCCTCCAATCGATGGAATCCGGTGCATTGCCGTTCATAACATGCGTTAGACAACGTGAATATCTCGCTTGGACTGTGTCGTTTACTTCACCTATTACACCAAATAAGTGCTTATTTTTCAATTCCAGATTATTCATATCGCTGAACTCGTTGATTCCTTCCATCCATGACACCTTTCCAGCTTCGTATTTCTTGTTGTGTTCTTCTATTCTCTTTAGGTGTTCCTGGAAGACATCGTAGTGATATAACTCCTGGCCCAAGGAGTCGTAGGTTTTGGAGTAGTCGTTTTTGAATTTGATCCATTGGTAGTCAACGTACATTTCGTATTTTTTGCCGAGATAAAACACCAGAGCGTCTCGAATCACGATGATCGAAAGAGAAATTATTGCAAGGATTATTTTCATTTTGTATGTTTTTTTGGAAATGACTGCTCAAGCACAAACGGAAATGTTTGTTTGGGAAAACTTACAAATGTTCTCCATATTATAAATGTTGATAAAGGTGCATTAATCATTAATAATACTATTGTTACATTAAACCATAGGAGAGGAGTTGAATATTTCTATAGAAATCTGAATCGAAAACTAATCGATATTTTCATTAATTTTTCTACATATCTGGCAGCAATTATTATTTAATTGTTTTAAAATCTGAAAATATCCCATAGTTCATAATGTTCCTATAACGTACATGTACCTATCTAAAACCAATTCATTGTAAAATGGAAAAAGATATTTGAAATATTCAGAAAAATTTTAAAAAGACAAATTAATGTACTATGTATTTGTATGTATATTTTTTCTTGTGGTAAAGTAGAGTTGATTTAAAATTACATACTCGTAAATAGGTAGGTAATCTGTTACACGCAATATTGCAAAAAATATATTTTTCAAAAAATGCTATACTTAGCATATAAAAAATTATTTTAAAGAAAGTTCTGCTAGCGACAACAATGTTTTATTTGTTTAAATATTATTAACAAATAACCGATCCTTCTTGTCCTTTCTCTTTTTTATCGAGTTACCCTTACTCTTCGGTCTTTGCATAATTTTTGCCCTAATTTTAAGCTTCATCTACATCAACAATAGGATAAAAGGGAAAATCATGGATGCCGCAATCATGCTTATCAATGCCTCTTTGTATCCTAAAATCACCCTTTTCTCCCCACCTTTCCCCCCAAGAGTTCCTCAACAACCAGTACGGTACGCCGTCTTCCTCTCCATAACCAATAAGAAGTACCGCATGATTGGGACGTCCTTTTGAGTCAGCACATTTAACGATGCCCCCGCCGTAGAACGTAAAATCATCGAATTTCATAGCTACAGATACTGGCCCAACGGTACCTGCGATTTGTCGGATTAAATTAGATGAACAGATATGTTGTAAATAAATTATATACATTACCTACAGCATCCATCAAATATTCATCAGTCTTTGGTATGACAACATAACCGCTTATTTTAACCTTTGATTTTGTTTTTCGACAGATTCCATCTCTGGCTTCGTAGGGATAAGATTCCTCGGTATCCACGCCGTTATCCATAACGTATTGAAATCCTGCAAATGTCATGCCGCCCTCACACCCTCTTGCAAATTTTTTTTCAGTGCAATCGATCAACTCTTGCACGGATAATTCTACCAGTTCTTTAGTTTTTATAGCGTACTGACTTTCGATGGAACCCACCTAAAATATAAGAACAACATTAACCAATAGTTTATGATGATTAAAAGCAAACTTACAGCCGATATGGCCCAACAACTTCCGCAAATGGTAAAGCGTTGGCTTTGTTGCCTGACCTTTGTCAAGACATTAAAATCCCTCCAATCGATGGAATCCGGTGCATTGCCGTTCATAACATGTTTTAAACGACGTGAATATCTCGCTTCGACTGTGTCGTTTACTTCACCTATTACACCAAATAAGTGCTTATTTTTCAATTCCTGTTCATTCAAATCGCTGAACTCGTTGATTCCTTCCATCCATGACACCTTTCCAGCTTCGTATTTCTTGTTGTGTTCTTCTATTCTCTTTAGGTGTTCCTGGAAGACATCGTAGTGATATAACTCCTGGCCCAAGGAGTCGTAGGTTTTGGAGTAGTCGTTTTTGAATTTGATCCATTGGTAGTCAACGTACATTTCGTATTTTTTGCCGAGATAAAACACCAGAGCGTCTCGAATCACGATGATCGAAAGAGAAATTATTGCAAGGATTATTTTCATTTTGTATGTTTTTTTGAAAATGACTGCTCGAGCACAAACGGAAATGTTTGTTTGGGAAAACTTACAAATGTTCTCCATATTATAAATGTTGATAAAGGTGCATTAATCATTAATAATACTATTGTTACATTAAACCATAGGAGAGGAGTTGAATATTTCTATAGAAATCTAAATCGAAAACTAATCGATATTTTCATTAATTTTTCTACATATCTGGCAGCAATTATTATTTAATTGCTTTAAAATCTGCAAATATCCCATAGTTCATAATGTTCCTATAACGTACATGTACCTATCTAAAACCAATTCATTGTAAAATGGAAAAAGATATTTGAAATATTCAGAAAAATTTTAAAAAGACAAATTAATGTACTATGTATTTGTATGTATATTTTTTCTTGTGGTAAAGTAGAGTTGATTTAAAATTACATACTCGTAAATAGGTAGGTAATCTGTTACACGCAATATTGCAAAAAATATATTTTTCAAAAAATGCTATACTTAGCATATAAAAAATTATTTTAAAGAAAGTTCTAGCGACAACAATGTTTTATTTGTTTAAATATTATTAACAAATAACCGATCCTTCTTGTCCTTTCTCTTTTTTATCGAGTTACCCTTACTCTTCGGTCTTTGCATAATTTTTGCCCTAATTTTAAGCTTCATCTACATCAACAATAGGATAAAAGGGAAAATCATGGATGCCGCAATCATGCTTATCAATGCCTCTTTGTATCCTAAAATCACCCTTTTCTCCCCACCTTTCCCCCCAAGAGTTCCTCAACAACCAGTATGGTACGCCGTCTTCCTCTCCATAACCAATAAGAAGTACCGCATGATTGGGACGTCCTTTTGAGTCAGCACATTTAACGATGCCCCCGCCGTAGAACGTAAAATCATCGAATTTCATAGCTACAGATACTGGCCCAACGGTACCTGCGATTTGTCGGATTAAATTAGATGAACAGATATGTTGTAAATAAATTATATACATTACCTACAGCATCCATCAAATATTCATCAGTCTTTGGTATGACAACATAACCGCTTATTTTAACCTTTGATTTTGTTTTTCGACAGATTCCATCTCTGGCTTCGTAGGGATAAGATTCCTCGGTATCCACGCCGTTATCCATAACGTATTGAAATCCTGCAAATGTCATGCCGCCCTGACACCCTCTTGCATATTTTTTTTCAGTGCAATCGATCAACTCTTGCACGGATAATTCTACCAGTTCATTAGTTTTTATAGCGTAGTGACTTTCGATAGAACCCAACTAAAATATAAGAACAACATTAACCAATAGTTTATGATGATTAAAAGCAAACTTACAGCCGATATGGCCCAACAACTTCCGCAAATGGTAAAGCGTTGGCTTTGTTGCCTGACCTTTGTCAAGACATTAAAATCCCTCCAATCGATGGAATCCGGTGCATTGCCGTTCATAACATGTTTTAAACGACGTGAATATCTCGCTTCGACTGTGTCGTTTACTTCATCTATTACACCAAATAAGTGCTTATTTTTCAATTCCAGATTATTCATATCGCTGAACTCGTTGATTCCTTCCATCCATGACACCTTTCCAGCTTCGTATTTCTTGTTGTGTTCTTCTATTCTCTTTAGGTGTTCCTGGAAGACATCGTAGTGATATAACTCCTGGCCCAAGGAGTCGTAGGTTTTGGAGTAGTCGTTTTTGAATTTGATCCATTGGTAGTCAACGTACATTTCGTATTTTTTGCCGAGATAAAACACCAGAGCGTCTCGAATCACGATGATCGAAAGAGAAATTATTGCAAGGATTATTTTCATTTTGTATGTTTTTTTGGAAATGATTGCTCGAGCACAAACGGAAATGTTTGTTTGGGAAAACTTATAAATGTTCTCCATATTATAAATGTTGATAAAGGTGCATTAATCATTAATAATACTATTGTTACATTAAACCGTAAGAGAGGGTTTAAATATTTCTATAGAAACCGAAATCCAAAACTAATTGATAATATTTTCATTAATTTTTCTACATATGTACATATCTGGCAACAATTACTATCTGTATATTTTTTCAGGCAGTAAAAAAGAGTTGATTTAAAATTGCAAAAATAAGTTCTTAACAGCAATATTCCAAAAAATATAATTATTGAAAAAGGATTATTTAGAGGTTTATTATTGAATTACTAATATTAGCAGAAACATTTTAATAGGAGATATATTTTATTTAAAGAAATTTCTTATGGCCTCAACAGTGTTTAATTTAGGTAGATTTAGGTAGATTCTTCTAGACCTTCCTCTTCTTTTATCAACCTTCCCTTACTATTCGGTTACCCCTTATATTCTGGATCATCTTCTTCTTCTCCTTCAGTTATTTCTACGTTAGGATAATAGGGGTAAAGATGGATGCCACAAACTGGGATACCGTAGCCTCTTTCTATCCTAAAATAACCCTTTTCTCCCCAATTATCACCCCAAGAGTTCCTCAACAACCAGTATGGTACGCCGTCTTCCTCTCCATAGCCAACGAGAAGTACTGCATGAGTGACATTGTTGTGTCGCTGTATAGGACATTTGAATATGCCCCCTTGATACTTCGTCAGTGGACTGAATTTCAAACAAACAGATACTGGCCCAACTGTACCTGCGATTTGCCGGATTTAAGTAGAGAAACAGATATGTTATTAAATAAATGATACTTTACCTACGGCATCTTTCAAATAACTCTCGCCCCTCGGTACGCGAGTATACCCGGTTATTTTAACCTTTGATTTAGTTTTTCGACAGGTTCCTCTTTTGGCTTCGTAAGGATAAGATTCCTCGGTATTCAAGCCGTTACTGACAACGTATTTAAAGGCATTATATGTAATGCCTCCTTCACAGCCATTGTTACGTTTTTCTCTAGAGCAATCGATCAACTCTTGTACGGATAATTCTATCAGTTTTTTATTTTTTATAGCGTAGTGACTCTCAACAGCTGAGGTCTATCAAAGGAGGATCACGAAGATCTAATAGTTTATAATCGAATGCAAACTTACCACGGACATGGCCCAACAACAACCGCATGGTTGGGTAGCTTGTAGGGTTTGTCTTTTGACAGGCGTCAAAGCGTTAAATTCCCTCCAATCAATCGAACGCGGTGCGTTACCATTTATGACGTGCGAAAGGTGATTATAAAATTTCGGTTTGACTTTTACATCTCCTAGACCTTCTAGATCGATTAAGTCAGACTCTTGTTCACTCAAATCGCTGAACTGGTTGATTCCCTCCTTCCATTTCACCAATCCAGCTTCGAATTTTTCGTTGTGCTCCTCGATTTCCTTCAGGGTTTTCTGAAAGATTCTGTAGTGATGCAACTCTTTTTCGAAGGATTCGTAGGATTTGGAGTAGTCGAGTTTGAATTTGACCCATTGGTAGTCGAAATACATTTCGTATTGTTTGCCGATGAATAAAATCAGAGCGTGGCGAATCACGATCAACAAAAAAGGAATAATCATGACAACAAATTTCATTTTGTGCGGTTTTGTGGAGATGATTGCTCGAGCACAAACGGAGATGTGCGTTTGGAAAACATAGTTTTACTTGTGTTTCTACATATCATAAATTATGATAAAGGTGCATTTAATATTAATAATACCATTGTTACATTAAAGCATTTAATTTTTTTTTCATCAGCTACAGTTAAATACTCTAATAATTAATTGTAATATAATTATATGACAGAAATTACTTATTGTACATACTTGTTGACCTTTAAAACAAATAAAGTTGTTTTTTGCAAAGAAAAATAATATTAGCCTAAACAAATTGATGGTGTATTAATACTGTAGACGTAAACCAGCATTTGGTTTCCAGTGATCATGATATTATCAGTAAAAAGGTACATATGCTTATCATTTGTTTATAACAGATGCACAGTAATTATAGATACTTGATATGTAGGAATTACTGCCATGATACTGAGGATATTGGTACGTACTGCAACTGTTATCATTGTTTGAACAATTTGAATCAGTTCCGTGTCCTTTATTATTTCCATTTCCATTTCCTTTTCCTTTATCTTTATTATTTCCATTTCCATTTCCATTTCCTTTTCCTTTATCTTTATTATTTCCATTTCCATTTCCATTTCCATTTCCATTTCCATTTCCATTTCCATTTCCTTTTCCTTTATCTTTATTATTTCCATTTCCATTTCCATTTCCATTTCCATTACCATTTCCTTTTCCTTTATCTTTATTATTTCCATTTCCATTTCCATTTCCATTTCCTTTTCCTTTATCTTTATTAATTCCATTTCCATTTCCATTTCCATTTCCATTTCCATTTCCATTTCCATTTCCATTTCCATTTCCATTTCCATTTCCTTTTCCCTTATCTTTATCTTTATCTTTATTATTTCCATTTCCGTTTCCGTTTCCGTTTCCGTTTCCATTTCCATTTCCATTTCCTTTATCTTTACCTTTGTCATTTCCTTTTCCTTTATCTTTATCTTTGTCATTTCCTTTTCCTTTATCTTTATCTTTATCTTTATCTTTATCTTTATCTTTATCTTTATCTTTATCTTTATCTTTATCTTTATCTTTATCTTTATCTTTATCTTTATCTTTATCTTTATCTTTATCTTTATCATTATCATTATCATTATCATTATCATTATCATTATTATTATCATTATCATTATCATTATCATTATCATTATCACTATCACTATCATTATCATTATCATTATCATTATCATTATCATTATCATTATCATTATCATTATCATTATCATTATCATTATCATTATCATTATCATTATCATTATCATTATCATTATCATTATCATTATCATTATCATTATCATCATCTTTGCCATCTTCTTTGCCATCTTCTTTTTCGTCATCTGTGTCATCCGCAGCGACCTCGTTTCCTTCATTTTTTTCTACAACTGGATAATAGGCTGATTCGTACATGCCACATTGTGGTGTACCATCGCATCTAAGTATCCTCAAATAACCGCGTTCACCCCAATTTTCACCTAACGAGGTTTTCAGTAACCAGTAAGGTACTCCTTCTTCTATGCCGTATCCAACGACGAGTACAGCCAAGGAAGGACCACCTCCGGTCCCTGTTTTCGGACAATGGAAGATGCCTCGAGCGTATCTTCTCAGGTGCGATAACTCTATCGTTGCAGCTACTGGTCCGACGCTACCTGAAAATCGAGTTGGAGAAACTGTAATGCGGCAATTAAGTGCATTGTATTACCTACGGCGTCTAACATTTTTAGCTCATTTGGCACGGCGATGAAATCAGTGACATTGGTGCCCAGTGGTGTTGCCCGACAGTCGCCATCTTTGGCTGTGTACGGGTACGATTCTTCCGTGCCCAATCCGATATCGATCATATACTTAAAAGCGTTTTCGAGCGAGCCGCCTTTGCATCCTTGGTTATTATGATCTAAAGAGCAATCCAGAACTTCTTGCGGTGAAAATTCTATAAGTTTTTTGTTTATTATGGCATAATGACTTTCGACAGCGGCTACCTAAAAGTGTATTAAACTGAGAATCGTATTTTCTTCTCAAAAGTTAACTTACAGCGGCCATAGCGTAACTAGATGCACACAGAGTCTCGTTCACAATTTGATTCCTCATTGGTGATACATATCCTACTAGATCCCAATTGACAAGACACGGTACGCAGCCAGTTACTTCGTGTTCTTTTCGATCCGATTCAACAGTCGCCTCGTTCTTCTCATAAACTCCTGTAAAACGCATGATTTCCTGTATATATTCGTCCTCGCTTAAATCGCTGTATTTGTTAATGGCCGCTATCCATTTCACCAGTCCAGCTTCGTATTTAACGTTGTTTTCCTCTACTTTATTCAGGTCTTCCTTGAAGAATTCGTAGCGTTTCATATCTTCTTTGTCGTTGTGGTAAGATTTGGAGTAATCGAATTTGAACTTGGCCCAGTCGGGGTCGATAAATTGTTGAACCGATTCACTGACGATGAAGTTTAGAAAATAGCGCAATAATAACGCACAAAAGTAAACTACAGCCAATATATACATTTTGAATTAGCCCTGGAGATGAGACATCAAGTGAAAGTTGCTGTGAAATATTAACTATTTTTATATAATTTTTTTATTAAATGTAATTTTTAATTCAATTACGATAGGACTATTGTTTGATTAAAGGTTGACTGTAAACTATTACATTTTTAATTAGTTTTCTCTACGGCTTTAATACTTGAAATAAATTAAATTTCAGTATCACGATGATGTACAGAAATGAAATTTTTTTTACGTAAAAAATTATTTTTGCCTGTGTGAAATATACGGGGGTTTAATTGGAATTACACCGCAACTAATTTTGTAATTTTTTTTAATTTATTGTTTTTCTCGTAATCCTGGAACCTTAAGCTTTCTACATTTATGTATTTTAATTCTTTATCATACACGGTGCTGAAAATTTATGCAGAAGCTAAAGAAACTAAATGTGATTCAAGGATATTATTTTGGGAGGTCCTTACTAGTGTCCATAATAATAGATATTTGTTAAATTATATCAAGTACTTTTAAAGATAATTAAGGAAATCTTTATAGGAACTTGTCATCTTATTTTTTCATGTTCTATCTGGATCCGAGATATTTCCCACACTTTCAGGGACACCCTGAACATAAATCAAAATTGATTAAGAATAATTTATTTGACTTTTTCTAGTTATTGCGGCATCTCGAGCTAAAAATGACCTATTTATACAACTTAAAGGAAGAAACCTTCTATTCAAACAATAATCGATAATAACCAATTTCCAAAACTAATAATCGAATTCCGTGTACTCGTAATAATTTAGGCCCAAAACACTCTTAAGTTCCTCGTAATCCAAATCGCTGTACTGGTTAATGCCTTCCTTCCAATGCTCCAGTCCCGCTTCGAACTTCTTGTTCTGCTCCGCCACTTCCTCCAATCGATGAACGAAGGTCTCGTGATGGCTCTCCTCCTCCTCGGGAGTTGCATAGCTTTTGCCGAAGTCCCTTTTAAATTGAACCCATTGAGGATCGGTAATCTCATCGACAGCTGCTGAATCACCGGAGAAGAAGATTAGGTAGTAGTGGAGTGAAAGGTAGAGGTTAGAGAGTAGCAGCCTCATTTTTTATCTTCTAGAATTAGATGGTGTATGAATATTTGTGTATGCGTAGTGTAAGATAGTTTACCTGGTGCAAAACGAGGGATTTTACTAATGTGATTCTAAAGCTGGTGTGGCCGGTATTGTATGGGAAGAGTTGGTTAAATAAATTATAGGTTAATTAATATTGCAGTATTGTTATATTAAAGCGTTTAATTTTATTGCCTTCATCGCAATTATTTCAATGAATAAAATGTTGGGATAATTTACAACTATCACAAATGAGATAATCGAATCAATCCTTCGTACGATTGATAACCTCGTCATCGGTCCTATAACAGGATAACTAGCCTGCACTAAAATATCGCACTGATTGTTACCGTCCCTCTCTAACCTGAAGTAGCCCTTTTCGCCCCATTCGCTGCCCCACGAGTTCTTCGGGATCCAGTACAAGCCATAGTACACGTGGTTCACCTTCTTAAAAGGTGTGAAAAGGTGATAAAGGCGCAGGAAGTTTACTTTACTTCGTCTGTTGGAGTGTTTAGATGGGGTAGTTACGAAGCTAGTTACAACTTTGACGCTTGGTTCAAAATATTTACCAAGAACACACCTTTGCACCATAACATTTATGGAATCGTAATTTAAATATCGGAGTACCTAACGCACTTAATCGAGATTGTACTATTGTTATATTAAAGCGTGCATTAAAATCATTATCTCGGTTGCTTTGTGAAATTCGCATTTATTTACATAAACTACAGATTTACAGAACGGGGTAGGAAGCTTCGTCGGCTACGCCGCATTGATTGTTCGCGTCCTTGCTCAATCTGAAGTAGCCTTTCTCGCCCCAACCTGCACCCCAGGAGTTCTTCACGATCCAGTAGGGGTCGTTGGGCTCTCCGCCGTAGCCCACCACCAGCACTCCGTGGTCCAGCAAAGACTCGAAGTTCAGGCAGAACGGCGATTTGAAGATACCTCCAAAGTAGAATTGGATCGGTTCGGCGAATACTGCGACGGAAATTGGACCGACAGTACCTAAAAAATCCACAGCAATCAGTTAAATCGATTATAATGTAAGTGTGGTTTCGTTTTCATACCAACGGCGTCCATGAGGTCTTTTTCTGAACCTTTCGCTATGTTCTTGTAACCGGTTATTTTAACTGCGGGTGAGTTGGTGGCTCTGCAAGAACCCTGTCGTCCCTCGTAAGGGTAGGTGCTGTTGTCGCCGAGACCGTGGTCGATGACGTATTTAAAAGCGTTATCCATCAGTCCTCCTTGGTTGCAATCGCCGTTTCCATAGCTGGTGGAGCAATCCAGCAACTCTTGCTCGCTGAGCGAATCGTGTTTGTCGTTCAAAATGGCGTTCTGGCCTTCCAAAGCACCCACCTGCGAAACGACAGCTTTATCTACAAGCTTCGCGAGCTTACGAAATCGAACTTACAGCGCTGAAGGCCCAGCACGAGCCGCAATCGCCTTGGTCCTTCACGTCGGTCACGGCGTTCTTCTCCCTCCAGTCGATGGAAGCCGGCGCCTGGCCGGTGAACACGTGAGGGGTGCCGGCGATCCTGGGCATCGGCCCGTTGCGGTAGGCCATCTTGGCGCTGAACTCGCTGGGGGTCATGTCGGCGAATTGGTTGACCGCCATGGACCAGCTCTCCAGGCCGGCGCGGTAGCGGGCGTTGTGCTCGGCGATGGTCTTCAGGTTGTCGGTGAAGATGTCGAAGCGGCGGCGCTCCTCCTGCACGCTGGCGTAGGTCCTGCCGTGGGCGGATTTGAAGGAGGACCATTGCTGGTCGACGGTGAAGGCGCCGGCGGCGATGACGATAGCCGAGAGGGCGAGTAGAATTTTCATTTTGCTGGAGTGTAACGGTTAATGTAGCGTCGAGTTTGGTCGGGAAATTGAATTGGATTGGTTGTGGGAAGTAAATTGTGTAAGAAACTTACCTGAGTGGACGGATAACAGATAATTCTGAATCGAACTTCGAGCGATTTGCCGCTTTTATATTTTTTTGAATGATCCAATTGAGATGATAAAATTAGAGATTTCCTGATAAAAAATATCGAATTGATGCTATTGCGTTTGATAACAAATAAACTTATTTATTTTAAAGTAGGTACTTAAATTCAAACAATAGTTCTAATAGAATATTCATTTAGTGATTGACAAACAATTTATCATTTTTCCGATTCCTTTAAAGTAATTTCGATAAATATGTTATGTTAATAATAGAGAGTGATCGCACGTATGTAGGTATAATCATAATAATTGATTATCCTATACATATAAAGTAATTTATTATAATATTAACGAAGTAGAAACACAAAAAGAAACAATGTGGAGTTATCTATTTAGCACATGCATTGTTCGGAATGGGTGGATAAACAAATTTATCGATTTTAAAATAACATCATAATTTAATTGATCATCATAATTTACTACAAATCTTTAGGTTTAGCAACAGTATATTATTTAGTATATTATAATTTTAAAACAAAATTTTAATATTGTATCAAACATTTCTTATCTTTTTATTGATAATTTGAGTTCTTTATTCGAGTACGGGCAAGCAGGTAATTTTATCTTAAGTACCTAGATGACGAAAATACAATACATATAATAAACATTTGCTAATACTAAAATCAATAAGTGTAAAAAACCATTCTATCAAATAATTTTAAAGCCAAATCAATATGAAACTGATTATTATGATAATATCGGCCATTGTGGCCGCCGACGCTTTGTCAATTCACCAACAATGGACTAAATTTAAGGCAAGTTATCTGGAAATTTACATGTAATTACACTAACAGTCCATTCTTTAACAGAGCGATTTCAATAAATCCTACGCCACCCCAGAAGAAGAGAACCACCGGTTCCGAATATTCCAGGAAAACCTCGATAAAATCCAAACCCACAATGCCAGATACGAAGCCGGACTGGAAACCTTCTACATGGGAATCAACCAATTCACCGACATCGATGCAGCGGAATTCCGCCAATCCATCAAAAAAACCCACCAACCTCTACCTAACAACTCGGTAAGAAAAGGCATAAAAGATTTCCGCGTAGAAGACGTCCCGGAGTCCAAAGATTGGGTTACAGAGGGCGCAGTCCTTCCAATTCGGGACCAAACAACAAACTGCAGATTCGGCGAATGGGCCTTCAGCGCCGTAAGTACCGGAAATTTCATTTTCACACACCAATCCAAACCACTTAACCTTCGATTTAATCAGCAGACGTTACCTATGGACTCCACGCAATATGCAAAAATACGCAGCTAAATAATTAAGTAGTACTCCATGATGGAATGCTCGTTATATGTAAATGATCCTTGTTTTGTTATAAGTTATCATAATTTCATTGCTGTACTGTCTAGACCACGAATCAATTTAATCTGATTCTCTTTAATGCACTCTTCAATACTAACCGTACTATTTTTTCTTTTGTGATGCATTTAACAACATTTTGTAGAGTAAATAATAAAGGGTGGAATGTAGTCAGTAATGATTAGATAATAAAGAGCAGAGAGTAAAGAGTACAAGAGAAGAGTAAAAAGTACAGAGTAAAGAATAGAGAATAGACAATTTAGAGTATGTAGATCAAAAAGAATAAAGTGTAGACTAGACAGTAGATACTATAGATCAGAACAGAGCGCTATCTCCTGTATGACAAACCATTCACCATCATCGAACTGCATTAACAAAAATTTTTGACATCCCCAGGCCGCAGCATTGGAGGGCCAAAACTTCATCAAAAACAAAAAATCCTACGCGCTGAGCCCCCAGCAGCTGATCGACTGCGACAAGGGCTGGAACGACGGTTGCGCCTCCGGCGACGCCACAGCGGCCTTCGAGTACACAGTAGCCAACGGATTGAGCTCCGAAGACGAGTACCCCTTCAGGCAAGCGACCCTACCCTGCGACGGCTCGCGCCTCAAAAGTAACGTCACCGCGTCCGGTTTCGTCAAACTCGACGCCGGCGAGGACGTCCTCAAGGCGGCGGTGGGTGAGTGGTGAGCGTCTTCGCAGAGGAATCGAGACGGTGATGTTTTGTTCGCAGGTACCGCGGGGCCGGTGACGGCGAAGATTTACTTCGGGCCGATGCAGCACTACGCCGGCGGCATTCTCGCGTCGATGGATTGCTTCAACGATATGACGTTTATGGATTTCACGGTGCTGGTGGTGGGTTATGGCGCTGATGGGGACCAGTTGTACTGGTTGATCAAGAACTGCTGGGGCACGACTTGGGGCGAGAAGGGGTACTTGAAATTGGCTAGGGAGGCGAACTACCAGTGTGGTATCGGTTTGGATTGTTCCTATCCGCTTTTGTAAATTTAGCTACGAGTTTAAATGGAGTAGATTCGCTAATTAAAGAAGACGATTGAGTAATAAAAAGAATTTATTTCCTTCCTCCTAAACTAAAACATCGCTTCAAGTATCGGATATTTTATAAGAAGTAACGCTGCCGTTGATTTCTTTCGGTATCTTCAAAAATCCATCGTCTTCCTCATCGTCTGCGCTCGATCCGGAATGCAATTTCTTCATGAAGGGGTGTCTCTTAGCAGACTGTATTCGTTGCGCCAAAATCTAAATACAAAACTTCTGTAAATAATCCTGATTAAAGCGCCATTCAAAGCGCAACAGCTGAATGAAGTTATAAACGAATACTTGTCGTACACGCTAATTCAGTGGACGGGACGAGCCGGTAATAATTAATAAGGTTCAGTTAACGCCGATGCGATTTTACAATAGAACGATTGATTGAACTCGCCCGGTCGATCAAACGACTTTTGAACCGTAACGTAAGAGCAAACACGAACGGATTGGAGCTGCCCCGTCAATTATTAATATACGAGAAACTTTATACTTCCTCTTTTCGCCGTGGAAATTAATAAAGTGCGGCTCGAAAGCGGCGAATTTGGGTCAATTTTTAATTTCTTGCGACCCGGCCGCTCTCGCTTAATTTATTATCCGTTCGAAACTCTACCTGCTGCCGTCGGATATCCGCTTCTTCCAGCTTATCCTGCAATTGCTGCAAACTGGGCGTTGGCGGCGGCCCGTCCAGCCTCTCCAGGATCCTCCTGGGCGGAAGTTTCTTCGGATTCTCCTCCTCTTCGTTCTCCTCGAAGGCTATGTCGAAGGACATGCCGTTCGCTGGAAACCAAACGTGCAATACCTGGATTAACATTCTCGGTTCTACTTACTTCCTTTGTGCATGTTGTTGACGGAGCTGTTCTCCAGGAGCAGTTCCTCTTGCAGGTCCTCGGCTTCCAGCGGTGGAAGAACGTCTTGTTGCTTGGGCGAGACCGGTACTGTTTTGAGCTGGAGGTGCCCGTTGGAGTGGCTGCCGTCCAACGGTTCAACGACTGAGGTTTTGGATGCGGTGCAGCCCATGTCTGGTTACAGAGAATTTCGCTAGGCCGTTATTGGATCGAAGGAGAAAGGAATCGCATCGTGTTTGGTGTTTTTCAGTGACAGACTGAGTTGGTTGATTTTTTTGAAGGGTTGGTGAGAAGAATTTAGGGTGAAACGTCGACTCTTACTTAAGTAATATGCGGCGTTTCGTTTTTTTTAATTTGGAGTTACGCGGTGGTCGATTCGATGTGAACTATACGCGGTTTTCCCATTAAACTTTGAACATGCCTGGTTGTTTTTGTTGATGGTAAAAAAAAAATCGATAGAGCTATTTTATAACAAAACGATACATGTACAGGTAAAATACACATGAATAGCATGAAATTTCACTAAAATCGATAGCTAAGTGTTGTTCGTTTGATTTGAAGTTGATGAACTTTAACGGTTTTTGTTTCCGATTGATTTTTATAATTAATGAGCTTGAAAGTTTTCAACTCATGAAACATCTATACATTTTTTATTGTATGTACATCATTAAAAACCAATGTTTCTATTAAACATACAAATCAAACTCGATTAATAAAACAATTTATTCCTGAATGTCGAAAGAACTTACTCAATAATCGAACGAATAAGAGATACCCATTAAAAAATCCGAATTTACCGCACTTTTTGCCACCGGTTGCGAATCCACTCTCATGTTACTTTTTACGTACGATTTTCGTTACTATGAACACGTAAATTGTTAAAAGGAACACGGGATGTTCGTCGAACATGCGCCCTCAAGTGTTTACATTCGCGCGAAAAGTGACCGGCTGACGATTGATTGGTTTTCCCTAGCGAGCGGACATTTGATTAGGAAAATTCGTCGAGGGATATTGTATATGCAATTACTATGTTTCTGTTGAACCTCGAGAAAATGGATATTGACCAATACAATGCGTAATTTTAGGTCGTTGCAACCTATTTCGACCTGTAGGATCGATTAAATTATACATAATTGGAGCGTGGAAAATATGTACTAAAAACTTTCAAAATATGCATGCGTTTATGCTCGATGAAAAAATCAGAAACAACCAAACAACATTTGGAGAATGGGATAGAATCATTTAGAACTGTCTAGAATCATTTAGAACGCTACAGAATCATTTAGAATTGTCTAGAAGCATTTAGAAGGCTCCAGAATCATTTGGGACTGTCTAGAATCATTTTGAGCGCACCAGAATCATTTAGAACTGTCTAGAATCATTTAGAACGCTTAAAGGTTAAATGCCATTGTTTTCAAAAAATGCTGTGAAAAAATAACCAATCAGAGAGCGAATTCCTGACCTACTAAAAAATTTACTATTTGTTTACTACTTGTTTACTATTTGCTACGTTTACAGAATGGCATTCCATTAGAGGACGATTGCAAAACTATAGGCTTCTTCTTTACTTTTTAAATTATGAATGAAACTCTACCGGAAGTAGCTCAAAAAAATTAAACTTCCTCTTTCGTGGCATTTTTGTGGAAATGAAAGTGACATTTGTCAAATTATTGAAGTAAATTTTTCGTTACAGTAATAAATGCTATGTAATATTTCTAAGATTTATTTCTATTGATTATAGGAAATATTATTATCTCGTTTTTCGCGCTTTCTTTTGCAATTAATTTAGCCAGAATTCTAAATGAAGTATCCAGATCCATCTAGTGAGTAATTGGTAAAACAGTGGAGCTGATTACAGGAATCTGTAATTTAGTTCGAAGTTTTAAGTTGGCGCACTTGTTAGTGCCTTGCAGCTGGGTTCTGTCATTGTGTGTCATCTGTCACTTTCAACCAAATGCCAGAACCTTGACTTTTTTCTGAAATTTCTCATTTTTAAGGTAATTTCGGTGATGTGTTAAATAAAAATTCGTCTAATCGATGAGCATTGATTGTTATACGTAAATTGCAGTGTTTATTAATTGTGCATAGGGGTTTATTTGACATTCTTTCGTTTCAGGTTACATTTTACAATCGCCAGTTTAAAAATGAAATTCTGGTTTAATAAAGCATTATCAGTAATCAATTAGAAAATCAGTAGCTAAAAAGTCGTGTTCTCTTTTTCATTAGCCCCCATAAAACATGACTGATATTTTCGATCGATTGGAATCAAATGATAAAGACACCGTCGAAGATGCAAAACAAAGTCTACGAGAACAATTTATTAAAGGTACAACAAACAACTTAAATTATATTATAACACGTTTCGAATTTACTTATCGGTAATTGGCCTATTAAATCGTACATTATTTATCAATTAGTAATTTTCGTTGCAGTAAACGAACCATGGTTGCTACAGGGATTGTACGAGTATTATCTGAACACCAATTCGCAAAGGGCCATGGAAATTTTGGTGAACATCAAAGAACCCCATTACAATTATTTATTCGACCGGTAACTTTTTTTATCCACTATGTAGTTATCAAATTTAATGAGTAAATAATATTTCAGGTTATCAGATTCATTGCGAGGTCCGAAATTAGAAACGAAAGTCCAGGCTCTGACACTGTTTGGTTACGTAGCCCGCAAGCAACCGACTTGGCTGTACAAACTCCAAGAACATCCTCTGCTAAAAGACTTATTGAAATCGTTAAAGGTAATTCTTAGTTTAGATTTAATCGATCCTTAATAATCCATTCGTTATGTAGAATGAAATGGAACTTCTGCCATTAATAAGTGCACTTCTCGTTTTAATTGTGTTGTTGCCGATGATTCCTTCGACCATGGGCAACCACTTGAGGGATATTTTTGAAATATTCAGGTAAATATGTTTGTTTGCTTATAGAAAACAATTTGACGTTAGTAATTTTTCAGTCGATTGGCCTCGTGGAATTGCAATCCGGGTAAAATCGTGGAGGATCAATTGATACACATGCAAGTGGCTTTGTACGCTTTATTTTTGCGGTTGTACGGCATGTATCCCTGCAATTTTCTCAGTTATCTCAAAATTCAGTACAAAGATCGGAATATACCTGTGTTTGTTCACACAATAAAAGTAAGTTATAGTCGGTGCAAAACAAAGCTCGTTAATCGAACGAAAGATAATAAGTATTATATTTCAGCCTATGCTAGATACTGTAAGAATGCATCCATCATTAGTAACATCGACCGAAGATACAGAAGTAACAACGGAAAGGTAGTATAAAACAAGCGGTGTACGATAATATATTAAAATTGCTTTGTTTTAGATGGAGGAGTATGGGAGTGCACGATGTAATCGTGGAGTGCGAACGATTCAGTTTGGATCTAACAGACAGATGTCCGCACGATACTTGTCAGTCCGGTTTTCGCTCGAGATCCGGTACTTCGAATTCAACCATCGGTACATCCCTAAACAGCCAATACAACGCCTTTGTCTGAAACCGTTTGTTTTAGAATCTTCATATCACCTGCAGAATTTGAAAAGCTTGGCTTCGCTGCAAATGCCCGTCACTGAACCGGCGAGTTTCTTCGCTCCGAGCATGACGTTCAACGTATCACAGCCTATAACGGAGTCCGTTCCCACGGAAATTCCCCGCGCTCAGGTAGAACCGATTCGATTGCTAGATCGGTTTTAATAGCCATTTACTTCCAGGAGATTTCCTCGCATTTCGGATCGAGACAAGGCACTTCTCCGCCGGAAGCGGCGATGGAAGCTACGCCGGAAACCACGCCGGTTAGAGTAAGTACTCGCGACTCGCGACTAGAATTAAATTTATTAATCGGGGGGAGGTTGATTTGCAGGATTACAGGTCGCTGTCGACGCGTGCGCAACCGTTGAATTCCAACATCGCTCGGGCCATCACTAATTTCACCAAGAGCCGATCGGGTACCGGTAGTTCCGTGTCGAGTACGCCCTCCCATTCGCAACCATCGTCGCCGATGCACAAGGAACAGTCGCCGTTTAATTTCTCTTCGGACGTCAGAATGGAGCCCATCAGGCATAAAGTGTGCAAACTGAAATTGGATCGGTTTCAGGTAAACTGTTTGTACTTACTAGTGAATCTAATAAGAGTATTAAAATTGTTTCTTTAGGCCGCTGAGAACGCTGTGACAATAGAAACGTCGAGGATCAAAACCATCCCGTCTAGTCCGTTGAGAATCGCGAATTCGGAGACGAATTCGAGACATTCGATGGCTAATCCGAAGCCGGAATCTCCCGTTAGCTTAGAAGACGAATTCCTGGCGGTAGTTAGTAGAAGTTGTGATCTCAAAAGTGAAAAAAACCTACTATTATTGCAAGATATCGACGATGGTATGTTACTTATTACATCTGCGCGACACCGGTGATTATCGCTTGGTTTTTTTCCCCCCAGCTTTAGAGAATAAAACCGGCGATGAGCTAGAGCACGGCTCGCCCTGCACCGAAGGAGGGCTTCACATGCCCAATTCCAAATCGATAAACAACTTCGCGAAGCGGGTGCAACGATTGAGGCATCACAGCACTTGCAATCCCGAACCGGAGAAAATGGACTCTTCTACTGGAAGTAGCCCGGGAAACGGTACTCTATTAACAACCCATTCCTGCTAAACAATCACTAATCGTATTGTACTTAGGCGTTCCATTTCCGAACAGCACGACGGTGAGAAGGGCCGTCTCCTGTCCGGAGATGAAGAAAAGCCCCTCGAATCTCCTCAAAGAAAACATCAACAAGCCGCTGAACGAGACCGACGAAGAATCTCAGGAGAAGAACGATACGGTCGCGAGGAACAACGTCAACGGCGTGACGAAAGCGACCGCCAAAATCGCAACGGCTTCGATCGCGGCGACCACGCAAACGGAGAACTTCTGGCCCTACGAGCACCTGTTCTTGGGCGTGTTTCCTTCGTTGGAATGCGGCGACGTGAAACCGAGCCCGGAGGCCAGTCCGGCCCATTTCGCCGTACCCGCCGAAAAATCGCTGCCCACTTCCATATACGACACGTTGGATCAGTAAGTACTACTTACAATCGCATGTACTATAAAGATAGAACCGAGTTAGGAGGCGAGATTTTTAAAAAATGAATTACTTGGGCATACAGAGGGGCACGTAAAGAAATCGCTGGTTACAAAAATCGTCCTCTTTTCGCTAGCTAAATTATTTTTTATTCGTAAATCGAAATTAAAAAAGTAAAATTTTTGACAGATTTCTGATTAAATTATTTGATGGACGTTGCCTGTTCGTTTGGTTTAAACGGAACCAACACCGAAATGAGATTTTTTCGTTATTTTGACAATTTCGTCGCTTTTAATGGACGAGAATAAAAGAAATTGCAATAATTCGCAAAAATAAAGGTCCCTTGGTCATTTGTACTTACCAAAAACCGAGAAATTATTTTTAAAAAACCTACACTAATGACAGCGGCGAAGAACAAACTTCTAACTGTCAAAGTTGTCATTTCCGTTACTACGGGATACGTTGACATTTAATTTGACGTACAGGGTGTTTTTTCATTAAGGAAATCGGGAAAATTGATATACAGTGCGTTTTTTTTTAATCTGAAGTGAAAAATTATTGTCTTAAATTATAATCTTAAGTGAAAAATGTCTATGCAGTAGAGCCTACGGTAACTCACAGCGATTTAGCATACCATTTGTTGTAGATACATTGAAGTGGCGGTTCGTTCGAGCGACAGAAACTCCCCGCAGTACATCAAAGAGCAATTGGAATTGGTGCACCAGCAGCTGCGGTTCGAAAGGCACAGGCGCGAGACGCACGCCTACCGGAATCGCAGGCTCTTATCGGACGCCAAGAGCACCAGGTCGTTGGAGGAGTACAATTCGGCGTTGGTAAGAAACGCGGCACTAAAATAACCGGGCAAAAACTCGTTTAGACGCGATAAATACGTTTAGTTTACAATAGTTAGAATTGCGATCGTTGCGAATTTAGTGAAATTTTATTTGAATTTAACGCTATGGAAAGGTTTTTCGATATGTTCAAAACGAAAGTAAGTCGATTCTTGTAGACGTGTAATCTAAGAGTTGCTCGCTTTGAGTAATATTTACGGAACGTTTTCAGCGGGACACCGTGCAGCTCCAGCAGAAGGACATCGACGATCTCCGAGGTGAATTGGACAGTTTCAAAAGGGATAAATCGTCGGAGGATAAGAAATTGAACAGGACTATCCAATATTGGGAGAGCCAAGTGAGTTTATTCTTTGTTTAAAAAAAGCGCCTGGTCGATACAATGATATATTTCCAGTGCAAAATTATACAAGCCGATTACAAATCGTTGGAGGAAAAGAACGAACTGTTGCGCAAAGAACTAACCGATTACAAAGAAAGATACGCGCAAATGGAAGCCAAATTAGCGGAAGCCCAATCTGAATTGTTTGAAGCTCTAGCGGACGTAAATGTAAGTTTTTCTCGCCATTATAATCGATGCGTTTACTGATTGTTCGATACAGATTACCAAACAGAAAGTGCTGAAAGGCGAAAAGGGCAAACGGGAGTTGGAAGAAGTGAACAAGGATTTACTGTTAATCGGCGAGTTGCAATTGAAATACAAAGAGCGATTGGACATGTTGGATTCGGACAGGGTGCCCAAAGAGCAGCTCGAAGAATTGAGGAGGACTTGTTGGGAGGAAGTGAAAGGTGCTCGCGCGACTATTAAGTGTTAAACGTGTTAATAAACAACTCGTTTTCAGCATTAAATCAGCAACTAGAGAACAAAATCTCCAATTTGGAGGCGTACAGGAGTCGAGTGTTGGAATTGGAGCACACCATCGGCGTGAAAGACGATCTGATTTTATCGCAAAAACAAATACTGTGCGCGCTAAACGAAGAAAAATTCGAGAAACTAGAGGTACTTGTTAATACTTTCCGTTAATACATAATTAAATTAGGAATACTTTATATTTGTATTGTAGGCTGTAGAGAGTAAGTACCAAACGCAGTTGCTGATCAACCGGTGTTTGGAGGAGAAAATCCTGGATCTGTGGCAACGATTGGAGTACGTGAAAAGGTCCGTTCATTCGCCGGATACGAGCAGTTGTCACGAGGTGAACGTGACGACCACGGCCGGATTGAGCCCCCATTCGTCGCCCCTTTCCGCTTCTTTGGCCTCGTCCGAAGGCAGTATGGCGTTCCACGAACGAGAAGTGAAAAATTTACAGGTAAATGGTTTTCATATGCTAGGCTGTCCGCATTGTTAATACAATTCGTTGTTGTTTAAGGCTATAGTAGATCAAAAGGAGCCGTCTTCTTCGAAATCCAGACAAGACGAATTGGGGGAGGCTTTCGCCGAAACCGACGGATGACATAATACCGACTGATTTTTCGCTATTATTTTTAACTATTTTCTTATTTAACTTCGAAAGTAATGGGTATTTTTTCAATTACGTGAAAACGAAGCTTGATTCGACCAATTATCGTTAGTTTACATTTTAAGTATAAACGCAATTGACGTGCGATATTTAAATTGTCAGGATGTAATCAACACTAAACACTTTTTTTGTGACAGCTGACGTTTGACAGACCTGTCACTTGTCGAAACAGACTGATCTTGGTATTAAGTTTATTTTACTTGTTGGTCTTAAATCAAGCTGTATATTATAATGTACGTTTTTTTTTTGTAAAGAACTGCTTCAACTTTTAGCTATAAACCGTAAAAATTTTTATAATAATCATGTAAGGAATAATTTCATTTTTACTACTGGCAATTTTCCCCCCTATTTTTTGTTTTTTTTTTTTTAGAAATTGTTTATTGTTACATTTCTATGTTGTGATTTATTTCGATTTAAAACCAAAAATGTTTGAAAGGAAATTTCTGGATTTGTGATTATCGATGAAACAAAATACTATATGTTGTTATGGCTGAATTATACTGTTGTCGTCAAATTGATTTTCAAATAATTTTTATTAAATGTATATAATTAACGCTCTGCTCTATCAATCGGTTCAGTTACTTCAACATTAATAACCATTTTATTATCTCTTTGAAACATTTAACACACTAACAAATTAATTTATCCTTAAACTTACTGTCGCATTCGAACTACTCGTAGCTGATCGAATGCAGATACTTTCTCATTACGTATTCCTTATCGACTGGAAACTGATTGATACCTACGTCTTGATAAAAACGAGTTTGTTCTCCACGGTACTTCTCAGGATCGAAAACATCAGGCGGGTACGCAGGATAATTTTGCTGCCTGTAAGCGGGATTCCTCGCCAAAAACGAAGCGTTCAAATCATCTTGTGGATTATACAAATAAGGATTCCACATTGGAGGATTTCTCACGGGAACGCGGTGCCTGTACTCTACCTCAGGCATAGAGACATGACGTGGAGTTACTGGCAAGAACGGCCGCATTTCCTGCTGTAACATCAGACTGTAAATACATGAAGTTAATAGGCAGGAATCTAACTTGCTCTGTAATCTATGGGGTATCTGAAATTCCCGTAGTCCTCGTAACCGGGAGGTGCCAACGGCGGTAAGTTCCTCCTCACCGCCTCCTTGGGGTAAACGTACCGCATGGGGATGTATTCCCCGTATGTAGGATGGCGCTCGATCGGCACCGGATCCACGTAGTTCGAATAGTGCATACCGATTTTATCGGCGTTCGATTTTTCGAACGCCTTGTGGAACACGGGTGGATCGTTGCGGGGATATTGGCGGGATTCGTACGGGTTTTCGCCGCTCAGCGGTTTGTTTTGCGATAGAATTACCGGTTCTCTTTGCGCGTACGACGAGGATTCGCCGGAGATGTTCAAGTCGGGCAAGGAGGCGTCGAATTTTTCGCTGGTTTCCTCTTTGACGTTCTGGAGGGAGAGCAATTGCGAGTAATAGTCTATGGCGCTCTTGGGAGTGTGGTGGACGAAGGATTGGTCTTTGGATTCGGCGTAGATCGGCTTTTCCTCGGATTGCTCGAATTCCTTGTCGCTGAGGGGGAATTGGGAGACGTTGAGCTTGGGGCGTTTGGTGGGTTGCTGTTTCATGGGGGTTTTTTGGATGCGCTTCCATGGGGTGTTCTCCGCGGGTTTCGCATTGAATTGCTTCGGTTGGGTTTTATATCTGGAGAATGTTGCATGTACAAAATTGTTGTAGCGCTGTTTTAAATTTACCCATAGTGGTATTGCGTTGAGTTTTCCGCATTTCTGGCTTTCTGGTTCGCTGCGGGAGATACTAAGGGCGATCTCCATCTTAAGCTTTTCTGATTTTGCATGTTTGTGTATTTTGAACTCGACGACGGGCTCGGCATTGGATCGGAGAACATGTTCTTACCGTTATTGTGATTATCGTTCAACTCGCCGAGTACTACTCTTTGCCTGCATTCTTCTTTTTGCTAAAAAGTATTTTTCGAACAATATTACGAATAGGAATTACTGTTATTTATTAAAAAAAGGATACTCATTTACTTTTTAATCCGAAATTACATCCAGTACTAACCTTTTCCTAAAAATAATTAAATTTAATCATAAGAGAACAACGTTATATCATAACTACCATTACCTTTTCGTAGCTTTTTAACATTTCAAACATATTTGCCATATTTACAACAATTAAATGCTTTATTTACTTAATTAGAAATCAATCATTAATTACCAGCTTAAATTTAATAAAATTTTGAATATGTCAACGCGAAATGTCAACTGTCATTTTTCCAGACTACTACGATTCAATGCACCTCATACTACGAGGGTGCTATAAAATGTTGTCTATCCCAGTATTAATTGTTTATGATCTTCTTAGGAAAAAAAAATGTCTACAATGTTTATTGAAAAAAATTAACAATTCGCTTAAACATATCGAAATTATTTGCTCTTAATAACGCTAAACAACTAATAAATTGAAGAATAACACTGATAAAACGATTATTGATTATCTAACGAGCCCCAATACTTCTTCAAGCCGTATTCCTTATCGAAGTCGGGAAATTCGGGGCTATCGTATTCGTATCTACGAGCCTGTCCGCCGGGGAAGTACACGTCTTGAGAACGCGACGCCGGCGGAGAAGGAAAACTCTGCCTCAGATAATCGGCGTTGTAAACATTTCTCATTGGAAACGAACGATCTAAATCGTTCTCGACGTACAAATGTCGATTCGAACTCGCCTGCGAAGATGTGTGATGAATATTCGGTCGCCTGAAATCCATATAATCTTCGTTCGGTACAATTCTCTGACGTTGCGATAACTGCATAGGGTGCGGCAATTCCTCCTAAAAATATTAATATTACTAATGTATACCGGAGAATTTTTGAGGGCATTTTCGATCGTTTATTACCGGATAATTGGATGGGAATCCGACAGGAACGTTATTATAACGTCTAATAGAAGGCCGAACGTTGTACTCTAAATACTCCGGTTGGGTAAAACTCCTCCGGACGACGCTCGCCGGATAATTGTAAGGAACAGGGCCGTACTTCGGGTAATATTCCGGTTGCATCCGATCGGCGTAGCTGTAGCAATAATTGCTCGATTCCGGCGCGTTTAAAAAAGGCGTTGTTGCGTTGTAATTGCGCGGATACGCGTGCGGCGCAGTCATCGGGTACTTGTTCATAGGCGGCTCCAAATCCGCGCAAAACGCGTAATTATCGTTTAATTTCGTATCGGAGTATTCTTCCGATGGCGTCCGTGACGCGTTGTTTAGACATTCTTCGTTGAAATCATCGTTTGGTATATTTTCCAGGTAATCGGAACTCTCGGATTCCTCATCGCTTTTGATGTTTTCGTTAGTGTAAGATTGCTCGTTGGTTTTGCCCTGATTGTTGCCGATTTTCGAATCGTAATCGACGGTAGGAGATTTGCGAGGTTTCGAAATTTCCAGTAACAGTTGAGCGGAACACAAATCGGAAAATTGCTTCAAAATCGGATGTACTGACTCGTACTCGTCCTTGTTGCTCGATTTTTGGCGCCTTTTTGACGGTTTTAGGGTATTCACGGGCGAGTGTTTGGAATGCTCAAACAATTCGTTATGCCTAAAAATTTATACCATTAGATAACTTTGCATTAAAACTCTTGTTGCTCATCATATTTGCATCCCATTTGTACCACACTACACCATGGTAGTTTCTTTTTTGGGACACCCTGTATCTTTACAATGTTTTGGTACCTTATCGAAGCCTACTGGGATACAAATAAAATGAGAAGAAAACTTGGAAATACTGAGTGTGTATTTGAACAATTTTACCCGTCATGTAGCAATTCATTATCATCAATAGAGCTTCTTCTCGAGAGTTTTTTAGAGTGGGAACGTTTCGGGGAAAATTTCATTTTAGGAGATAATGGGATTACGGGCGATTTTTTCCATTTAATGTTCTTGTGATTGTCCGTATAATAATCGGCATGTTTCGAGGAAGATGGTTCCGATATTTCCGTTATTTTATACGATGGACCCGCCATTGAATTAGAAAATTCATCGTTGTTCATTTTTCTTTTCTGCGGTTTCTTGAATACCTCCAAACCGGACTTTTTCCCGTATTCTTCTTGCTGAAATTTTATTTCTTATGAATTATACTGTATAATAAATGTTTGTCACTTTATATATTTTTTGCTTACGTAAAACATAATTCAGAATACATAAGTAATCAACATTCGTAAAAAAATAAAAAGTTTTCTACTTATTTTTAAAAAGTAATTAAATTTGAATCTGTCATTATTGTCACATCTGTCACTTATCCTGTCAAATTTAAATATAAAAAAATTCGTATTACGAGGGTGGTTCAAATAGTCGTAGTAACTAATGCAGAGGATTTTAAAATAAATCGAAGTAATTACAATTAGTTGGTCTTCCAATATTTCGGCGGGATGCAAATCGTCGGTTTTCTTTTTCCTTTTACTCCTGAAATTCAAAATGTTCCTCAAAGTGTCGTTTTTCTTCTGAGATTTGCTCGGCAACGGGCCGACGTGGTCTTGATTCGTAATGTCCGTCAAATATTTCTGCGATATCACGAAAAGAACCGGATTCGTAGACGTTAGCAAATTCAATTCGTTTGTATATTCCTCACTTTTCATCGAAAATTGGTCTGTTGTTTGAGCTTCTTGCGAATCCTAAAAATAACAAATGTATCCACATAAAACTTTAAGAAGACGCTAACCTTTTTATTATCAGTATCCGCGCAATTCTCCGTTTGTTGATTTCCTTCAGATTTTTCTGTAATGTTCACGGAAACTTCTTCATCCGCCTCTGGCTCTTCCACAGCGCTACTTATGATTTCCTCGTAATCTTGAATTTCGTTGCTTGTATAAATAATTTCATCGACATTTTCAACCGACGAGCATTCTTTAACCGTCGTGTCAACGTTTTTGTAAGCTGTAATAATTTTATAATCTTCCAATAGATCGTTCAATTCCGAATCGCTAATATTGTTAGATAATGATAGCTTCTCTTTAACGTCGTTGCAATTTTCGCTTCGAATTTTCGCAGGGATCTTGTCCAGTTTCTGGTTGTTTTTAGGAATCTCTTGAAGCGAAGTGTTTTCAGGTTTGTGGACGTTCAAATACATATCCAAGTAAGATTGCATGTAAGAGGACCGTTTTTTCTCTGTAATTGCCTCGAAATTTTGCCCCGTTTTGGATGGTTCGTGTCTGTTGTTGTCTATATCGAAGCGATACTCATCGTTACAATCTATTCCAACTGTAAAATATAGAAGTGTAATTAACAATTAATTAGTTTACGCGTTAAATTACCCCAATTGTCGCTTATGAAATGCGCTTTTATGAATTCCACTCCTGTTAATGATAGAAGCTTAACGAATTTCGTAATTTCCGGATTGGCTATTAAATATGAAGTTCTACAAACACAAATTAAAGTCTCTCTAAAATCTGTTGTAATAATTTACTTACAGATAATCCTCGTGCAATAACACCTCATTCAAACTCGTACCTACTAATAGAGTCATTCTAGATGAAGGAGTAACCGTACACTTTTCTCGTACATCATCAACATTTCTCAATTTTATCGTCACTTTCAAATGATCCTGATGATAGCGCTCCAAATACATCGAATATTTGGGCATACCACGCACTTCTTCTAGTAAATAATTACCGAAGGGCGGTTTCCTTTTAATGTTCTGTAATTTAATAAAATTATTATTAATACAGAAAGGCTAAGTTTTTGTTTAACAACGAATCATTCCGTATACTAACATAAAATAGTAAATAATTACCAATTCGAGTTCGCGAGCGTTAGATTTGGCGAGCTTTTCGAAAGTATCTTTCCCTGCGTTAGTCAATTGAGCGGCCGAGGTGCTCCCTATGCCAGTCAATTGCTTACTAACGTACGGGGAATTCTCCCATAATTTCGCCTTTAGGCATTTCCCCAAGATAATGGCGCTGTACAACGCGTTGTAGCAATTCGGCTTTCTCATTTGCATGTAATCTATTAAACCTGGAAAAGACACAAATTCGTTAAACACAATTTCACCAATAGAATTTTCTTACATCTAACTATGCGCTCGCTGTTTCTTATTATCGTATAAGATTCGTTTTGTATCGAGTAATCCGTTATTTCCAGATTGCCCAGAGTGGCTTGGATTATGCTGAAAAACAAATAACGTTTTATTTACACGGCGAATACGCTCGAAAAATGTTACCAATTGACTTTCATATCCCACGTTTTAATTTTCCCTTTGAGCGGGAAACGAATCGACTGCTTCTTGGAATTCCTGTTCAATAAATTCAAAGTTTTCTTGTCGTTCACTCTCAATCGAATCTCGGAAAATTCCTGGCATTTCGATATCAAAGCCAACAGTTGAATGATCACTTCGTTGCCGTTTAACTACAAAAATAGGAGCGATGAACGGATCATTCCTTGGTCATTCTAATGATCAATGATTGAGGGATTTGAGTATTTAAATAGGGAACCTGCGTAAACATTTTCATCGTTTGAAAATCGACGTAATATCTCGCCATTAATCGACCAGTGGAGGTCGGTTTTACGTTTATATATTCGTCTACTTCAATCATCCCGTTCAACACGAGTTTATTCAAATCGATTTGAAACATCTCTGGAAACATTCATAACATTAAAACACCTGTAAATTCAACACCATTCCCCAACATTCTGTTAAATTAAAACCAGTTTACCTAATAGTTTCTTATCTAATTGTTGTTGATTGCAATTCACGGGCAATCCGTAGTATTTGGGATTCTTCCTGGCTCTGATGTAGAGAAACGTAGAGGCCAACCATTGCATGGCGACCTCCAAGCCATTTATGGTGCCCAGCACCACCTCGGCGTTCAAATGCTCGGTTAAATGCTTGTGCAAGTTCGATTCCACCGGTTCGTTACAATTGATTTGCTTCTCCACTTTTTTCTACGACACAACAACATTAATCCGAGAATAATAAGTGGTGATTAATCGTACTTTGCTGTCGTTGGTGGTTAGAATTATAGCGGTGGCGCTGGTGTCGAATTGAATCCTGCCCGCTCGCCCTATCATCTGATTGATGGCGGTGGCCGAATAGTCTTGGTAGTTTCCGTTCGCGTAGAATTTCGTGGACTTTATGATGACCAAATGAGCCGGAAGATTCACGCCCATCGCCAGCGTACTGGTGGTGACTAGTATGGGTAAATGTCCTTCGCGGAACGCGCTTTCTATCCTGTACCGCGTGTCGTTGGGCATTCCTGCAAAGGCGCACGAAATAAGCTTGAATCATGCAATTTGATGATCGGATTACCGGCGTGGTGGACTCCGATTCCGTGTTTAATAACGTCCTTGATTTTATTGTCGGTAATGGATTCGCTTACGTCGATCAATTGCCGAGCCTGGAGAGGATTTATCTGGATTTTCAGCGTTTGCTTAAGATGCTTAGCCGTCATATCAACGCTCTTGCGTGTACTGCAGAAAATCTAACAAACCACCGGGATTAGAAATGTGTAAACGAAAGCGTTGCAGAGTTTAAAGCGCACCAAGGTCGGTTTCCCTTCGGCGTGTTGTATGATTAAATTTTGCAGCCGGTAATTCAGCGACAAATCGAACTTGAACGGGACGGAAGCGATGGGGGAGCTGTAGCCTAAAACTATCGTCTTCAAAGGGACGGGGCGCGCGTCGCTCGGGAAACTGGGAAATTAAATAACGCATCATCATTAACAGTTTTTAATAAGTTCAACGAGGTTTACTTGAATAAATTCCTGCAACCTAACCATTGGGCGATGTCTTCTACGTTACCGATCGTCGCCGAAACCGCCATGAAGCGCATTTGGGTCTCATCTTCGCGATTAGGCGTGTAATTCTGGATGGTTTTCATTCTACTAACCTAGTAAAACGAAGACAATATACCCTATAGACAAAACTACAATCGCGTAACAAATAAACCTACAATCACTTCCAACGTGGAGCCCCTGTCGTCCTCGTTGAGAAGGTGCACCTCGTCGATCATGAACAACTTCACGGCCCTGACGACGAGCTCGTTGTCGCGCCATTTCCGCGTCAGGACGTCCCACTTCTCGGGCGTGGAGATGATCAAATTGTGGTTGATCAGCGTGTGGTAGTCCAAATTGTCCGATTCGCCGGTCGCGCAAACGATGCTGACGCCGAACGGCGAGAATTTCCTGTTCCAATCGACGACGCGCTCCTGGCACAGCGACTTCAGCGGCGAAACTGGCAATTAATGAATGTTTAGTAAGAGTATTTTTATGGTAGCATCGTTTTTTCGCTTGATAATTCGAATCTAGCAAATGTAGCATACAAATAAAGTGATTATTTAGATAAAATATCCAGTTGTTATCCAGTGGCGTCCTGGAAAGATGCGATGGTTTTGTCTACCCTCTTATAATCTACACCACTGTGCAAATATTAAATAATCTGTATTAGATATTTCTACAATCATTTACCCTCGTATTTACGAGTATATCTACCTAGCTAAATTACCTAAATATTTAACCATATATTCGCATTTTTTGGAAACCCTCCACAATCCAATTTAATGCTTTAAAACATATTTAAATAACCGTTTTATTTGGACATATGCTTAAGGTATCAAAACACCCTGTATTTCCTATTTACTTACTATAAACAATTTTGAAATCTTCAAATGCGTTAGCCTCGTAGTCCATGAGTAATTTGACGATGCCCAGTTCGAATATGACGGTTTTGCCGGAGCCCGTGGGCGCCGAGACGACGATAGATTCATCTGGAAAAGGTAAAATTGAGATTATAAAAACGAAAATGCCGGTAAATTAATTTGAATTACTGGAATATAAAATGGACGGCAACACTTTGGATTGTACGGCATTGAAACAGACGTATTCGGAAAATACGCCCCTAAATCGGGCCGGAATTTCGTCGATGTGTTTCAGATTCAACGCGTTCATTTTCTATAAATGAAAGTTTCTTGTCAATCAATTATATTTTTCAAATTATAAACACTAGATGAAATCAAATTAATTCAAATTCATGTTTGAAAATAAAAAACAGGATATCTGCGTTCAAACGAACTGTCAAAGGCTATTGCCAACTTAAGTTTGGTAAAAAACTTAAGTCACTAACTTATTTTTAGTTAATTTGGTATTAAATTATTAGATTTTTGTTTAATTTGGTTATTTATGACAGCAACATTGTTATTTCATTGCGATAATTTGGTTTTTAGTGTTTTAGTTAGAAATAATTATAAAAATGCTACACTTTATACAGAGGTGTAATCTTGGTTGCATAACAACTGTTCTGCGTTACCGTGCAACTCGTTTCAAGATATTATAGCAAGAGAAACAGAGTTAAATAACGAGAAATCGATACTTTTTGTATTAAGAGTTTTTTTTTTAAGATTAAGTAAAATACACTCGCAATATCAATGAGAAATTAGATAGGATATTTCCGGTATCGTAGGCCAGAAAAGAAAGATGAAAAGAACCACATTTTTTGGTTAAAAAATGTATGAATGGATGAAAGGATTTATGATTTCTATGAAGAAAAACATAAATAAACGTAAAAGGTCATGAAGGGGTTAAACAAAAAATCTTTATTTTACATGTTTTATACTCAAATAATTAACACCTACAATCGTTATTCGTAAATCGTAATTTATTAACATACAATTTAAATTAATACGCTATCGGACACCGAGACCAACGGCCGGGAACCCCACGTGTCCGACTTGAGCCAAGGGTGATTCAACACCTGAAAACTATTAATCCTCGCCTTCTTATCCGGCTCTAACAACGCGAACAACAACCGCTTCAACTCCACCGAACACCATTCCCAAAAATACTCGAAATTCCTCAAGTTCCTGCTCATCTGGTCCTTCACCATTTTCCTAACGTCCGAATCGTCGAACGGCGTCGAGGCGGTGATCATCACGAACACTATGCACCCCATCGCCCAAATATCGTACTTCTTGGGATCGTAGAACTCCCCGCGCAGGACCTCGGGGGCGGCGTACGCCGCCGATCCGCAGAACGTGTTCGACAGCACTTTGTCGCCGCCGTCGTCGACGCAGTACCGGGCGAAGCCGAAATCGCCCAGCTTCACGCGCTTGCTGGACACCAGGAAGATGTTCTCGCACTTGATGTCCCTGTGGGCGATGTTCGAGCAGTGCAAGTAGTGCACCGCCTCGGCCACCTGCCCGAACAACAACCTGGTTTTGTTCTCGTCGAACGGGCCGCGTTCGCGGATGAACTCCAGCAGATCGCCGTGCTTGCAGTAGTCCATCAGCACGTAGACGTTGTTCGGCGTGTTGATGACGTTGTAGAAGGTCACGATGTTCGGGTGCTGGACGCGCGATATTATCTTCAGCTCTCTCGGCAGGAATTTCTGTATGTAATAATCGTCTGCCGAAGCTTTTTTGCTGATTATTTTACAGGCGAACTTCTTCTGCGTCACGGTGTGCACGGCCAAACACACTTTGCTGTAGGTGCCTTTGCCTATCACTTTGCCCATTTGGTAGACGGATATTTTGGACAGTTTCGGCGGGCATTTCTCCCATTTCTTCGCTTTCGAATACTTCGACATTTGGGTTCTTATAGGAATTTTGAGCCGAAATCCGAGCTGCTGATGCTTATGGTTAATGACAATTCGTTGACAAATCGTTCTTAAACTGACAGTTTTGACAATACTGATGGTACAAACTCATTACGAGGGTAGGGTGAAAAGTTCTCGGGCTGAATCATGAACTGTCTAGAATTCTAGAACAATCTAGAACACACCAGAATCATTTAAAACTACAGTCTAGAACCATTTAGAATGCTCCAGAATAATTTAGAGCTGTCTAGCACCTTTTAAAACCTTGCCAGTCTAGTAACTTGTTTAGGTGTAGCAATTATTAATAATTTATTTTCAGTATATCCAGTAGATCCACTTTCACAAGAAACGCTACGATTTGATTTCATTTATTCGGGAATAAAGGGACCCGAAAACGAAAAATCAGTCGACAACTCTCCGCCATGCGGCGACCCGGCAGTTATTCATGACAAGTAAATATCGGGAATTAAACATGTCACAACACGACCGCCCCCGCGTTTCCTTTATCGCCGCCCCTTCTGCGACCCCGGCCCGATTCCGTCCCTCGCGCGACCGTCGCTTCGCCAGTCTGCATTTCCAGCGCTCGATAAACCGAACAGAGCGGGGCAAAAAGGACACTAAAATCCATCTAAAAATTCAATTTTACGCTATAGAGATGCATCAATGCACGAGCTTTGTTAGATGCAAGTTTGAGCAAGGAATAGTAAGAAACAAGTTATAAAAAAACAGACAGTTAGAGGTCTTCTGTATTACTTGTACAATCAATTTGATAATTCGCCCCGCTCTACCCTACCTAGTTGGGATTGTGCGAGCGATTCGATAAAGCGGCGGTAAGAGGGTGTAATTCGCCCCCCGGGGGCAAGGAAAGCTCGAACAATACTCGATCAAAGTCGAATGGTAAGGTTTGTCATTACACACGCACTCCCCACAAACGGAGGATGTTATTAGGCATCAATTGATATGGTTATGTGATTAGTGATTATCGAAACGGCGACATATAGCGGTCGACCCCTCACTAATTATGTTATTAAGTCTTCGGGATTTCTTTTTCAAGGGTCATTCCCTTCAATTATCCCTTATTTATTAATGTATTCATTTAAAGTGCTATAAAAATAGCTGCAGATAGTATGATGCGCTATAAGTTATACCTCTATACAGTTATTCCTATCAATAGATGATATTTTACTATTTGCTACTCTACCATCTACTCTTTACTCTCTACTCTTTAGTCTTTATACTCTCTACTCTTTACAATAATCAAGTCTTGACTCTCTAGTAGTCTACTCTTTACTATCTACTCTTAACTCTCTATACTTTTTCATACTCTCTACTCTTTACTGATAACTGTTTTCTCTCTACCCTTTACTCTATATACTTTTTATACCCTCTACTCTTTACTGACAACTGTTTTCTCTCTACTCTACTCTCACTCTTTACAATAATCCAGTCTTGACCCTACCCTACCCTACTCTTTACTCTCTACTCTACTATAGGTACTAATTTTTTGCTCACTACTCATCTTTACTCTTTACTTACTACTCTTTACTCTCTACTCTTCACTACACTGTAGATGATATTTGCTCTACAAAACGAGGCGCAAAGTGTTATGTTATAGCACTCCATTTTTGATTACATGATATCTAGAAGATTTATTCATTCGCCATTCTGTTAATGATGAGGTATAGGTAGGTATATATTTTTTATCGTCTTGCAGGTTTGTCACGCGACCGCGAGTAAAACAATCAACGAATAATTAGGAGAAACGTTTGTTTCATTGCGCGTCGTTGATTGGGCCCCGGCAGTAAATGAGTAATTTCATTTTTTTATGGGCTCCGCTTCTAGAAATTTCGGTTCGTTATTGCGTTTTTATAGCCGCGAAAATTACGGTTCTAAAATTGCGCTACAATGTTGGGAATATTTAATTGTGCTCTATAAAAGTGCGCTCGGAAGAGAGATATTTTTTTATATGGGAATTCTCTTGAGAGGCTAATTACACGTTCGTGAGGTGTGCGATGAATGCATACTTATACACGCGAGTTTAAATCTTGGGAATATAAAGTTAGCAAGTTGGCACTTTTAGTAACTAAATGATTATTAAAAATTTATCGAACCAACCAAATCGTGGAGATAAAAAGGAAGCCCGGGGAAGCTCAATCAGCAATTCAAATGATCCCAATTTGCTCTTAATATTTAATGCTGCATATTTCGAATTTATTAATGGTATAATCGACTAAACAAACCCATATGATTTAGTATCTAGTACTGTCAAATTGCATCGGTTTTTAGCTTTAGCAAAAAATCCACTCGGCTCACCTAGAAATGTAAATTTCGGCGGTACGAATGGGGGTGGTTGTTAAAAAGCGAAGCGAGTAGGGGTTGCAGGGTCTGATAATCTCGTTATATCAGACAAAACCGACTTTTACAGTAGCATGTTTTATACGTGCTGATCATCAAAATATACATTGCATATTCATGGGGTTTATTCGGTTAGTATTCCGTACACCGGCGTTAGTTTTGCCTATACGAGGGGGCCCGTCGAAAAATCCGCGCTCAATTAAAATATGATAAAAAAAAGAAATAATAAAAATCCGGGCTCTCTGCGATAGTTAGTAGTGATTTGTGATCGTCCGGGCGGACTGAAATAATATTTCATTTCGCGGCGTCCCGTTTGAAAGCCATCCGAAGCTGACTTTATTTATCGACTGGGGGCAATTAAAACGTAACTTGAAGCGTTTAGAAGATAAGCAGCCAGGATATCCTTCATCAATGTTGAAAGTATCCTTTTATTACGCTTTTAATAGACCTTAATAAATATTTATTTGTTGCGCGCTCTCCTCTCTCCGGCTCATTTTTTTCGTATTCTTTGATGTTGAATTCGCTACTTTGAAACCTTCGATGGTTTATTACGCGGGGCTCGACAATACGAGGGTACTCCGTTATTTTATTTTCTCCTACATAAAACTTTTTAATATGCACACTAAATAACACAATGAATGACGTAAAATGTTCGTGTGTATATAGAGGGCGTAGCGAGTTAATTGATTCGCAATTGTTGCTAAATAACGGGGGTGTTTTCGGGTTCGAATTTCGAAACATCGGGAAAATCCCTGACCCGTATAATCAACGTAGCTTGTAAAGGTCCGCCTAAACGGATTAAGCCGGCGATGTCGTGGCCATTCGTTCAGAAAATGCAGTTACAAAAGGAACGTTACTCGCCCGAGAGCCCGTCGGCGCCCCGACGCTCCCCCATCCGCCCCGTCCCCCGTCCGCCCTCGACGCCCTAATCCGCGTTCACACTTCATTGCGCGCTCCGCCGTCTCTCTCCCTGCTTTGCGCTCTCATTACTCTAATTAAGTTAGGCAGGGCCCGTTCGAATCACGAATTCGGCGCATTGTTTGCGACTGGCATAAAAGGAAGGCGGACGGGAAAAAATCGCGATGTATGCTGATTTTATTAGACGAACGTTCGGAGGGGTCAATTCTACAAACAAGCTTAACGAATTCCTCTTCTAAGAATACTAATATAAGGTATGCGACATTTGTCGTTTCTCAATTGATGGTAATGATGTGCTTAGTAACTTCGTATGTAACTTATTTGGCAGACTAATTTGTTGCAAATTTGAAGAATAATGAAATAATGGTCTCTACTCTACTTTCTATACTCTCTCTATCTTCTATGCTCTCTGCTCTCTGCTTTCTGCTCTCTGTTGTTCTCTGTTCTCTTTTCTTTGGTCTCTGTTCTTAATGTTCTCTGCTCTCTGTTCTCTGTTCTTTGGTCTCTGCTCTCTGCTCTCTGCTCTCTGCTCTCTGCTCTCTGCTCTCTGCTCTCTGCTCTCTGCTCTCTGCTCTCTGCTCTCTGCTCTCTGCTCTCTGCTCTCTGCTCTCTGCTCTCTGCTCTCTGCTCTCTGCTCTCTGCTCTCTGCTCTCTGCTCTCTGCTCTCTGCTCTCTGCTCTCTGCTCTCTGCTCTCTGCTCTCTGCTCTCTGCTCTCTGCTCTCTGCTCTCTGCTCTCTGCTCTCTGTTCTCTGTTTTCTGCTTCTTGTTCTCTGTTCTTTGGTCTCAGTTCTCCATGTTCTCTGTTTTTCTGTTCTTTGGTCTCTGTTCTCCATGTTCTCTGCTCTCTGCTCTAGGTACTTTAATCTGCTCTACCCTGCATTGAAATGAATTCTTTTTAAAACAACGCGAATTTTCGCTTGTACTTTTTAGCATTCTTCTTGTTTAGGTATATCAGAAAATTATTGGGAAACTTTTCAACAAACAAAACAATAGAAAATTGCTCCTTCTTATGTCGGTTCGCGTTCATTGGAAATCAAAATGCGAAACGTGTTTATTCGAGTTCTGTGTGCGTGTGTGTTATCTGCGTTGTTGCCAATTGTCCTGATGTCGATATGCAGGTTCTCTACTGCTCCCTTTGCGCGATTTTCGCACCCCTACGTGTGCGAATTTTTCACGTATTCTTTCCCAAATTGTATCATTGATAACGGAAACGAATAAAAAAATACGCCATCGACAAAAAAAATACAACGAATCGAATCGCCGAGTGGATATACACGGGTATATAAACGTGATTTTTTTTTCGTATCCTGTAACGCGACCGTTTCGATTTTGACTGGCAATATTCAAGCGATTATTGACGTGAAAGAGATGATTTTTTTACAAAGGAATTGTAATTATATGGGCCGGTGCAAATTTGTTTGCAGTTTGGTCAATTCTGCGAGTCGAAGAAAGAAATATTATATTGAAATAACATCAGTGGTTAGAATGAGAAAGAAAGTTGCGATACCCCGATATCACTTTCTTTTTCTTTGATATGAGACTAATGCAAGTTGTCTTTGTTGCACCCTTATTGAGTACAAATTTGTACTTAATGTGTACACCTATTTTCAATCAAATTAAATCCAGCTTAAGTTAATATTATTATTAATTATATAACTTCCACTCTGCAGCTCCTACACTAAACAAATTCGAAAAGTGACAACTGTAAACAAACATAATCCTATACATGCTTATTAGCGCCAACTCCACAGCCCACTCGACTTCATCGTTTTATATCGAACACTCGACTAAAAAAAGCTCTATTATTAAACTTTAGCGCAGTGAAATACTAATATTGTCATTGTGTCGTCGACCGGACGCAATTCGCACAATCGATTCGACGGTTAATTACCGCCTAGACGTACAAAATATTTTATAGAGCCGCGCGTGTCGCTCTATCGCACGACGCCGACGACAAAACGCGTATCAATTCTGCCAGAATAGTTTCATGAGTGAGTTTTAAGGCCACGCGTCGACGGCACGTTTCTCTAATTTCGGATTAATAGATTGCGGTTAGAGGAGTCGCAATTCATTGGCCCGTTCTTTACACTTTACCGGCGACGTGAGAACGAATTTATCCGTTTCCACTGTAATATCCAACTCGTATTTTTTGTTGGAACGCAGCAACATCGGAAATTTTACTTCAAACGGGAGCTTCGCGATGTAATCTCGCCGGTTCGTGCGCAATTATTCCGCATTAGATCGTTTGTCGTTGGGAAGAAAAAAGGAACAATTTCGGTCGGTGGAAATCCGAACGAGTAATCTCTTAATTGCGATTCTTTTGTAATTAAATGCCGGACGAAATTTCGACCGCAGGTGCACCATTTCGTATATAACAGAAAAAAAATTGGGAGGGGGTCGATTCGGATCGAACAAAAGATTTTCGACAACAAAGGGTTGAAAAGTAAGACTTGTTAGTCGCTTTTTTGTAAATATTAATCGAAAATTTCTGGTCAGGTGAAAGATCTAATAGTGATGGGTCCATCACAACTATACACACGTGTTTCAATTAGTATGTTGCGCAAATATCTATCTATTTTATAGTATCTACTCGTTTTGTGTGTGTATATCCAAAACAAATACAATTTATACACACTAGCGTGTAGCGTGTCAATCAAAAAGAGCTAGAGGAGTGAGATTCTAACAGATGTATGAAGGATTTAAGCCCATATATTGGATTACAATTACACGGTCTTACACATGTTCCCGCATTCTATATTGTAATTCAAAGGAGATTTCGCCACTGGTGAAACCGAAACCCAACGTTCACCATGCCAGTTTCTTAATCCTTTTTTCGACTTCCCATCGTTATTAACAGTACTTCAAACAGCTTTATTCGGTGCATTTTTATTTGTTATAGGCTCTACTTGGCTAGTAGATATTGTGATCAATACTCTATATATCTATACAATTATTATACATATTATAAATCCTCCACATTCATTTCTCAAACTAATTGAACTATTATCTTCAAATTGCCTTTAATTCAGGCAAATAAGCACCAGTAAAATGCTACTAAACAGATCGATAGCTGATGTAGAATATATGGAAGAACGAAAAAAAAATGCACCAGCAACCGTGTTCCCAGGTTATTTTTTTTTGTATAAACACAAATCGCATAATAGAGTTAATTCGCCGAGTCGGGAGCGGCATTTGTGAAGCTGGAACGTCGCCATGGCGACGGATCAGCTAACGAGCGACGAGGAGAGAGGATTTCTGAACGATATCAACGCGTAGAGAACGGATTTGGAGTATGGTGGAGGCGGTATAGATCACTACCGGATACTTTCCAGTAATATGGAGGGAGTTGATTTTATTTTAAGCTTCACATTAACTGTTTAGTGTAGTAATTTAATGCGTCATAGTAACTGTAGCTTCTACCTAGGATGAGGGTGTGTTAGAGGTTTCAAAATTGAACGTCTTGATCGAATGATACTAAACTAGAAAATGGTATATAAAGAAGAAAATGCTGATGGAGAACATGGCTGTATCGCTAGTACTATATAGAGTGAAGGAGGCGTCGAATCTCTATAAAAGAGAATACGTCGAAAGAGAGCCGCAGGGAGAAGTTTCGAGTTTGCAATCAAGTCCGGAAAGAAGCGTCTGAGACTGGGCGAAGTCAGCGAGCAATCGGCGTGTCGCTTTACAAAGGAACAGGCGCATCCGGATTACGCGATCAACGCTATTTATCAATTATTGTAATATCGCCGGGCTGAAATTTCCCCGTGCAATTTCCCAAAGAAGTTATACACCGAAAACAACAACTTTAAATTCGGTATAGGTGTAATACAAACGAAGTTAATTGAGCACTTTCTACTCACCAATTCAATATAAATATGGAAGAGTCTAAAAACAGATGTATCTGAAACCTGATGGAAAGCTTTTTGTGGTCCAGAACCAGCTTCGCTTTTTATACTGTCTCTTTTATACTACACAGCTATTCTATTATTATAGTTATAGGTACTTCCAACATAGATAATTTAAAGTTACTATACGCTAATTAGAATTTCAATTTCGCCGAGGCTCGTGTTTCGAATGGCCGGTACTTATACATGCATATATACCTACCTATAGAAAAGAAATACGAACCTCGCCGTTTGACAGAATTATAGTCAAGTAGCAGACAGAAATTGCCCGGAGGTCGGACGGACGTAAAACAAAGTTACGATGAGTTATTGCACCGTGGGCATACGCGCATTTATGCGGTACCCGCCTGCGTTATTTCGCCGAGCAGTAAATCAAAATGCGCGCGTTTAATACGGTTATTTACTGGTTTATAAAATGCCGGCCGCGTATATCGAGACTATAGTTTTGGATGTGGACGTACCAACATATTCTATCTTCTTGCAGGACTGAATATACCTACATAATGTATAAATATGTATAACCAGAACTTATAGGTAGTACCAGTTTTTGGTTTGGACTATAAGTAAAGCGAAGAACTATATAGTTCTTCTCTATAGAGAAGAACCACATAGGTATGTGCTATAACTAGATCAGATCATAGACAACTAAAAAAGGCTAAGAGAACAAGAGAAGAATATCTGGATTATAGAGAAGAACTAGAGTAGACCCATAGATATACTAACTAACTATACCTAATAAGATAAAATTAGAGAACTGAAGAAGGCTAGAGAACTAAGAAGTAAGAAGACTAGCGAAGTACTAATGACTATATTTCAGATTAGAGAAATAAAGAAGTCTATAATATACAGAACTAAGAAGTCTGGAAAGAGATTTAATTGAAAATTTAGAAGAAGATACTAGAGAGAAGTCTCTAGAAGACCAGAACTGGCTAATTCGTCCAAGTATATTTGAATTCAACATCAAAAGAAGGGCTAGCGAACTGTATAATATGAAGAATACAGAACTATATAGATAGAACACCAAAACTATAACTAAACCAGGCTATCAGAAGTAGAAAATACTACAGAGAACTATAAGAAGAGTAGAGAGAATTAGAGAAAAACTATAATAAGAAGACTAGAGAACTGGGAGAAGATCAGATCTACCTAAGTTCATAGTAGTTGAAAGTATTTGAAATCAATAAAAGTAGATACCTAGGTACTATAATACAATGCAGTATAGGTATACTAATCATAATAAAATAGTACCTCTCAACTCCTACACATCCTCCTAAAACATAATTTCCTAAACCATTTACCCATTACATTCACCAGTACTCCTTCTTCCTGTTCCTCCATCAATCCCTTCGAACGCTGCTCGCCTCGTCGTTCCGCTCGGTTTGTTTACCGCCTGCGACCGAAACCGGTTACGGATTCGGTCGCCCAACAAGATTTCAGCCGGGCCGAAATCACTCCCAGCCGGCGGCATATTCGCCTCTGCGGGACCCGAGCGGGAGAAGAAGGCGGAGCGGCCGCGCCGTCGGGACGCCTCTCGGTCGCCCCGACGGGCCGGCAGCGCCAATGGGGCGCCTCCGAAAACCGGATTATCCGACGCCTGGGCGCTCGACGGAGGTGTGCTGCGCGCTGCTCCTACGTGGGGCCAGTTGTTTGCGTACCAGGGGCTCGATGACAGAGGCCGTTTGGTCGTCGTTTGGGTTGTTATGTTGAAGTGACCAGTATATTTTTTTTTTGGTGTATGTATATACTGGGTGTTGTGCGTATGAACGAATTCTGTGTCGGCGGTAATTGTACTTTGGTATAGGTTCTAGTAATTTCGTGCAATATTAAGTACCTACCTACTCGCGGGGTAGGTTTGTATAAGTGAGTCAAAGTGGAGGGCCAGTCGTATAATATTAAACAAGAAATGAAGGTGAGTCGAAGTTAATTTATTTTCACGTATAGTAATAACCTATGCAATTGGTTACTTTCTTCGTTATAGGTATAACTTCGATTTGAGTACCAAACCAATGTTTTCCCTTTTAACCCTAACAAAATAATTTTATCGCGATTGTGAGACTCCATCTTGGTGTAACGACAATTTTCAAGGAAGAATAAAAAATATAATCTTCCCTTATTAACTTTCAACTTATTTCGTTGAAATGTTAATAATGTAGGTTAAATAATGTGTTAAATAATGTAGGTAATATAGCACTGATGGTTATATTAAAAACAAGTAGAAACTATTACGACTTTTATAACGCTTCGAGTTATCCTGGTATTATATGAAAAACGGTAATGCAACAATTAACCTATCGACGGGGCGCTGGTGGAGTTAATTAACTTATTTATTTGAGCTTCGGTAAAAGCGCCTCAACTGCTCATCAGTACGTGGAGGAATAGCTGTTTTAACGACGGATCCTTCGAATACAGTGATGCCAGCACATCTTACCTATATTTGCATATTTTCATTGAAATTTGCTCTAAAAATTATTATTTTTACGTTGACCTGATGAAGATGATGATGAAATAATAAATAAAAAGAAATTGTAGATAAATAAGTTAATACCTACTGTGGCAACTGATATTTTTTGATGATAATAAATGCCTCAATTAATTCATGATGACACGATCAATTGAATTGTTTTGTGGTTTATAATAATTTGAAATATTGCTAGAAATAATCCTCGATTACAATGAAGTTTCTTTAACATCGACAACACCGAATCAACGAAACATATGCAACCTTTAAATTATTAACAGTAGATTGATGGACATGAGTACCTTACAAATTATACCAAACAATTACAACGCCCCGTATGGGGTTTATTATTATTTTTGTTTTATACCTCGATTTCTTATACACTACCTATATTAATTACCCTTATGCACATATTTTAACGTATACTCTTAAAATGATAAATTGAAACTTAACCTAATAGCAAACTAGTTATTTATAATAAATTAAGTATACATAGAATATCCTTTAGATAAAACAAACAGAGCATGGCACTCGAGTAAATCGTTTTTTACTATTTTCTTCGAACAAATATTCTAATAAATAAGCGTATATACTTTATATTAGGAAGTAGTTAATATATCATCTATTATAGTCCTACTTTACATGTAGACAAGCAGGCACTTCTTTTCGAATCACATACATCCAATACTCGAGAACCTCTAATCCTGATAAATTCGTTTCCGTTTGTCCGGTGAAACTCGCCGCCCGTTTCGGCGTCGCCTTTTCGATATACATTTCCAAAAAGAAAAAACGGTTTCGTATTTTAATTTAGGGAGCGCGCCGGAGACGCGATCTCTTCGGCTAATCGGATTATACAGCGGACCCGGAGCGCCCGTTACGCGTCTCCTCCGCAGGGGGCCCACGGGGATCATCTCCGCGGAGCGGCACTCTTCGGCTTAAAACTTCCACCGCCGCGAGATGTATTCATTTTGTAGGCGCTCGCGCTCGATTATATTATAATAAAATCGCACTTAAACGTAAGGTAGACTGGGGCAAATCGGTTGTAAAATTTGAATAGTTCAAATTAAATCCTAAAATGTGGCTTTATTGTTTCTCTTATTAGAAATGCTGATGCCACATTAAACTCACAACTTCCTGGACTAAAGAGTCGAGGTATTAAAAAGTTTTTTTGGAAAAGGAAGAAAACGATTTTACATATTTTTTAAAATGTTGAAATGGTTCTAAAGTGCAATACAATTATATGGAAAAACATATGGGGCAATTGTAAAAAAATATTTGGTTCCTTTAAAATTTGATATGCTGTTTATTTATTTGTTTCAAAAAATAACAGAGCTACAAAATAATAAAGAAAAAATAAGAAACAAACCCTGTCTAATGCACACAAGAACTATTAAAATAATAATAACATTAACATAATAGGTAAAAATATTAAATTTATCCCATTTTTACATTTGCCCCAGTCTACTTTACATACGTTATAAGGTAAATCAACGTTTCTTTTGTTAGTTTACAAATTTTTCTTCTGTATAAAGGTATAAAGTATTTATATGGAGGTTAAAGAGTGCAATTAATTTTTTCCCTAATAACATTTCTTAATAAACTTGAAGAGATACTTTAAGCGTTTGATTAGAGTTAAAATGAAGCACTGAAATATACTGCAATTTTGATTATTTTGTGAGTATAAAAGAATACAAAATTCAACAAGGAATCGAAACAAAATAGGCACTTTTGTCTATCTTGTAATAGATTAATAGATTCGAAGAAAAGTATATTGGTTAACACACCCTCGTGTCACCCGGTGTAGTACCCGTTTAATCGCCGTTATAAATCAGTACCGTTCGAACGCCAACACTTCGATAAGTTGCTGCTAGATTATAAAGGCATAATTAATCGTCGGAATAAATCTGCGTCCGTCAACGAGCCTCACAGCGAAAAAGTTAAAAAAGCGCCGAAGAAAATAACCCGGAGTATAATAAGCATTAGATGGTTCTTGGTCGTACCGGAGCGATTTATCAATAGCTATATAACGCAACGTATTTACATAATAGCACTTAGATATACGGGTATATACGGTACTGTTATGTACTAAACACCTGACGTTTTGTTGTTAATGACACGTCTTATTTGACATAAGCTACAGTCGAGTCGGTTGGGCGATTAAATATTTAGATACCCCGGATTGTTTTTTGGCGGAAAAAAAGGGGAAAAAGTGGAAAAGTCCGAAAGGCGAGCGAACCATAAGGTTCAAGACGCCAAAGGAAATATATGCGCATACGTAAACGGACGCCCCGAGGGCCCGGCCCTAGCAGTTAGCGCACAAAGGGCCCCCCCGTCGCCAATCTCGCTCCGCCAGCTGACTGTGTTCACACTTTCCGAAGGCCCATCTCCCAGCATTATAGGAATCTTCAACGGATTTCTTTAAAAAAAACATATAGAAGAAAATAGCACGTACCTACTACAAAATTGTAGAAAATGTGCCCGGTTATACCAATATATCATTGGTTATATTTTATCTAAGTCTGGCTTAAATGTGTGATCTACTTAAGATTGGAATATGTTCAAAAAAGGCTATAATATAACAACTGGCAACGAAGGAATATTGTAGAAAAACATGAAAAGAAGGAGATGATTGTCATTTTAAGTGTCAAAATAATCTATTACTTGTTGGGGCCAGTGAAAAAAGATCAAAAGAAAAAGAATAAGTTGTGGTTTTAACATATCCTGTAACCTGTAACCTAGAAATTAGTACATTCATCATTAAATTTTGGTTAGATTTAAATAATTGTAGGAACGTTGATTGTTTCAGACGAAACCTTTTAAAAAATTCTTCCTCCAATAATGTCTCAAAATAATTAGTTCTTATTCGAATTTGTCGTTGCAAAGGAACATCTACCACATTAATATCTTCTTCTACATCATCATAATCATCATCTATTATATCTACATTAACCACAATATTTATATCTGCATTTTTATCCATAATTTTACAACTGTCCCGACAATTCTCAAATTTTTTATGTTAACATTTTCATCTTAAGTCATAGAAATCGACAATCTAGGATCTATGTTCGATTCGTATCACCAGGAAAGAAATTTTTAGTTGGTGCAATATTATAAAATTGATTATAGACTTAGGTCTGACTGGATAGGAATTCATCCTAAGATGCTTTGGTGCAACTGGACATTAAACACGTACAGTCATACTCAATATGGCGTCGAAATCGTTCAATATACACGCCGAAGAAACGGCTCCGATTGTAGGAAACAAATAAAACTAACGAAATCATTGTGCGCACGTACGATCCGAGCACGATTTCGATATCATCTGTTTAGAAAATATTTGGATAACGGCACTGATATCAATCATAACGTCGAACACAATGTCCGATTGATAAAAGGCCGCGACGGCGCGGTACCGACGCGAAGAAGAGAACGGCCCGGCATCGAAAGAGGTGCCTTTCGGTGTCTATCACACAAAAGACCGGGCGATTTGCCTCCCACGAAGTGACCCGTCGCCTCGATGATATCGAATCGATTCCGATTAGAGACGTGTTTTTACAGGTAACATAATGAGATTATGTTTTGGTTGTCAACTACTAAAGATTATATACCACCTATCATTCTAATATAGTTTGTTGGTTTATTGCGGATTTTGTTTGCTACAATTCGGTTCTTTTTTGGGGAAGTACAGATTGTTGAGTGGAGGGTCTTGGTATAAGGAGGAATACAGCCAAAATGTATAATCTGTCACGTGCTTCAACAGCTTCGAGGGGACGGATTATTGGAAGAAATCGTAAATAAAATTAGTCAAAGCTCGCAGCGAAAAGTGTAACAAGTTTATGATAGGCTCGACGCTGGATAATCCGCATATTTACAACGGATTCGGGACACAATCTCCGTCGATAAAGTACGTTTAACGTCAACATGGCGGCCGGTTCGCGTCCAGACTAATAATTCAAGTGACCACGAGAGTGTTATATGAGCCTGTATACGTTTGTCGTTTCAGCGCCATTGTCCGCTATTGTCCGCTCGTCCGACGCCCACTCGAGCGCTAAACGACGAGAAAAAACGCGCGTAAATATTAAATATCGCCGGTGATTCCCCCACAATATCCTCCCAGTATTACCAACTGTTAGCGTCGGATTGGTACATAAAAATTCGTATGTACAAAACTTATTAGAATAAGCCACTGGGTGCTATCGAATCACCCCGAATATACATACAAATACAATAACAAAAATAACAAAATCCAGTGGTGGATATATATAAAGGTACAAACAATCGACGTCTATCCGCATTCTCACACCCTTGTAAAGTCAATATGTTCAAAAGTGCTTTATAATAGAGTGGGCTGGGACAATGGGTGTCACGTCAAGCGGGGAAGTCGGATTTAAAGACTCGGGGCATTCGAAAATGACTTCTCTTAACACATTGTGGTCTTGTAACAACCAGCGGATGATGAATGTTACTACCGAGCAGATACCCCTGCACGCATCATTACATCTTATAACGGATATGTGGATACCCGGACGAATTCGAGCGGGGTGAATGATTATTTTTTTTCCCGTTTAGGCGTAAATGTAGGCGACAATTTATTTAGCTCTGTTGCGTAATTTTTTTAATGATTATGCAAAAATGTGTGTATAAAATCCTAATAAGTAGTTCCCAGAAGATTATCAAAAAAAACTGACTAAATAATTAATTGGTTTACCTAATCCGGAGTGATGATTTTAATAGAAAAATAACACATTGATATTTATCAGTATAATTTTAATAGGCAATTACAAAACTCGAACCAGGAGTGTTCTAAATGATTCGGGAGAGTTCTAAATGATTGTCAACAATTCAAATTCACCCTGAAGCAAACTAAATGGATCTGGGGAGTTCTAAATCATTTTAGACAGTTTTAAATAATTCTGGACAGTTCTAAATCAGTCTATACAATTTCAAACCATTCTGGACAGTTCTAAATCATTGCAAATATCATTCTAGCCAGTTCTTAATTGTTCTGGACAATTCTGATTCATCCTGAAGCAATCTAAGTGATTCTGGACAATTCTAATTCGTTCATCAGAAGCGTTCTAAATCATTTTGGACAGTTCTATATCATTCTAACCAGGAAGCCAGTTCTAAATCATTCTAGACAGTCTTAAATATTTTCGCGAACTTTCTAATAAATCATTGCAAATCATTCAGTACAGTTCTTAAATGGTTCTGGACAATTTTTATTCATCCTGAAGCGTTCTAAATCTTTCTGGGCAGTTCTAAATCATTGCAAATATTATTCTAGACAGTTCTAAATCATTCTAGGCAATTCTAAATTGTTCTTGACAATTCTAATTCACCCTGAAGTACCTAATCTAAAGGAATCTGGAGAGTTCTAAATCATTCCGGACAGTTCTAAATCATTGCAAATTATTCTATAGACAGTTCTTAATGGTTCTGGATTCTGATTCATCGTGATGAAGCGATCTAAGTGATTCTGGACAATTCTAATTCGTTCAGAAGCATTCTAAACGATTTTGGACAATTTTATATCATTTTTTTATCATTCTAGATAGTTTTAAATCAGTCTTATATAGACAGTTCTAAATAGTTCTCGACAATTCTAATTCGCCCTAAAGAAATCTAAATGATTCTGAAAATTCATGATATTGATTATTCATTGTAAGAAATATTGAAACCAACTTTCAATGACTAATCCTCTAATTACTTCTTCAGCGTTGATTAGTCAATTTTATAGTCATTATATGAAACGTTTTGAACAGCAGAATTAGCCAGAAGAAAAGGTGTGTTAAAAGCGGCATTAAAATCAGTTTATCCACTTCAAAAGCTTTGTCGCTTTGGCTCCGAACAAACACAAAACATATAGAGATCACAAAGTGGGCGCATAAGCCAAAAACCTATAAAATACCAATGTTCTTTTGTGCGTCGAAGAAAACAGAAGATGCGATTTATTTTCTAGCGCCCTTTTGTGGTCCGGTGCTCGTGCCTTCCGAATTTCCCAAATCGCACACCTGGCGTCTCCTTAACAAAGTCAAACCCGGCGCTTTTATGTATGTAGTTATTTTCACGGTGCTTTTATTTAACCACTCGAGAAGTTGTAGAAAGAGCGTCGAAATCGCTTTTTAAACCGCTCTGCGGCGGCGGCGACTGGACAGAAAGTCGAAGAAACCCGTACGTATTATATTTTCCGTGATAGAATACCGAATTTTAATCGATGTCAACAGAATAAAATTATATGCAGCGTTGTATTCAAGCCGTATACCAGTCGCGTCCTTTTTTAATAACACTATAAATATTATTGTCGAGTTCGGTTTTGATTTATGCCGGTATATTAAAAAGACAAACAGTATCTCTCGCACCTTCGCCGGTATACAAGAGAAAATAATAAATTTTTCTTACAAAAAAAACACAAACTTACACCTATCGTTTATAATGTACGGGGCGATTCTAAATGCAAAGTCAATCAAACCATCAAATAGAATAAGTTACAGTCAATTATGATGTCTTCTGTAGCCAAAAATACACTATCAGATAGAAAATAAATGATTCCCAGCTTCCAGCATATCTCAGTGTAAATTTTCGACATATTTCAAGTTTTTATAGTAGATAGATGTCTAGAGAATCCACCAGGATATCAAGTAAAAAAATAGGACTAATATCAACACTACAAAAACGTTTCGACTTATTTTAACACTTCCATCATGGAGACTAATGACAAATAACATTAGAAAATCTTGCTATATATCGTACATTCAGTATAAATGAGATAGAAATGGTTTAGGTTTCCATTGGGAACACCCTGTATATAAATAAACCGATGACTCGGGTTCCGAGCACAATGCGAAGAATCCAAATGGAATTTCGAAGTCGATTTATCATTCGTGAGGTATACCCGGGGAAAAAAGTAGACGGCGCGGCTCTTCGTTTTAGATGTAGCGTACGGGCTTCCCCCTATTCATCCGCCGATTTTTTTTCTAATTAATAGTAATAAATTTATACGAATTTTTCCGGTTTTTACGAGGTGCAACGTCGGCTTGTCACTTGGCCGAATAGCCTCGGTAGAGGTGCCATATTAAAAAAAAACGAGAAGAAGAAGATGTTATTTACCTAATCTATTTGTAAAGTTGACTTTCTATTAGATGATAGAATAAATAACGTTTATTAAAATGTTAATCAGAACGTAATTATTTATAGATAATAGTCAACAAAACGGAAATATTTATTTTAATATTTGAATCGAATTTTATACCGGCCTGCTGTCGAAACGAAATGAGTTTTCCAAGTTTACTCCGCTCTCGAAATTAAAACAGATGTGATTCGTATTAAACGAACTCATCTAACTCTTTCGAACGCCGCCCATATCAGAGTTCCAAATTAATTATTCAACTCTTCCTCTTAACAATCACGAACTCGTTTTAATGGCTTCATCACCTACGTGAATTTATTCATATCGCCGGCGCGTTTTTAATTATCCACTTACGATGTGAATTCTGTTCCAGACTGAATATCGGATATGCTCCGCCTGCGGCGAGCCGATCAGCGACAAATTCCTGCTGGAAGTGTCCGGAAGAAGCTGGCACGCCAGGTGCCTGCGGTGCTCCATATGCCAGCTGCAGCTCGACAGGCAACCGTCCTGCTTCATCAGGGATCGGGCCGTCTACTGCAAAACCGACTACGCCAAGTAAGTTCAACAAGGGTCTATAAAACGCTAAAATTATACGAAAAGTTTTAAAAACATTATAATAACGATGTAAAAAGTTATACACAATTCAATATTATTATGTGAAAATGTATAAAGAGTTCAAAATAACGAGGAGAGAAGTTATACAAACAACAATATAACGATATGACCAGTTATAGAAACTTCAAAATAATGATTTGAGAGGGTATAGAAATTTCAAAATAAAGAGATGAGAAGTTATAGAAACATCAAAATAATGATATAAGCAGTTATAGAAACTTCAAAATAATAAAGTGAGAAGATATAGAAATTTCAGAATAACGAGGTGAGAAGTTATAGAATCTTCTAAATAATGATATGAGCAGTTATAGAAACTTCAAAATAATGATGTGAGAAAATATAGAAAGTTCAAAATAACGATATGAGAAGTTATAGAAACTTTACAATAATGATGTGAGCAGTTCTAAATAACTTCTAAATAACAAATCAAAAAATTATGAGGTGTTTTTATAACTTCTCATATTGTTTTATTGTCGTCTATCAGAATTCAGGAGAATATACGTGAAGATTTTATGGTTATTAAATTTGGTTTGGATGGATATTGGTGGTTAACTTGTAGCTTGTTTATGCAACTTTCAATGGGTTTGAAACTAGTTTTGTAGTGGTATAAAATAAGAGAAAACTGTATGGAGAAATGGTGAATGGATCTCCCCCCGCACGTCGTATTTCAACCGGAATCGCCCACGAAAATTGTAAAATGTTAATTAAACAATTACCGAATAGATGGAAATAAACCGTCGGATAAACATGGTTTACGAGGCTCCGCGTGGCTCGCCAACACGGCCTTAAAGCGCTCCAAATTGAAGTTTAATGTCCTTCGAAAGCGACATGTTCGCTACCAGTCTTTTCGACTTGTTTCTACCCGAACCGATTTTTTTTCTCTCCTCTCCTTTTCGTATCTCCTCCAAATCGAGGGAACGGTAAATTAGTGGAATTAGAACGCTCATTAAAAGATACAAGCAGATTGTCGCGTGTAATTATCTCTCGATTTCTCGATAAACTTGATGAATTTATTCGACGGATCCGACGGATGTGTTTTCCTATTTCCATTTCCCATCGATAATTGATTAATTAGTGACCACCCAAATTTATCCAAACCAAAATAGAACTCAGATATATGCAACTTAAAGTATTAAAATAATAGCAAATTATCTCTACTGATTTCTACACAAAAATGAAATAAAGCTCACATCTTCAGGGGAAACTCAGAGGAATTAGATGGTTAGAAATAAAATGCTTATAATGCTTATTGAATATATCTAAAGGATGTTTGAAAAGGAGTCGTATAAAAAATCATTTCCTTTAGAAATCACCGTGTATCAACTTCTCGGTATCGCGGCGCAACAAAAGATTTGTTTATTTATTATTATTACGAATATCTTCGGCCGGGTCCGATCCGAGCGAGGATTCTCATATATTATGATCATAGAGGATTTTTTTATTCGTTATTTATTCGTCGCGGAGGAATGCGTCGTGTACGGTTTTGATTGACGGATAAGGGAAATATACGAATCGCTCTGCGTATATAAGAAATCCTACCACACACACACGCGAACAATGAAAAAAGTACGAGCACATTGTGTCCGCATGACTGGCACTTCTCGTACGAATTCATTTGTCATCCGGGCCAGAGACAACAGTGACATCTGACCACCTCATCTTGCATATTATTCCTGATCGGAAAAAACAACAAAACTCTTCGGCCGGTTCCCAAGCGATCCCTTTTCTTCTTCGATACGTCTATACACCACCGGATTCTTCTTCTAGCGGGAGGATTTCTTATCATACATAAATGGTGGATTGGTGTAACATTCGGCGTCGCCCTCGTAGCGTTAAATATCGTCAGAGGGATGCAAATTAACATCAAAAGACCAGGCACCCTTTGAGCTCGTCCAATCGCTCCCGTTTGATTGGGAGAGGAGAGCCTCCCTTTTCGAATGGATTTTCCGTTTCGGGAAATTACGCGACTTCCGTCGCGACGCCGGGGAGAAGTGTTTTTCTCTAACAGATATCGAAATCGCCAATTTTGATACAATAATTATATCTTTAGATAATAGGCTTGTTTATAAAAAGAAGCACAACCTTTTGCTTCAAAAAATGAAGGAATTGCTTCAAGGTATATGCATAAAAAGAAGAGAAGTTTTGCTTCGAGGACCCTGCTGTTGCTTTAAAGCCAAAGGTTTTATGGTTTTAAAATATTTGTATAACGTTTTAAAACCTCTACCTTTTACTTCAAAGTAAATGCTTCATTTTTATAAATATGGACTATTATGTAATTGAAACGTGCGAGTACTTCCCCCGTTTCTTCTTTTTAGCATTCTATAGAAACATTGGTCTTGTACTGATATAGAACAGCAGTCCACAATATTATTTACCTATAGGTAAACGACCACAGTTATGGCTTTTGAGAGTGATATTGAAATATGATGGGCAATTTCGAATTTTGAGGAATCAATCGAGCGAATTGCGCGTCCGTTAGCAATCGATATCTCCTCGGAGGTCTTGAACTATGCGGGTTTCGTGCCAGTCACGGTCTCTTCAAATGTCTAAAAAGATCCGATCCGTAGATATACCGATCCTTTTGTTTTTCGGACGCCCGAGAGTCAAATAAAAATTACTCGATTCTTCGACGTGATTGAGCAATTGAGCGGTACTTTCGTGCGCACGATTAGAACTCGAATTACTCGGTGTAACTTCGACGGAAACTCTCCCGATTTTTATAAGTTAATTACCCCGATCGTAATTATAATAATTTATTATTGGCTAGGCGCATGAGGAGCGAATTAATTAAGATTTCCACCGCGATAAATATTTGGCTCTGCGAGCTAAATTAGAGCTTGAATTCATTGGTAAATTCGGCCGTAAATTCGGGACACCTGTATGTACGTGTGCGAACGTGTTTTGTTTCGATTATTTATATGGAAATTCGGCCTATAATTAAGAGTTCTCGCGGGGTAATTAAAGTTCTTCGAGCGAATAGTAATTTAATAGCGTAAATTCAGTGGAATATAATGAATTTAGTTAACGCTTTTCGACTGCTCTTCTTCGTTTACATTCCAGTGATAATATTCTGGAAGATTTTCGTATTTAAACGGTCTATTATCGATACTTATTTCGTTTAAAATAACTAATATTTTAGACTTTCTCTTCTTGCCAATGGAACTTGCCTGTAAGGAGGTGAATGATTAGAAATTACCTAATCTTTGATTATACTATAGAGTTATTTACAAATACTAACTTTTAAAAGAACTCTTAACCGGTAAATTCGAAACTTTCTATATGAAAATTTTAAGATTTTATTACCAACTCTGTGCTACTTTTCACTTCTTCATCTGTTGTTATTATTTAGGGTAGTTTCTGTAAAATTTAGAATCTTCTTCTTCTTTTGCTTCTGGTCTCTTAATGTCCAATTAAATAGCTACAAGATTATAACCAATACAAGATCATAACCATTCATTTCATAATAGGACCTAAAGGTTCTAAAAGTTTCTGAAGCGTTCTAAATGGTTCTAAATAGTTTTAAATGTTTCTGGAGCTTTCTAAATATTTCTAGACAGTTTTTAATGTTTCTGGAGTGGAACCAGATGGTTCCAGGTAGTTCTAAATGGTTCTGAAGCGTTCTAAAAGGTCCTAGATAGTTTTAAATGTTTCTGGACCATTCTGAATGGTTCTAAACCGTTATAAATGGTTCTGAAGCGTTTTTAAACCAGGCCTCTTCTCCTGCATTTTGGTATCGAGCTGGTCAAGAAGGTTGGAGTAACATTCTAGTAATAACTTCTATTGATACTTCCTAAAGTGGATTAACAACCTGAGACTTTACAAAGTGGATTTACTTATGTTTGAAAGGACGATTGGTTTCAGAAGCTTCGGGGCGAAATGTTCGATATGCACGCGGGGCATCTCGTCGAGCGATTGGGTGCGCAAGGCGCGCGACCACGTCTACCACTTGGCCTGCTTCGCGTGCGCCGCCTGCCACCGGCAGCTCTCCACCGGCGAGGAGTTCGCCCTGCACGAGGAGCGGGTGCTGTGCAAGGCGCACTACCTGGAGATCCTGGACGGCGGTACGACCTCGTCGGACGGTACGGATCGAGCGACGCGCCCTTTAACGCGATCCATATATAGGTTTTGTCGGATGTTTCAGACGGTTGCGACGCCGAGGGGTACCACAAGAACAAGGCGAAACGGGTGCGGACGACGTTCACCGAGGAACAGCTGCAGGTGTTGCAGGCGAACTTCCAGCTCGATTCGAATCCCGACGGACAGGACTTGGAGAGGATCGCCCAGATCACTGGTTTGAGCAAGCGGGTTACGCAGGTGTGGTTCCAGAATTCTCGGGCGAGACAGAAAAAACACATGCACACCGGTAAAGCCAAAACGCAAAGTAAGTATTTACTAACAAACACACTTATTTCTTATTTGTACTAAATTAAACATGTTTTTTTATCTGTTCTCAGTGCATAATAGGGAAGAAAACAATTTCAATAGGCATATAAATCTTCATTTAACGTATTCGTTGCAACAGAACAGCAATCACAATCACAAACCTTCGATTTATTCTCAAAATAACGAATTAGGTAAGTATTGGGATGAATAAATTTCGAGTAAATTTAAATGTTTTTTGTGTTATTTTTTTTCAGATTCGTCTCTGGATGAATTATCGCAAGAATCGACGATGCATTGCATGCAAAACGAAGTCTAAAATATTCTAATTATAGATGTAATATATTATAGTATAAAAGTATACATAGATTGATTTTAGCTGGTCCATCGTAAAATCATTACCTATTAAAATAGTGTCGATATTAACGGGAGTTTTTAGATTAAACTACGAGTTTCATGCTCAAACGATTATTACCTATTAAATAGTAGCCATTTTGTTCTAAAAGCTTCCAAATACTGAACCCTATTGCAACATTAAATGTTATCATGTATCTTACACATACATACACTATTAATTGCTTTAAATTTTTCATTGTGAGTTTATGTAATGAACAAACAATTTAAAACCAATGGTTGAATAAAAAAACGCTTATTGTTGCTGTATTTGCCTCTTTTTTTATTCCTTCCCTACCTACAGTTGGTGCAAAACTAATACCGATGCACGTCATCTATAATTTACTACGTAACAAGTAGGCAGTGTTGCCGAACTTTTATAGAGTTTACGAAATCTAAGAATTTTCTAAAATTGTTAGATTGTAAGATTGTAAGGTAAGTTAATCAAAAAACAAAACATTTGTAACACTATTTTATTGTTATCAGACATTGCAGTACAAAAGCTAATTTAGCTAATAACTATATACAATGAGTATTGTGTGCTTAAAGCAATACAAATTTTTGACATTCTTTATACACGGCACATTTAATTTGTTTTTAATCTTTCTAATTTGTGCGATAATTTAAATAATAAGGATTTAAATAATTTGCAAGGCTTGTCCCAACAATGTAAAATTAAACTAAAACATGGTAGTATGTAAATTTACCTAGATCAAAATAAAGTTATACAAACTGAAAGATAAATATTTGGTACTTGATAATACTATAATTTTTTTTTCCATTAGACATGAAATCAAATAATGCAAATTTGATGGTACTACTTCCACCAAAAAACAACCCAGAATCTTACCTAAATAGAGCTGTACTAACTTGACAATAAACAATTTACTAAAAATACTTTCACAAAACAAAAAACATAATAAATAAGCAGCTCGGGCCGAAAATAGTTACAATCCAAGCTGCGTATAAACACATATTTGGCTAGTAACATTTAAATACTGTTCATTTAGAAGTATCAATAACATAAAGGTAACTTTTATTGCTACATCGATAACAAAAACGTACCAACGAGTTCATACGCAGTGCAATCTAAACGCATTTAACAATCACCGCCATTAGAGCACATTTAAAACCCTATCAAATTCATTCAAATGCAACTAATGCACAAATAAAACAGTCCTCACCACAACGAGAAATGCATATACAAGTAAAAATCGCTGTAGCTGGCCAAATAAACGATTCAACCGATCGAATGATCATTCGCTGGATCCCGTACAACAGGAGCTTCTGTTATCGGAATGTTTCTTCTTCAAATCGACTGTATCGTTGACCCCCGGATCGATTTTATCGGCTCTGGATTCTAGTCTCAACCAATACTGCACGGCCATTTTGAACGCTTCCTGTACATTGCTGGCGCTTTTCGCTGAAGTTTCTATGCAAGAAGTGATCGAGTTCTCGTTGCACCACGTCTCCAACTCCAATTGGGACACTTCACGTTCCTCGACTGGGACATCGGACTAGGAAAATGTGTTGATTAATTATGTTATGTAATTATGTGTATAGTAATTATGTGTATGTTAATTAGTTATGTATTATAGTGGATTTGTAGAGGTGTACCTTATTTCCAACGACGATAAATGGGAACTGGCCGTTTTCTTTAACGTCAGCGTAATTGAGAAACTCGTTCCTCCACATTTCGATGTTTTTAAAGCTGGATTTATCATCGACCGCGTAGGTTAGCATGCATATATCGCTGCCTCGGTAGAAAGGGGTTCTTAACGTTTTGAATCGTTCCTGTCCGGCTGTATCCCAAATCTGAAACAAATCGCACATTAAGTAAGTTTTAAACGAGTCGAATTTACAGAATGAACTTACTTGTAGAGTGTACGTTTCGCCATCGAGTTCGATGTCTTTGTTGAGGAATTCGACGCCGATGGTGTGAAAAGAGTGTTCGTCGAACTGGTTCGATACGAACCTGTTCATCAGGCAACTCTTCCCGACGCCCCCGTCCCCTAAAATCACCACTTTCAGCAAAGTGTTCTTGCTGTTCGACCTCATCGTTTCAAGTAAGCTGCTCTTTATGATTATGTTCTATTTGTAAGTTTATCACATTATTACATTCCGAAGATATGTAAAGTACCTAAAATGTAAAAGATTTTTGATTAAAACAAAACGAATGACTCACTTAATTTATCTTATTTAGTTTTTTACCAGCAAACCGCACAAACCGCGTAGAGTTCACCTACCTAAAGTTTGCCTGTCCGGAGCCACATCGTTTTGTTGAATATTTATATTGTAAAATGTTTATTGAATTGTACTTTGAATAATACAAAAATTTCCACTAAATTATAATCAATTGAATTCTAATATCAACAATACATTGACAATCTTGTGACTTTTGTTAAAAAAGAAGAATTAATTGACAAATTGACAAATGACACTGTGTAAATTGAGTTGCATAAGCACTAGTGAGGAATAGTTATTAATATTATAATTCCAAATATTAGAAATTATTGCGAAATAATTCATCATCCAAACAAATAGATGTAATCGTAATTTGTTTTAATATCGTCTATTGCCTAATTAGTGATTAATTAAAATTAAAGCGCCTTTCACTTTGAAGGTCCCGCGGACAAGTTTACAGTTACTTGACCATATGACAGGTGTCAGCACCTTCGAAGTTTTTAATTTCCATTGTTTTTACAGACATTTGACTGAATGTGAACATTGAGGTATTTTTTTGGTTTCTTTTTGAAATTACGCAAAGTTTACGTTGTTTTGAGTTGAAATAATTGAGGAAAACCGTCCTGGCACATCGTGTGAATGGGGCGAATCAGTGAAAAGCAATTCGATGCGTTTACCAAGCGAATATGTGAATAAATTTCGTGTTGTACCTTTTGATATTGAGTCAACAAACTCTGGAATTATAAAGGTGTGCCATTTTTGCGAACGTTGAATGGGATATTAGTTAACTTTACCGGAGGTTACCAGTTAGCTAATAGCTAGCTCAAGAGGAATTAGTGAGTGTTTTCCTACAAGAATTTGACCACAATGTGGATTCACTTTGTGTAAAAAAACGGTAGGTAAAGCATGTTTATTTTCTATAAATAATAACATAAAATAGATCATTTCGTGAAGGTGGTTGTGCAGCAATTTGTGAGCGGAATGCTGCTTTTGAATATTAATGAGGCATAAAAGGTATTTTGTGAATTTTGTCAAGGTGAGCTCAAACATAAGTGAATACATAGAATACAGTCATTCACCTAAAAACTACCTCTCTCTTTTACTCGCTTGTGGACAGTTGAAAAGTGTATGTGTGACATTCGCGCCTTGTTGCCAAATTTCCCTCATAACCGACCACTCGACTGTTTATCTTTTAAATTTTAAATATCGGAAACAGTTAATAACTCGATACATTAATAATGTAGTTTTACAAAATTGCAACTTTGACATTTATACATGTCATTTGACGTTGACATACTGATGAGATTGACAGTGACATTTGCGATTGGATATAATATTACAAAACGTTTTTTTTCCGTTAATTACGGTAAAAACGTTACGGTATCGTTCGAATTAAAAATTACCCAATCGTTTTGATTAATTAGAAGGTAGGGCAACGTTGCGTTAGTGACAGGTACGGGTGACTGTATAAAACACAACTTGAAGGTCGCGCCTCGGGTCACGTGACGCACCAGGACCGGACCAAGGACGTTCAAACACCTTTTCTTGCATCGGCTCGGAGATCGGAGAGAATGCAGGCGAATAACGAATAACGCACACGTCGCGTGTACGCAAATCGAACCGCATTTCGGATGGAAATCGTTCGAATGTCCGAGGACAACGCGGTTACGAGAATTGCGATTTTTCTGTCGCAGGCACACCGGCGACCTAATTGCGTCGCGGCGTGTGTTGTTTTCTCAGCCGAGTCGTTGGATAATAAAATGCTTTTTACGAGTGGCAGAAGTCGAGCCGTAGACACGTTCGTTGCGTTCTTGGTGGTCTCCGATAGCGGGAACGACCAGGCCCGGTTCAACTCGCTATAGCATCGCCTTGTATAGGTTTGCGACGATTTCCTTCTTTCCGAAAAATCCCAATTCCTATCGAACGGAAGAAATGTCAAGGTTGTAAGGTCACAAGTACACACGCCAAGGTCATCTCGACGGCTTCGGAAACGTGTAATTTTAACGTCCCGTTAGCTCGAGAGCGGAGGAATAAAAAAAAGAGTTTAAATGGAGCTGCATATCGTCCGAGGGAGACGCGCCGGCAAATCCGGATCGTTCTCTCGAAGGATTAGGCGGTTTTCGATAAGATCTACGATAGTATAAAATATAACGCCCTGTATGTATAACAAACGCACGCTCCTTCGGTTGTTGGAATTCCGAAATGCTCGTTCATAATGCAGAATTGTGCGAAATGCAACCAGATACTCGTACGTTGGGTGGAGTTCTTGAACTCGCACTCATACTCATTATTTGCACGTCGATCAGAGTCGGTTTCAGATATAAATTTAATACAATTATGTATGTATAAAAAGAAAACAAAGTAACTAGAATTAGATGCTTGTAGTGTTTAATTAGTTAAAAATTAGTTAGACTCTCAATATACAGAAAGTAAGTTGATGTATTGTTTTATTTTTCAGGGTGCCCGCATAAGTAGACTGCCATATGTACTCGGAGGCATATACTAAGTAAGTTTTTTTTCTACCGATTGTGTTTGAAATTTCCGCTTAACAACCGCACTTTGAATATTATCCCATTTTTACGGCCCACTAAAAAATTTACCTCACACTAAAGTTCCATTATTCCATCTCGTCCCAAGGTGAGACCGCTTTTTTTTAATAGGCGAACGCGCAGGTACGGCCTCATCGTTTCCAGCTCCTCATCGAGTATATTTGAGCTACTACAGAGCCTTCATAAATGATTGATTCCCACGTGACCTTAAAATTTATGCAACCCATAGTGCTCAGTTGTTGGAGTGTGGAGGAAGAACATTAATCCATTAGGTTCTTCATTATTTTTACCTATCATTACTTAAAGATTATGTTGATACACAATTTTCTTCAGGAAAAGCACAGAAAAAACTAGGAAAAATATACAAAACGGTACAAACTCATGACAGTATTCTAGTAACTTATTTATTTTTGGGTACCAACATAAACAACAAATTAACTACGTTCATTTCGAATTCGGTCACTTGATTGATTCCTGATTTGTGTGTTGTTCGTATTAAAAACGGGAGATCTGCAGGTACATAAAAGAAGCTGTAAATGTTTCAGTGCCAAACCGTTCTGGTCGAAGATCAACAGCGCCTTCGTGAAGATGGCATCGTCGGGATCGCAACCGATAGGGGTGAGCTGATCGAGGCGCCGCGTCTGAGGCGTACGCATGCGAACGAAATGGCCACGGACATGCGGTCGCCGAACGTATCCGTCACGCCGATCAACGTGGAGCCGCCCCGCACGGCGGCGGCGTCGTCGCTCGCCGATCCGCTGGACGGCTTCGACGCCGAAGTGGCCCGCATCGATTTCCGATCGGTCAACATGCGATCGAAGCCGAAGCAGGAGGACGTGCCGCGGCCGATGAGCTGGGAGGGCGAGCTCTCCGACGGCGAAAGGGACGGCATGTGCGTCGACGAGGAGCACGCCGCCCACCAGGTGCCCGAGAACCTTTCGCTCGCCCAATCCAAAGCGACGAACGATCCGAAGGGTAGTCCGACGCTCAGATTGAAACAACCGCCGATGGGCAATTGCAATTATTCGTTGCACAGCACGCCCAGCAATTCGCCGTTGCTCAGCCAACGGCATCCCGTGCCAGGTTTGTTGTATACACCGTCGTATATTTCTAAAGTCTGGAAATAGCTATGCTTATGCATTAGAGAATTTGTCCAGTTATTTGAAGACTTTTTGAGCTTCACTTTTGCGCCGCACAGTGGCGAACGATCGAAGGACCAACCTATCTCAGCCAATCAGCGTCGCGCTACATATAAATCGCGGTTGTATGAAACGACAGTTCGAACTGTCAAAACTTCAAAAATTATTTATTGACATTTCGAAGAGAAAATGGAGTAATACATTAACCGAACATACTTGAGGCATGTTGTTAACAACAAAATCATCGCTGATTTAAGTATATTTTTATATTTTTTATCTATTTTTAGTTTCAATGAAACCTTTCTTAATACTAATTGTATATAATTCGTACGCAAAAAACCGTGGTCTTTTACAACATCGCCTCCTTAGAAACCCTGCTTTATTCTCAAATAACGGGACACTTTTTCGACCTATGTTTCCAGACCTTAGAAAAAACGAGCGAACCGAACCGAAATTCTACAGCGCGAGTCTCTCTCTCTCTATTCGCAGGGGTGCCGATCGTCAGTCACAAAGATCTCATGTTGCACAAGGGGTTGAACGTGCCGCCGACGCCGAGTCCCGATTCGGCCGTCCACTCGGCCTACAGCGTGTTCAGCTCGCCGAATCAATCGCCGCTGACGCAGCGGCACGTCACGCTGACGCCGAACCTCAGCAGGAACAACAGCGACGCGTCGCATTCGAGCTGTTGCAGCTACAGCAGCGTGTCGGTGTCGGTGTCGCCGACGCAACAATTCTCGCCGACGCACAGCCCCGTCCAGGGCAGGCACGTGGCGCAGAACGTGCACAACAACAGCCCGTTGCACCAGCAACAGAACCTGCTCTACAGGAGCCTGCAGGACGAGAGTTTGCACTACGCCGGCGACGATAATTTGGACGACAACGAAGACAAATCGGGTATTTTGCACGCTTCCTTGCCCGCCCAGCCCGGCATATCTAGGCAACAGGTATTTACTGCTGAATACATGGGTAGGACGAAAAGTTCTCGGTCTGATACATTGGGAGTGTGTAACAATCTGCAAAAATTATTTGTTCCTCTTTGGGACATTAATTAATTCTGTCTAGAATCATTTAGAATGTTCCAGAAGCATTTAGAACTGTCTAGAACCTTTAAGAACGCTTCAGGACCATTTAAAACAGTCTAGAAGCATTTTGAACGCTCCGGTATCATTTAGACCTTTTAAGAACGCTCCCGAATCATTTAAAACTGTCTAAAACCGTTTAGAACGCTCCAGAATAATTAGGAAATGTGTAGAACTAATCGGTACATTCCAGAATCATTTTAAACTGTCTAGAAACATTTAGAACGCTCCAGAAACATTAAAAACTGCCCAGAAACATTTAGAACACTTCAGATCCACTTAAGCTTATTTAGAACCATTTAGGACGCTCCGGGATCATTAAGACCTGTTAAGAGCACTCCAGAATCATTTAAAACTGTCTAAAAACTGTGTTTTCTGTAGAACTGTGTAGAGCAATTTAGAACCGCCTAGAACCATTTAGAACTGTCTAGAGCCATTTAAAACAATTTAGAACGCTCCGGAATCATTTAAAATTGTCTAGAACAATTTATAGAACGCCCCAGAATCATCTAGAACTAAAGATTTCGGCTTAACAGGAAGAGTAACATATTTTTTCAACCGAAAATCGCGGTCTTTCATTGTCAGGCCGAGAACTTTTCACCCTACCTACCGTCGTACAAACACTACATTATTTCCAAATTCGTTTGTAGTTAATTAACAGTCCGTGTCCGATATGCGGCGACAAAATCTCCGGCTTCCACTACGGGATATTCAGTTGCGAATCGTGCAAGGGTTTCTTCAAGCGCACCGTGCAAAATCGAAAGAACTACGTGTGCTTGAGGGGCGCCCAATGTCCCGTCACGGTGGCGACGAGGAAGAAATGCCCGGCTTGCCGGTTCGAAAAGTGCCTGCAATGCGGCATGAAATTAGAAGGTACGTGTTACATCGAGTATTCTACGCGATAGGCGGACTTGTACTACGTCGTTTTGCAGCTATAAGAGAAGACAGAACCAGAGGCGGCCGATCGACTTATCAATGTTCCTATTCACTACCGCCGTCTCTCACGAATCACAACGAATGGCGGGCGAGCACGACCGATTTGAGAAACATGAACGATTCTCATCCGGGGCTTACGGTTAAATTGGAACCGCCCGATTTGCCGCACCAAAGACGCTCCGCGTTGCCCGGCTCCAAAGGTGTCCCGCCTTTATTACAGGTTCATATTCCATCTAAACTAGTACTCCAAACAGTACTGTAATTGCGTCGTTTTAGGAAATAATGGACGTGGAACACCTGTGGCACTACAACGAATCCGAGTTGAACAAGCTTAGTACCGACGGGCACCTGGGTAAAGAAGGTTCCAGCGGCGCCGTTCATAATCTATCTACTCATCCATTATTAGCCGGTACCGCTCTGGCTGGTTCTACCGACACCAATCCCGACTTCGTCGCGAACCTGTGCAATATCGCCGATCACAGACTGTACAAGATCGTCAAGTGGTGCAAAAGTCTTCCGCTGTTCAAGAACATATCGGTACCGTACCAACACGTTGCTAAGATTTTATTTCTACAATGCAGCGTTTATTTCAGATCGACGATCAGATATGCCTGTTGATAAACTCCTGGTGCGAGTTGCTGTTGTTCTCCTGCTGCTTCCGATCGATGTCCGCCCCGGGCGAGATTCGAATATCGCTGGGCAAGAGCATCACGTTGGCGCAGGCGCGCGAGATGGGCATGCAGGCGTGCATCGAGAGAATGTTGAATTTCACCGAGCAACTGAGACGGCTGAGGGTGGACCAGTACGAGTACATCGCGATGAAAGTGATTGTACTGTTGACGTCAGGTTGGGATAGAAGCTTCGGTTGGATTCGATGAGTTGATGGTTGGTGTTTGTTTCAGATACGTCGGAGTTGAAGGAGGCGGAAAAGGTGAGGTTGTCGCAGGAGAAGGCCCTGAAAGCCCTGCAGGATTACACTCTATCGCACTATCCCGAAAGCCCAGCGAAATTTGGGGAGTTGCTTTTGCGGATACCGGAATTGCAAAGGACTTGTCAAGTTAGTACACCGATTGATGCAAGATTTGCCAAATTTTATGTTATATTTGTTGTAGGTAGGTAAAGAAATGTTGACAATAAAATCAAAAGACGGAGACGGACCGAGTTTCAATCTTCTGATGGAGCTCCTTCGGGGGGACCACTGAAACAAAACAAAAAATCCATGTGCCTTAATAGCTTTTTGGTGGCGGGCTCTCGTATACTACAGACAGTATTTTTCTTTTTTGCTTAATCACTATTTTAGCCTTAAGTGAAAACTTTACGTACTTATTTTAAACGAAAACGTGCTGGACACATTAAAAAAAATGTCGGTAATGGGATTTTTTCGACGTGCGTTTCTAACGCTCGGTGTATTTAAGCGAGAATAATTCATATCAAAATCGTACGCGAAAGAATCCCCCCAATGTACTTTTTATATACACGGCCGAATGTAAATAATATTTTTTAAGTTAAGTTTTTATTTTGATATTTTTTATTATATACAATGAGGCTATTTCTCGCTATCGTTGACGTTTTTTTATATATTTATCCGCGGGATGGTTCGTGGCGAATTTACTGTTTTATGAAACGTCCTGTTGGTAGAATTAGGTTTAAATGAAATAATGAAAGTTGCGTTCGGTGTCGCATCTGATGCGGTATCGAGCATATTTTTTTAATATTAAACAAAAGGAGAATCGTACTTGGGATTTCCGCAGAGTAAATTGAATGGAGAGAAGTACAACTTTTTTTTAATTTCTAAATTATTATGCTACTAATGACACAATGTAACTCGTTTGTTTTGTGATTGGTTAGTGACTTTACACGTCACGAGTCAAAATTTTAAATTTAAAAAGGCCATATTTCCTAAAATATTGAATATTTTCAGCAACTGAAAACTGCTTTTGAAACTTATTTCTATTCATATATCTGGTTAAAAACCGCATATCTCACATCGTACTCCTCTCCATTCCTTGCTGTGAAAAATTCGTTGAATAGTCTATAAAGTCGGTTTAAATAATCTAAGCTATTGCAAACAATATTCAAAATTATTTAAACAGCCTTTTGAAACAGACTTTAAACATGAAGCTTTTAAGTTCCTCTCGGCGTGGGAAACATTTTACGGTAGTCCCTTTTGCTGTTTTTACTTCCATTCCAGTGTATTTCAAATAGGTTTATTTCGTTTCGATGCGATTTCAACTAGGTTGGATGATGATCGAAACCTTTTCTGAAGTATTTTACTGACTGTTGGTAGTTTTAAACTACGTTTTGTCTATAAATGTTGATCGATTTTGTCTCGACGATTGGCTCTTTGTATCGTAAGAACTCGCTCGAGATTTGCAAAGAGTAACATTTGAAAATAATACAGTTTTTTAATTATTATTCTTCAGTTCAACAGAAGACAACATCGATTGATTGTTGGTCAGTTCAAATATGTTCGACCAAATGAACTATTGTTGTAAATAGTTCGGATTTTTATTATTTATTTTGTTAGGTCAGAAGTATCATTTTTGTGCCAACGGAAACGACGAATGCATGTACACTTTTTTTCCTCCATTTTGCGCGCTTTTAAATCAATATTACGACGAAAAACTAAATACTTACTCACTCTTATTGTGATAAAGCTGTGACATTTTTAGTTTATTCTAATATCATGACAATGAGAATGTGAAATGTACTGCTATTTCAAATTTCGTTTAGTATTTTATTTTACAGAGTGGTATATTTATTACAAAATTCGTTTTTTTAATTGTGTTTTGAAGGACTCGAAATATACAAAAAAGAATCATCTTGTAATCGAACCATTGATGTAACATTTGCGCATATTCTGAATCGGTAGAAGGTAGAACAATATAAATTTTCCTCTACAACAAGCTGATTTACAAACGAAAACGAACAAGACTTAAGGGGAGGCCTTCGAAAGTTGCGTTCGGCGCAACTTTAGCCCTAAAAATACTTTTGTACTCACTTTTTACTATCAATTTATATACAAGACATGTATTGAAGAAATATAATATACAAAGTAAAAACCGTGTGTAAATTCAAACAATTTTATATACAACTATATAAATACCATATTACATAAAGAAACTAATCCTTTTGAAAGTGATCCAAATAAAATATAAAACGTTATTTCGATTGTGATCCGTTACACTTATCTAATACTCTTGCTGTTACCACCTCAAATGCGGTTTGTATTGCATGATATGCCTGCAAATAATACAAATTTATTATTTATTTTATCCACGTTATTTAGAATACGTACTTGTCTAGTTTTTCCCAAAAAACCATAAGCGCAGCTCTATCTAAATGTCTCTTCGTCCTAGATAGCTGTATGACAGTCACAGCCCATTTCTCAACATTCGGTTCCATTTTCATTTCATCGTATTTCAAATGAAACGCGGCGACTAAAAATAAACGAAACTAAATATTCCCAATAACAAGAACTATTAGCTTTATACTTTTATCGAAAATTTCCACCGGCGTTTCCCACGGGTATCCCTTGAATTGCCAAGCAGGCCCCATCACCCAAACAGCAACCACTCTATCCCAATCGCTCGGGCTCAATTTCGCTGGATTATCCACCACCCTGTATGGTACCGTTTGCCCATTACGTTGCCTTTGAATCAACACTTCGTTATCGCGTTTGCCCCCTTCCGCCTTCTTCTGTTCCGTACTCACAAACCTATAATAAAGAATCGTTAAAAGAGTCTACCACAAGTACAAATCAACCAACCTCAGTTCTTGCAGGGCATCTTTCACATTGTACATGGTGATTAAAGAATTCGTTCCTGCCGGTATTATGATAATGGGCGTTCTAGACACCCTCTTTTGCAGGCCTCCCGGGGGCGGGCGGGCGGCGCTTATCGGCAAAGGCGCCTGCGGTGCAGGAGCTGTAGGTCTGTTGGCCTTCGCTGAGCCCTCGGTGACAGATTTCAGCGACATACCGTGGTAGGTACCCATGGTGTTAATTTCGAAGCCCTCGGTTTCTACAAATCCCCATTAAACACGAATTTAACTCGAAGTATACGAAAGTTTATACCTTCTTTTTGTCTGTTAAATCTTTCCTGATCGTATCTGTTGTACACGGAAGGCTGCGTAGTGGCTCGTAATGGAGTTTGTCTGGGCGTAACTTGAGGCGGTTGTTGAGGAGGCCGTTGTCTTCCCTCTTCCCTCGCTTTTATACTAGTCAACATTGCTATTATATTCTTAGCAAACGTCTGCAAACGATTATCGATCAGTATATCGAATACTTATTATGTTAATTATAATTACTTTTCCGGTACTTTGTAAAATAGTCGTACGAGTCCTCCATTGCCTTTCCCTACTAATTATATCTTTAGTTATGTCGACATCGAGATCCAAGATGGCACTGATATCGTACTCTTGGCTGTCGTCATTGGCCTTGATGGTGGTTCTCTTTTTGGCTAAACGTTTCGCTTTGATTGCGGCGATTTTTTCAACGGACATGGCATCGGAAAGAGATCTAAAAATGATCGTGGTAACTATAATATTTGGATATTTGGAATTAACCCTTACTTGATGTTATCGACGGTAACCGAAGCCTCTTTGGGCCCGTCCAATTTGGCTGCGAGTTTCTCTCGAACCTTCTGCACGTGAATGTCCTCGAACCTTGGCTTTTTGGCCAAACTTTCAGGGCCATCGTAATCGGCTGATCGTTTAACTTGCGTTGGTATTTCCAAAGGAGCGCTTTTATCGATTGCAGGACAACTGGCTGTTTCGCCATTTAGGTATGCTAATAATTCTTTTCTATCGGGTCTTCGTACTACTGGTATATTCTCCGCAGCTGCTTGTCTTACGTAGACAGGATGCGTTAAGGATACGTTCTTTAAAATAAAGAGCAAACATTCTAAGGTATAATACTCTTTGGGGGTGCCGTCTTTTCCGGATCTACGAGAATTCAAAGTAAAATAAGGCGAGTTTGAAGGACCTATTTCGGATGAAAGCGTGGTTATTACTTACCCCCACATAAGGTAATTTGTTTTGACATTCTTGGGCCAGGAGAATTCTCCAAATATAATCTGCCCATCTCTTTCGATAATTTCCTTTTTGTTAACATTATATTGTCGCAACAAACTCAATGGATCCGCCATTTTTGTTTACTACTTTCTCATTACTACCAACATAAAAATCAAAACCAACTGTCAAAATAAATCAAAATCTAAGAAAATAGAAGAATTGTTTTGATTTGACATTTGTGACATTTGTCAACAAACGTCAATGAATGTAAAGTATGGCCGATTCGGAACGGAATCGTTTCGAAAATATGAGAGGTTCAAAAGGTCCTTGCGTGGTGACCATCAACAAAACTGAGACTGGTTTCGGTTTCAACGTCAGGGGACAGGTGAGCGAGGGCGGTCAACTTAGGAGCATCAACGGGGAACTGTACGCCCCCCTGCAACATGTCAGCGCAGTCCTCGAACGGGGGGCCGCCGAAAGGGCCGGCGTCCGCAAAGGCGATCGAATTTTGGAAGTGTAAGTGCCCGAAAACACGCGAATCGCGGCTCGCGTTCTGTTTTAATTCAGTTCGAAAGTATCGATTTTTTTTATTGGTTTGTGTGACGTTTGACGTGTTTGCACAGGGTGCTCTCGAATTACTGGGTGATATTTCTAAGATAACTTTGAATTAAAATGTATCTACTGGTATAAACAAACAGCACCTTGGGGAATGTGCTCGGTGTAGTACTTGAAAACAAGAGTAGTATCAAAATATTATCAATATGTTCGAGCATTTAATTCATGCTGTTTGTGACATTCCTGAATGTAATTTTAAGTACTAGAGAAATACTTTTATTTATTTATAAAATACATATTCTTGTGGGGTATTATCTTGCTTAAAAACACATTTTTTTAAGCTCAACAACACCCTGTATCGTGGAATATTTGATAAACAAACACTACTCGTAAAGAGCATTAACCTATTATTGCTCAATTAAAACCTTATTATAATTCCGTTGTTTTAATTGAGTAATCCAATTCGAGATAAGATCACTTTCATTGACCTTTCCAATATTACCAATGGGATTTTACATTTTACGATTTATTTTATTATTTTCAGAAATGGTGTAAACGTGGAGGGCGCCACTCACAAGCAAGTGGTGGATTTAATAAAATCCGGTGGGGATGTCTTGACTTTAACTCTCATTTCAGTAACCCAACAGGTGGGTAACATTTATTATTTTCGTTAGAATATCGTGTACACGAATTAATTTGCAGGAAGCGGAACGTCTGGAACCCACCGAAGAGAACCCAACCTACTATGACTACAGCGAAAAGAGATCTTTACCAATCAGTATTCCCGATTATCAACACAACGAGCGAAGCAACGAGAAATACGTTTCGTTCAACATCTACATGGCCGGAAGGCACTTGTGCTCGAGGAGGTACAGGGAATTCGCCAAATTGCACGACGATCTCAAGAAAGAATTCTTAGGTACAAATCCTACACATTGTAACACCTTTCCGGATTAAATTAGTAACACTTTTTGCAGGGTTCTCGTTTCCGAAATTGCCCGGCAAGTGGCCCTTTACGATGAGCGAACAACAACTGGACGCGCGCCGCAGAGGTTTAGAGCAATACTTGGAGCGAGTTTGCGCCGTTAGAGTCATCGCCGAATCGGACGTTATGCAGGAATTCCTGACGGACCAGGACGACGAGAACAACACCAGTCCTGTGGATTTAAAGGTATGCTTGCCTTCCTCGAAAGAGGTAGTTTTGCACCCTTTGCCGGTGATGAGGGGTGATTTTAGTTTGGGGATGACAAGATGAGGTATTAGGCTAGTTTTGTTTGAAATTTCATGTTTGTAACTCGGTTATTTCTCGTTTACAAAAGCGGTGTATATATTAGAGAATTTCTATTGTAGATATTACTACCCGATAGAGAAATAGTGACGGTGTCTTTGAAAAAGAGCGCCAATGCGGACGAAGTGTACGAAGCGGTGGTTAGGAAAATCGGCATGAGCAGAAAGGTGTCTTGCTATTTTTATCTGTTTGAAATTGTCGAATATAATTTCGGTGAGTACCGAGCAGGCAATCGATGAGATCGCCCTCTAATTATAATTTTTTTCGTTGCAGAGAGGAAGCTCCAGCCGAACGAATATCCGCATAATCTATACATACAAAATTACAGCGCAGCTATAAACACTTGTTTGTGCATAAGGAAATGGCTGTTTTCCATTAACAAAGAGTATACGTTGATGAATGATCCACAAGCCACTTCTTACGTATTTTGGCAAGTAAGTTATCTACGAGGTTAGAATGAAAAGTTTTGGACCATATAGAACGTTTAGAGCAATCTATAACGCTGCAGAATCGTTAAAAACTGTCTAGAACCATTTAGTACGCTCCAGAATCATTTAAAACTGTGTTGTACCTTTTAGAACGCTTCAGGATCAATTAGAACTGTCCAGAATAATTTAGAATACACCAGAATCATTTAAAACTGTCTTCAACTATTTAGAAAGCCCAAGAATCAGTAAGAACTCTCCAGAGTCATTCAGAATGCTTCAGGATCATTTAAAACTGTCCAGAATCATTTAGAACTGTCTAGATCTGTTTAGAACACTCTAGAACTATGTAGAATCATTTAGAACTCTCAAGAATCATTCATAATGCTTCAGATTCGTTTAGAACGCTCCAGAATCATTTAAAACTATCTAGCACCATTTGGAACGCTCTAGAATCATTTAGAACTGTCTCGAACTAAAGGCTCATTATTATATTTCAGGCGGTAGACGACGTCAATCGAGGCTGCATCAACGCCGGCGAGCGTTTGTACCAGCTCAAAGCGCTGCAGGACGAGACGCGCGCCGCCGAGTACTTGAAATTGGCGAGGGAATTGCCCGGCTACGGGGACATCGTCTTCCCTCCGTGCAAGTGCGATTCGCGCAAAGACGGTCACGTGGCGCTCTGCGTCGGGACGGCGGGCGTCGAATTGCGGGCGTGCAGGGAGGACGGCACGTCGGAGAACCAATCGGTGTCGTTGCAGTGGGACAGCGTCAGGCAATGGGAAGTCGACGAGGAAGGTACGGTGTAGATGTTCGGAAATAACGGTTGAGCTGGCAACATTGCATACGTTAATTCTGGAATATCTAGAATGTTATTAGCAGATGATGAAGTTAGGGCATATCTACTACACTACTGTTACATTTCTACTACAGTACTTCATCCGATAGTTCGGGGATTTGACCGGACAGTTCTAGATTCTAGATAAGCCCTTTGCTTCAGCATTTGTCCCTAATAATTTTCCATATTATAATTATTGATTTTATTGTTGTAGGTATGGCGTTCTGTTTGAAGTACAATAGGCCCGACAAAACTCCTAAATGGTTAAAAATATTCTCCCCGTATGTAAGTATACATTTCAATCTTGTAGTCATTAAATTAAGTAGATTCATTTACAGTTGGTGCAAAATATACGTGTATTGATATTTGTTTTGCACCAATTGCATGTATAAAACTTAAGGTTTATTTCTTTACTATACTTACATAACTTTTGACTCTAATTTCTCAGTACATCTACTTATTGGACTGTTTCGAGAGGATTGTAGAAGAAAACAAATGGCCGGACGCCGGTGATTGATCCCCTCCTTGAATCGTTTAATTCGTCGTATCCTTTTTTTTTATTATTTCGAGGAACATTTATTAGACTCGTCAAAGAAACATCATCAATTAATCGTTTCTTCAATCTATATTTACATTTGTATGGATGTTGTATACTCGGTGTTCTTGGCGCGTACGAAATTTGTTTTGTATACGAATTCAGTATTAATTGAAATACTCTTGTTGGAAATGTTTAACAATTGGTTTAGTAAAAGTCGATGCGTTAAGTGCAGAGGGATCGGTACATGATGGTATGTACATAATTATCGTTTGCGGAATAATAAAATTGTACTTAAATTGATCGCTCTGCGTAAAGAAAATTCCATCCTGTTTTTTTTTGTGTTGAAGAGGCAAATGTAGATTTTTTTCGTCCGTCCCAAGAACGATTCATGGAAAAAATCCCAAACTATTATCATTGTGATTTTATATTTCTATTATAATTGTAATTAGCTTTAAAAGCACATATTCGTTGTACATATAGAATTCGATGTAGCGGAATAGTTATGAAAGAATAAACTCTCTATTTGCAATACATGATACATATACTTATCGATAAAACGTAAAACACGTAAGAGTAAAGCTTTGTTAGTTGTAATTTTTATTTTTTTACTACATTTATCGTTATAATAAGACGGAGTGTTGAATGGTAGTTAATGAGGAATTTAGAAATGAACATATCCATTAATAAAATGCAGAATTTTTCAATGTAACAAACAATTTAAATGCACATTTTCCATGTTAATTACTTATTCATACACTTTGTTTTCAGAAAAGTTGAAGGTTGCAGAGAAAAAACATTCTAATGTCTTGCGAGATAATTTTTGTAATTCTTCTATAGCTCTCTATTGGAATTGATTCGATACATTTTATAGGAAAAATCTCTTTACTGATTAGTTAAATAGTTTACAGTAGAATATGTTTTATTAAGAAATTTGACTAAAAATATGTATAAGTATATATTGAGTTAACTGTTGGTTAGTTGAATTGCTTGAAAAGTCAGGAAATGTTAAAATTGAATTTATATTAAATAAGATTTAGATGTTGTTTGGGAAAAATACGAAGACATTTTTAAATAATTCGCATTTTTCCACATAGGTCAATTAGTCAATTCTACAGACGCCTTCTCAAATATTTTAACTCGTATATTTGCGCTACTTTTAGTTAAGACTTGAAATTTATAGTTCCTTTAACATCGCAGTAATTTTATTGTTAGGTAAATTTGGCAGTTGGCTCTATATTTATTTTTAAGACCAACAAATTTGGATTATTCAAGCTTTGCTTTCGATACAACTTAATTACTTTGTACGTATGATTTAAACGTTAACTGCCGCAGTTTACACTTTAAGAAAACATATATTTTATTGTTTGAATACTCACTTGAGATAGGTAAAAATAAATTATCGATTCGATGTAATCATATTCGTTTATAGGTGAATTAGAAAAAAAACTTAAATTAGACCCGGAATCTCTTACTAACCCTTTTTTTACTACATTCAAATCAAATCGTTTGTGTTTTTCATATCATTCTAATTGTTTACGCAGATTTATTTTTTCGATGCCATGATTGGTGTTCAAACGAATTGAATATATATTGTGTTAATGAAAATTCAAATTTTATTTGAGAAATGAACTGTTTATTAACATTTGGCTGTTATATGCACGAAAATTCAAAAATAAACGTGTTATTTAAAGAGGAACGTCGTTGTGATTGTTCCATTATTCAACCAAATCCTCCACGAAGGCGATTTTAAGTAGTACCTCGAATCCTATTCCTCTCCGAGCAAATTCTCCATCTTATTTCCGAACCTTCTTCGTTTTGTTCGAGTATATTTTAACGTAGAATTTGCACCGTTTGTTCGAGTTTTCAGTGAAAGTTTTCGTCAAATGAGAGGTGTAGTGCAAGTTAAGTTCCTTGCCTGTTGGGAAATTCTTCCCGCAGAACGGGCACGTTGTTAACTTTGTTTGTTGCTTAAAATGTAAAGGGAGGTGGGATTTACGTCCGGCATTACTCGTAAAACCTACAAATAAATATTTAAGTTAATTTGTAATGTTACTAACGCGTTTAAGCTCACTATTATGGCAAACGTAACACAAGTAGTTCAATTTTTCTTTGTACTCAGGGGTGTTATCCGAGTCGTATATGATTTCAATTTGATTGTAATTACTAGCTTTCGTGATATTATCTAAGATCGTTTTATCTAAATCATCAATTCCTCTGCATTCGGGGTAGGTGTCTTCCTTTATTTTGCTCGGTTTCTGGTTCTCTTTAACCCAAAGGCACTTCTTACTCCTTCGATTGATTAAACTGTTCTCCGTTCGATTCTCTAAATTGGAATCTCTAAGTTTGCTCCTCAAGGCGAATCGGTTGGAGGCTTTCTTGTGGTAAAGCATATTCTTGCAATTATCTTCGTTATTATCTATACCAAATTGTTTACTAATAAATTCGTAGCAATCGTTCCCGTTCTCGAACTCGTATTCGGACTTTAAGCCGACGTTTATGTGGGCCAGGAATTCGTTTTTCGAACAGACATCCAGATCGGGCCTGCAACTCATTTTTAAACTATTAATTTAGCTAAAATTAAACTCAATTTCACACGTATTATTCCTTAATAATTAGTTTTGTTTGACAAATTCAAGTCGAGTGTCGAGTTGACGTTAACGTCAATGTCATATGTCAATAGTAAAGACAGCATAGAACATTAAATGAAGAAACACGGAACTTCAAAAAGGAAGAGAATCCTAAAGTGACATCTGCCGGAAATGGATTTGTTATTCTTCTTTTCTTTATAACGACTCGTTTTATGTGGATATGAAGGTATAAGTGGGATTTTATAATTTTGTAACTTGGTTTATTTTTGAATCCTTTTTTGATCGCGCGAAATTTGTATAAATTTGTTTTTAATTTTTCATGTTTGAGTTTTCGTTATACTTCGTTATACAACCCTGGCCGCAATAGTCAGCTTATCAGAATTTTAACGCAAAAAACAGCAAATTTCCCCCTCCTCCCTCCAGCTTTAGAAAAACGTTATCGATAATGGATCCCGATAATCGATCCCGTTTGTCTAGTGCGAATTGTATTTTATAACGTCGGGGTAAATTGATTTTTGTGATTAAACTTTAGTAATTTAATTGTTTGTTTTAGTTCGTGGTGTTGTTCTTAATTTAGTTAATTCTTAGTGTTCTTCTCTTACAATTAGTTTAGTTAGTGCTTTTGTTAGTGATGTTCTGGAACAATTAACTGCCACACGCGTTAAATGGGATTAAGACCAATCACTATGAACTTCACTTTTCTTCGGCAACAAAACAGGTGAGCTAATATTTCTTTCGAATTTAACGCTTATCTTCTTCTATGGTTTGAAAATCCCCGTTTACTTTTCAAATTTATCCATTAATATAAAAATTTGGAGACCATATTGAATAAATTAGTAATAAACAAATTCAAATATCGACAATTTGTCGATTCTAATCTACAGTAAATGTAAAGGGGTTTCACCCACCCTCCAAGCATTTATAACCGTACGAACGAGGAATATTCAACCCCATTCGAATATTAACAGAACAACTCGGGCTCTTCATTTTCCACGTAGCTAATTCCAAACAGCAAAACACGTATACAAACTCATCGTCCCGAAACTGGAAAAAAGACGGTCGCAAGTCGAGCGACTGCAGCCCGTCTAGTTTCGTTTGCGTGATGCCAGACAACTCTGACACCTTGTTTCGGTCGGTGTTTACTGCATTGCACATACTCCATGCAAATTCCCTTTCCGAAATGAATATTAAACTGACACCTCGAGAAATTACGATGGCGTAAAATGTGTCTGGCCGTGCCGTGATTGCGAAACTTATGATAGGAATGAGGGGTTGAATCCACCATCGCGAATTAATACCTGCTTACTCGTTATGCGCCAGCGGACTTGCCATTTTTTTTCCTGCGAGCATATTTTAAAATCGAGTCGTTTTTATGCATTAAAGCCGTAACTCTAGTAGCCCCGTCACGTGACTAACCTGTCGATGAGGTGCTAAAAGCGTCGCGACGGCGACGTCGGCGTGACCGCCGAATTCTCCTTGCAGGAACGGATCTAATGCACCCGCGAATTCCACCATCATCACATCGGGAACTAGCGATTTTTATCTACAATAAAATTAATCTAGTTACTTCATTAATCATTAACAATTCGATGAAATAAGCGGATTTTTTAGCGCAGGAATTTCGCTGCAAAATCGAGTACAGTCCTGTCAGTGCTCTCCCTAAAGGTAAAGCCCTGATAGTTATCCGAACCTATCGTTTATTTAGTGAGAAGGTGAGAGTGGAATATCTAAAAGGGCTTTGTCAGAGACCGCGAAATAGATGTTCAATATCGTCTCCAGGAAGGTTTTATGCGCATAAATAAAACTTCCAGTAAATCGTGAAACAAGAAACTACTGCGCTAAACTTACAAATACAATTTATATATTTTAGTATTACTACTATAAGTACACATTTTCTCCGTTATATATATTTTTTTAAATGCATTTTCAAAGACACCAGGAAGCGAACGGTGCTCCAGGAACGGTTCGATTCGTCCCGGGACGACTTTAATTACATCCGCGAATCGTCCGCTTCGAATAATAAGCGACTTACTCGCGGCCAATTTCGAATTCAATTAAACTTGCCAGCCCGATAGTTAACCCGCGTTGCATCGCACGCGAAACAGTACCGAGCAATAACAATAATAATAAACTTTGCACGACGATCGGCGGGAACTTTGACGAGACGTGTGCATGTTCTGCAACGTGAAAACGCATATCGAAGGCGGAAGCTTGCACGCGTTGTTAATCCCGACTTCATCGTCTTTGCGCTATCCCAAATGCCAGTCGCTTTACTCTAACTAAACAACTAAAACTACAAAAGAGAACGAAAACATATTTCGCACATTCGAATTCGGCGGGCGGCTAAATTTTTGATTCGATCTCCGGGTTGTTTATCGGATACATTTTCGCGGGCGCCGCTACCCCAATTCGACCGGCAACGAATCCAATTTGGCACCAATCAAGACCTGCCCGTCACCCGTCACGCGACAGGAAGGATACAACCTCAAAGTGCAATGGCGTGCGCGTCAAATTAATGTGTAAATTACATTTTTTTCGATGTCGCGCGACGACGCCGGGAATATACCATGCATTATTTACGGGTTCATGTCTTCTCGCGAATCGGTGTAACTTCAATTTGACGGGTTAGAGTTTTGCTATTATCGTGAAATGTCTCCGTGCTTGTGATCTCATGATTTTGTGGTAATAGATGGGAGTAGAAGAGAGTAAAAGAGAGCAGAAGGGAGCAGAAGGGAGCAGAAGGGAGCAGAAGGGAGCAGAAGGGAGCAGAAGAGAGCAGAAGAGAGCAGAAGAGAGCAGAAGAGAGCAGAAGAGAGCAGAAGAGAGCAGAACAGAGCAGAACAGAGCAGAACAGAGCAGAAGAGAGCAGAAGAGAGCAGAACAGAGCAGAAGAGAGCAGAAGAGAGCAGAAGAGAACAGAAGAGAGCAGAAGAGAGCAGAAGAGAGCAGAAGAGAGCAGAAGAGAGCAGAAGAGAGCAGAAGAGAGCAGAAGAGAGCAGAAGAGAGCAGAAGAGAGCAGAAGAGAGCAGAAGAGAGCAGAAGAGAGCAGAAGAGAGCAGAAGAGAGCAGAAGAGAGCAGAAGAGAGCAGAAGAGAGCAGAAGAGAGCAGAAGAGAGCAGAAGAGAGCAGAAGAGAGCAGAAGAGAGCAGAAGAGAGCAGAAGAGAGCAGAAGAGAGCAGAATAAGAGAGTAGAAGAACATATCCTACTCTACTAAAATCACTGTATCCCGAAAATGAGCTAAATTGAATATAACTCCGAGTTTCGATATTTTTTTTTTGAAACGGGGAAAATCGAAACGGTGAGAAAGAAAATCTGGAGCGAATATTTTAAAGGAGGCCCGTCAAACCGGGTAGACAAACAACATTAACCTTATCTGCTTGCGACTTTGTCCCCGAATTCAAATAAACGGCCGCGAAATTCATTTTCGTCCGAAAAGAGATGAAGTTAATTAAAGTTTTCGGAGATCTGTCCGATATAGGGGGAGGAAACGTCGGAAAGTGCGGTTCTCATTTTAAAGTTTCTCCCGACCGAGTCGCAGATAATGCTTCGAATTCGCTTCTTCGATTTCGTTTTTTTTTCCACTCTCCGAGGTTCATTAATAGGCGCTATTTGTACACCTAACATACGCGACGGAATCGCTGTTCTTTCGTACGAAATTAACTCGCCCAGACTATCGCAATTTCCCTGTTGCTATTCGCCTGGTTTTCTAGCAGACGAGCTCCGACAAAACATATTTGATCCGGCATCATTAACGACGATATTTTCCGCTCCGGTAAACGCTCCGGAGCCGACTCATAGGCGCGCCCACTTCATCACGTACATCCCGAAATTACCCCCGATATTCCCTAAACAATTATTTCCTCCTACATACCATTTAATTCTATAGTAGATATACTTGTGGTAGAATAGTCATCTTTAACTCACTTACCGAGCTAGTACTGATAGTGTTAGGGGATGAAATGAACTTGGGCCGTCTCTGATGGCGCGGGCATCGTCTTCGAAGGGTGCATTTTTACAGGATTGTTTCTCATTTCGCGGCTCACTAACGTCGGTGTTTACATCAATCTGTAGTGAAAATAATTTGCATGTATTAGAGCAATTAAAGGCGCGAGTCTTGAGGGGCCGGGCGGCCGGAGTCCCCGGAGGATCGGGCCCAACAATGGAGGTCGGAATTGAACGGCGGCATCGTATAAATGAATTTTTAATATCAATAAGGCTCGAAGTTGAATAAATATTTGCGAAAAAGTGAAAGGGAGGGAAAGGGAAATTCAATTAGATGGTTTGTTTTTCCGCTCATTTGGCCATTGTTCTCGATTCCGGGCGATAGGGAGCGGTTTTTGTGCGCCGTATAATTGGAGCCCTTTTCCGCGGAAAGTCGTCGATTATGGAAATTCGGTCATCACACGCTAAATTTGCCTTAAAAATATAAACACCGCGGTATTGTTAGAGACGACGGGGAGGAATAAATTATTCCCCGACAACCGATAAAAATAACAATAATAAACTTTCCATTCGTGCGGCAACAAAAAGCTCGACGAACTCGAACTGCTCCGTGAATGGCTGGTGATTAAGATTTTCGTTATGCCGGAATTTTCCGGGCAGAGAAGTTTCAAAGTGGCTGGTACACGCCTTCTTGTTTATGCGCCGAGAAGAAGAAGAACCGATCGCTGATTAGGATTTCGGCGGGGCGTAATTAAAACAGTTTTTTTTCCATCCCTTCGCAATGCCGCGCGATCTCGGCAAGACAAAGGTCTCATCAACGGGCTCAAAATATCCGTTAAATAAAGCGCGAGAGCTCCACAATGGGCTCCGTTTCGGGAAGAGCTCAGATAGGCAATCAGTGGTGGTACTTTTAAAAAAATAATTTTTTTAGCCGTTACTCAGTTATAGGTATTTAATAGATAGTTTAGACAATCAATCAATGAGTTAGTTTTGTAATCCCGTAGGTGAGGCTATTGATTTTAATCCAGGATTTAAAAGATTGTAGGAGTTTTCTTGGAGGGCTTTAAAATGTTTCGAGACGCCGCTGAGGTACACGTTATAAAGTGAAAATTACTCGCTGAGTAATTTATGAAAACGTAATGACTTTCTCTGGAAAAGCTCGTTAATCAAAGAAAAGGACACAAAAGTTGCTCCGTTGTAAATCGGGAACTTCTGGATTATCATCAGCTCTAAATAACTAGTTTGGAGATAAACTCTTTCGGGTTTTCTCTCCATCCCGTGGCGATATTTGGGAGAGATTGGGTCAGATAAACGGGGAAGATTGCTCCTGTATACGCGCTGCGGGAAACGCGATTTTTGAATTCGGAATTTCCCACCCAAAAGAAAAACACTAGCCCTTATTTTTCCTCCCACGAGCACGTTCGTAATCGGAAAAACCATCAATTATGCGCCGCATCATCGACTCGAACAATTTTCAATGCCGGCCTAATTCGAATTAGAATAACAAGTTTTTCATTGGGTAACCTATTTGGACTACACTGTAAATATTCAGCATAAACATAACGCGACGAAATAGAGAGTTGAATTGTTCAAAAACCGAATTTTTAGAGTGTACTTCTAGTCGAACGCGAAGAATAAGTAAATCATTAGTCGAACAGGAAGGATCTTTATAGGCTCTGATCGGGATAACGATTAAGGGAATGATTGATTGGCGTTGGATTTTTCCCAGTTTTTTCGGATCAATCCGATGTAGCTCGATTTTTTATCGCCTCTTCTGGGATTAAGGGGACGACTTTTTTTTTAGATAATCAACGATTCTGACGTTTTAAAGAAAATTCACAACCAAATGATGTTACCGGGGAAGTAATTGGCATATATACCACGCCATTGGCGTTACGTCTCTTGGAATAAATAACCGCCGGAATTCAACCCTTCCAGGTGACGGGAACGTGCCAGGGTGGTCCGTCGGAGAGCCGGAAAATGCGCGAATATTTGCGGCGAGGAAATCAATTATTAAAATTCTATCGCTTCCAGGGGATTCCCGCTGTTTCGTAATATCCGCGCTGCGGCTCGTTGAGGTCGAGTTGACAGCGCTTAAGGGTAGATGCAGAAACTATTTATATGTCGTTGGACGGGGCTAAAAAATTACATTCGAATTGTACCTGTTGGCGCAATAAACAATTGTAGGGGGTGTTGTTAAGAGCGATAAGAATGATGCAGAGGAAATTTGTGCAGTATGAAAATAGTTTAAAATTCGCTGTTGTGAAGCGAATCGATTTCCCCAAGGAAGGGATGGTAATAATTAAGTTGTCTAATTTGAAACGAAAAACGTAGCGTTTTAGCTTCCACGGCACGCTACGGCGCAAACAGACACGAACGTAAAACCAATCACGACAAGCGAAAAAAAAAAGTTTGAAAATTCCTTATTTTAAAATTCTTCTTATTTTAACCCGACTAAACAACCGGAGCGAAACTACAATCGAAATTCGAAATTTATTATTTACGTGTTGGTACACAGAGCGCACGCAGGGGGCGAGTACGGCACAAAAGGAGGAAGAGCAGGAAGAAACAATATATCGCGTCCGGGCAGTAAAGCGAATGAAAAATGCCATCCCTTCGAGGGCTGAAACTTTAATTGAAATGCCCTCGGCTGTGCCATGTCTTTGACTGCGACTTCCCGACTCGTCGCGGGGGTTGTTGCATCCCTTTTGTTCGGGAGTTGTACACACACGTGCGAGTTTCGATTCCCCGTCGGGGAAGTTACAAAAGGTAAGTTTTACTGCGCGGAAGTTGGGTAATTAGCTGGCCCTTTGGGGCGGAACCAGCACCATTTTTATCTAGGATCCCTGCGAAATTCCAACCACAATTAAATCCGATTGTAGTCGAAACGGTATTGCGTTTACACCATCTTATTGACCTTTTTTTTTTCTTTTTGGTGAAAGTTATATTAAAAAAGTTTCACCGTAAAAGGCGTTGATTGGGCTGATTAAACCGGAGGAAAGTCCTTTTTATACCAATTGCCTATTGTTGTAATGAGAATTCTCCAAAATTACTATACTATTTTTACCAATATACTCTTGTATTCCACTTAGAGTTTCCTTAAAGACAAAGCCCTGCTATTCTACAAGCTTTAATCAGGATGCAGTATGCAAAATTCAATAGAGAAGAAACTGAATTGATCAATAAATAGACTGGATAGCGAAAAAACTGGATTAAAAGAGAAATTGGAAGTTATACTATGAGATCAACTATTGTAAAATCCTCTAATCAAGACAAAAACTTGGGCAATATATTCATAGTGAAAAACGCGGAATCTTCCAAATTAATGGCGCAAATTTTTTTGTTGTCGACCTCGATTTCATCTTCCAATCTCTTTACAAATCTAGCAAATATATAACACCTCTCCGGCACCGCCGCCGCCAGACGGCTTCCTCCGGGTTCGGGCTGCATTCGAAATGAAAATTGATTAAACCGCAGCGTATCCGACAGCATACGCAATTTCTCTGCGGCGAGCGAGGCAACAAAAAACGCTCCAGACAAAACCAATCTATCTAATAGATCACACCCGCAGCTCCTCTCCGACTTCCAAAAAGAATATATATTCAATTTCCTGTTGACAACGGCCGACTTCTCGTCTACACGCCGTGTTTTCCGCAAGTTTCGACTTCCATACGGCGACATTTTTCACATCGACAGCTCTAATGCAACGCACCGTGGCCCTTCATACTCACCAAACGGACCAAACCGAGTAGCATCAATAACCTATACATAATTCCACACCAACTTCACTCGCAATTTCATTAATTTCGTGGAATTTAATTAGAGTAATGGATAAGTAGGGATTCGGTCCAAGTATTGACCCGATTTTGACCCGCGCATTTCGCAAAAACAAATAACTTTAGAGCGTGTAGGAGCGAAATCGTACAGTGGCGACCGCAGACAGAGGAAGCCGGGGAGTTGTGTACCGGACGTCCGGCGGCCCGTCGGGGATCCGCCATATCTCACGCGGCGCCGCGACGCCTCCGAAACCGCCCGTTCGCCCACCGGGTAAGCCGCTGTCGATGGTTTTCTTCCGGAGATATGCGATCGACACTCACGACCGTTGAAGCTGCTTCTGATATAAGAATGTAGCAGCGAGCCAGATCGAATCGAACGTAAATAAAGCTGCACCAGTTAAGTAGATAAATGAAGCGCTTGGGTATGAATTTTCTTTTGGATAAAATCGTTTTTCTGTCGGCGAAAAATTCGTTTGGCTATTGCGAAGGCCTTATGTATGCAGAAAAGGGACGTTCATTATAAAATAATCGTGTATATGCAAGAATTTCCGTGCGATTTATACGAAGGCAATAATGCAGATATGGCGAAAAGCGCTTAAGCCGATCGTAGGAAAAACGAAAAACGCTGCGCTGGACACGGAAATCTCCATTTCGACTGGAACGGAATTTTCGCAAAAGATCCAATTAAACGGCAATTTTTCGAAGTTCTTAGCTTTTTGAACCAGTCAACGACAACACAAAATTTCCTGCGATTACCTACACATCTTGTGCATAACACGAAACTAATATTGCGTTAATTTATAGCGGTGTTGCCAGGTGTACTAATAATCCGGAGGTGTCCGTTTGGTATCGGAATCCCCATCGCCTGGACTAAGCGAAATTCAGCCGAGATCCAATTAAGTAGCAAATTTTAAAAAGTCTCCACGACCGAGCGGACCCGTTGAAGAAGATTTCCTATAATTGAATTCCACGATAAGGATGTTATTTTTTTTATTTCCGGCGGAAAGCCGGTCGTTTCAGTTTGGAGAATCCGACCATAATTGGGCGAACCTTCTCTCTTTTCTCATATAAATGCATAAACTCCCATCAATATTCAATTCGGTTGAAAAATTTTCGCTCAAGAGCGGCTAATTTCTGCGGATTTTCTCGGCCCCGAGGAAAGCGCTCCTCTTCTTTTTTTTATTATTTATGGACTATTTTGGTCGGCGGTTTTTCCTTATCCGATTCCCCGGGACCAGGATTATTTCTAGATTGGTTCCCTTCGCATTCACCAATCGAATTTACCATTCAACTTACTTTAATTATAGCGAAAAAATGTAATCGGGGATTAACTCTAACGAAGAGCATTTGTCTTTTGTATCGCGATTCGTTTGTTTGCTTTGGAAAAATCGACTGTAACAACTGAAAGAAAAGCTTGATGGGTGTCTGGGACATAAATTCCATTCGACACTGCGAAAACAAATGGGGCAAAACGGAGGTTGATTCATTGCAGCGAGGAAATAAGACGCGCAGTTTTCCAGCTGAAACCAGCGGCGTTTCGAAGGGGTTTTAATCGAAGTTCGAATTAATATCACTGTCTCAGAACGCCGCTGGTGGTGTGCTTTCTCGCGGGACTTGATCCGCTGGGCAGGGACCATGTTTCTTCATAAAAACTTTCCCGTCCGGAGGGAATAGCGGAGGAGAATGCATCGGCGATTTATATTAAGAGTGGCATCGGAAATTATTTGCACCAGTTATTCTCATTATTAGGTATTTGTCGATAGAAAACGCGTCCTCTCGACTGCGAAACATCTCCCTACTTCGGCCGAACAACAATCATAAATTTTCATTTCTGGGACCTAAATCTTTCTGTCATAAGGAATGCACCGATGAAAAACGACCGGCCGTTTCGCTAGGAGTAAATAAACTAGAGAAAACGCGGGGGAAAATGATACAGATTTCTCTTCCTTGAAGGAAACTACATTAATGCCGCGCACATATGAGAAAAACGCCCTCATTACGCTGATGGAATTGTCTTCCTTCGGTCATCTATTTTCCAAATTACATTTTTTTCCCTCCGCGTTTGTTCTGCAAGTTTTTTCCACAGGAAAACGGCAAGATATATGCTTGCACACATTTACAAACAAGGATAATTTATTCGGTAATAATTATTTTTGCTAATAAATTCAAGTACCTACCCAATTTTGTCAAAAATTACCTGCAAGGTCGACCCGATTGCTCACCCAACCACACCTATCACACCTGTAACACTTCTGATAAGAACATCGAATAACTGTTACATGTCGATATATTATCGTGGTTATTCAATACCTTCGCAATGTTGCTCGAGATAATATCGCTGTTAAGTTTCCTGCTGGTGCGCCAGAATTGCAATGCCATAAAATGCTGCGCCACTGTACCGGATTATTACAGAGCGAACGGAAACTGCTGGGATAATCCGGACGCAGAGTCCACTCAAGTAACGGAGCTCTAATTAATAATCGGGCGTAATTATCGCATCGATGTTTGCAGACGGAGATCCTGCAAAGATGGGGGGCCAAGGTTGACGAGCATTTTTTAACTACCGACGATGGGTATGTGATTTTCATGAGCACCGCCAGTTTCAACAAAACCAAATCCACTCCGGTTGTTTTCGGGCACGGGCAACACCATAACGGCGATAGTTTCGTAACTAATTACAACAAATCGCTGGGTGAGTGCAGAATGTGAAATCGAGGAGTTTATTTTATCGAAATTTAATTTTTGTTAGTGTACAATTTACTACAAGATGGTTACGAGGTGAGTATAATAAATTACAGAGGTTCGAAATACAGTAAGGGGCATGTGAATTTGAGTTATTCTGATGAAGCTTATTGGAATTTCGGGTGAGTTCTTTTAGGTAATCACTTTATTCTACATTTCACTTGCTTATTTACTAAACAGTTTTCACGAAATGGCTGTTTACGACTTAAGAAAATGTCTGGAATTCATCTATAGCAGAAATAAAGAAAAATCCATTTACATCGGTTACTCGTTGGGTACTCTTATAAGTTTCGCTTACTCTTCTACGTTTTCTGAAGAAGCCGGGGAATATTTGCAAGGAATTATCTCGTTTGGACCTTTCGCTACGTTAAGTAGAGTTCGATCCTTGTTTAATCCTGGTTTAGTAATTTGGCCTGCTATTAGGGTAATTTGGGATATTTGGTTAGAATATTTCTTTTTATCTTGTGATTTTTTAGCCTTTTTTTAAGCTAGTATTTGGAAATTATTTGCCTAGAGCTGAAGCAGCTTTAGATATCGCTTCTAAATCTCCGCTGGGATGGTTATTTCTTGAGTTTATTGAAAGATTGCCTATAATTGGAATCGATTTAGGACAAATCGATCCGGTAATATCTCGAAATGTGAACCTATTATTATAACCATCGATGTAAATTTTAGAGTTATAAACCGGTACAAGTCTTTTTGTTCGAAGACAAGATACCAATAGGTGTTCTGGATCAGTTATCAGAGCTAAGGAGGTCTGGAAAATTGATTCAAAAGGATTATGGAGTTAAAAATATGGAAGTTTATGGAACACCAACACCGCCTGTTTACGATCTTTCGAAAATAATTGTACCTAACGCTTTATTCGTGGGAAAAGGGGATTTCTTGGGGGATCCTAACGTATGTGGACAATGTTTGCAATACTTAATTTGAGGATAATTAATAATTTTAGGAGGCAACTTTCATATACGAACAATTTACCAACGAGACTCAATGTGGATACGTTTTGATAAAACTAGACGGTTGGTATCATGGAGATTTCCTTTGGGCAAAGGATGGTATCGAGTTACTAGTTAAACCCGTTATGGAAAAAATAAAGCAATTGGAGCAAAATTCTTGCTAAATAATAAATAATAAAGCGTGGTAATTTAGGTTCGGCTGAAAAATGCATTTTGCTCGGGAAAAAAATAATAAATGTTCGGTTAAAAAATTAAAAATGCATGGTTAAATAATGAAAAATGCCTAATAATTATTAAAAAATCGCTTATAATATGATTATAAAAAAATTATTAAAAAATACAAAATATTCAATTTGCATAGTAAATAACTCTCCTACCTCCTCCTACCCTCTGTTACTCCCATCTTCCCTCCAATCCCGCATGTTGATTTTTAACCGAACATTTATTAAATTACAGTGCAGTTTATTAAATTTCATTAAATTACATAATTTATTTTATCCGAAAATTTATTTTCTTATTATGCATTTGGATTAATTACTCGAAAAATTAACTTAGCATTTTGAATTATCTGCTAGTCGTTTATAATGATCCAATAATAAATCGATAAAAGTATTTTCTAATTTATTTGCTCCCTTGGCAAACAGTTTAATGACGATTTCAGCGACAAAAGAAACACTAATACAATTTTCCATTCGAGCAAAGTACACCAGGAAAATAACACCCAACAACCTCGCTTTCGAGACAGCGCTGAAAAATCTCATCACAAAGAGAAAAACACACAACACGCGCGGTTGCATTTCTTGTCCGGCCAGAAATTATTACATTAATTGAATTTCATTACGGCGGAGCTGCAAGTCGGGACCTGAAAAAAGGAGCTTCGAAACGGGCGCGATATTCCCGGAGTATTACTTTTTGTCTTTCGCCTTCGGCTAAGATTTCGCAATTTCATTACTTTCTTCGTCGGATTTAATGCGACATCAAGGTGTTAGAGTTAGAGACGAGAGCTGCGGAATAGGCAAAAAAATAGAGCGACTGAATTATATTAGAGCGAGTTTTGCATTCGGAGCACCGGCATGGAGCTCGTTATGGGGTTCTTACAGTGCCAGTCTGCTTAATTCGCATTGTAGGATTTTTCTAACTAAATGCAATAGAAATGGATTTTCTTAGTAACTATATACATCTCTTTATTAAATTAGATGTAGAGCAACTTATTGCTTATAATATCATCAACCAATATCCGGAGATTGCTGGTTAGAGCGTTGGAATTTTCCACATTATCCGCTTAAAAATTCCCTAAACAAACACGCTCGAATGAAAATTAAAATCATAAATCTGGCATAATCCGAGCGAACGTCGTTCCCATCAAAAGCTCTTCGGCGCTCTATATTTTTCTAGTAAATCTCCTGGAAGCGTTCATAGAGCGCGGCTTGACGGATGATGCCGAGTAATCCACTGGTCCAATATTTCCAGCAAACAAAATGGACTGTCAACGCATCCGGCGCGCCGGAATTCTCCTCTATCTTCGCCGCTCATTTGAATCCTCGCGAAGGATAATTGATTCAATGGCGAAGCAGGCCGTTCAAGAATCCAGTCGAGTTAATCGCGGTATTGAGCGAATTGAGTGGAGGTATCAACTAGTGGTGATTGGATGAATTGGTGGAAATTTCGAGCCCCCGGACTATAATTCGGCGATCCATCAAGCGAAAAAAAAAGGAGCCGAATCCGGCGGCGCTGTCATCGGGAAAAATAATAAGAAAAATCGCGGAAAGCGAGGTTGTGATTGATTCGAGCCGTCGGTGTCGCAGGAAAGATTTGTCGTCTGTTTGATGAAGACTTTTCCGAATTTTTTTTTCTCGTTCCAGAATTATGACGGCTGGCTTTTCGTCGCACTGCGAACGTTTTATTGTTATCGCAGAAGAAAAGAAGGGAGTTTATACAGTTTTTTCCGGATTACCTAGTGCATACTTAACTTCGAATCGATCGCAATTATATTCCAATTTACATTATCAACCCCCGTATCAAATCAACCCCCATCTGGCAGACGTAATGTGCATGCACAATATTTGTTCGAAAACGATACACCATGCAACTTCGCTTCGGTTGGGGGAGTTTAACGACATTAAAGATAAAAGTGTTCATTTCGGAGTTTATCGCGTTACGTCAAATTGGCTTATTTCATAATATTTTCGCCTTCGGGTGAATTTTAATTGCAGTCGGAACATCAGACTCGGTGCAGGTGAATGTCGATCGTGGAATTTTCTGAAACATCCCCGATCGCGGTAAACACGAGGGTGGGAAAACTAACTTATCGACGGGTAATTTAATCAACTGTAACAAACGAGATTTGCGGGCAGAGAAGTTCAGTACAAAGTCGTGATCTTTCGCCTCTTCCTGCAGGGGGTGAAGATGATATTGGTAGGTGCATTGACAGGTTTATTAAGTTGCGATAGAGTCGAAAGTGATCAACCAGTGTTTGTAAGATTCGTCGGAAATGCGGGAAAAATCAGATTAAAAGGGAGTTTCGATAAAAGTTATTTTTTCTAATTGAAACAAAGTTTTAATAATCTAAACTGTACTTAAGGGAGTTTCTTTATCGCTTTACGAATTCGAAAATCCAAGAAACTACAAGATACTAGCGGAAGTAGAAGTAAACTTCGTCCGGGAGTTGGGGATCGCTTTAAACGAACGCCGTAATTCATTTTAATTCCTAAAAATAGATAAAAGCTTCCATTATACGACTCCGCAGTATAACTTCAAAGTTAAATAGTAAAAATTGAATATGAGGTCTTTAGTGTCCGCTGCCCTTTTTTTTCTCGTCGACGAGTTCGCGATGATTCCGCAAAGTTTGATGGAGTTTCTCGGTGACTCTTTTCGCAAAGTTACACGGTGGAAACTCTAATGTGAAGTAAACCTAACTTTTAAGTTTCGGGATTAAACGACGTTAATTTGATGAAACAAAAAAAATCTGGGGAATAACGTGTAAAATCTCCCACGATTTTTAAACTTATGCTATCTTCCCTAACAATCTGTTATCATATAGTCGGTTATTTTTCCCACAAAAAGATTTTCCAAATCTGGAACACTCATAAAAATTCCGTCCCATAAATTCCAAACGACATATTCCCGCAGAGAAAAACAAACACAACAGTCATGTCCGAGAAATTTCGGCGGCCATCTCGTCGCCACTCGAAGCATTAAATAATATAAAAGATTGTCGAACGTATTTTCGACGTTTCCTCTCCCGAAACTTCCCAGGTCCGGCGATAAACAACCGAAACTATTTGCATAGGCCCCGACGCCGCCGCTTCAAATAAAACCATTTATCTGCGTATATATTCTGAGCGACGGAGCACTCCGGTTCCGATATAAATAAACCATAAACGAACGCGATAAGACTTGTCTTGCTGGATGGTAAAAATTGCATGTCACATCCGCCATACAAGCCGTAAAATTCGACGCAGACGGTTATAAATGCCTTATCTCTTTCCTATTTAGCCCAGTTTAGTCACCAGAAATACACCAATATTGATCATTCGCTCACTTAAAGTATGTTGTTAGTATTTCATCCTGGCTTCACGTGTAGAATCCAGAAGTATCTGGATAGGTTCAACTCTTTCTTCTGCACTCGAAGATTTTTGTGGTAGATTCATACCGGGCAGAAGTGGGATAACTTGGCAGCCATTGTCCATTAGCTTCATAAGCCCTCTGTCTAGGATTAATTCCTGCGCGGCGGCGATAACTCAATGGGAAGGGTCGTTCTTCTGCGTCATTACTTTTCTAAAATGTCGCCGGGCCGTAACTTCGTTATAAATAAAAAAAGAAAAGGGCATTAGGCGTGTTAATTGACCGTGTTTATTGGCCGAATCGAGGAGATTTATAGCGGCGCTTTCGAAGCGAAAGAGTTGTGCAACTTGTGATCCTTTCGAATGCTCGCTGTATATTCCAGTTTTTGTTTTATTGCTCGAACTAACAGCGTCCCGCCCGAGAGGAAACTATCGAATCTAGGGTAATTCGTCGTTTGAAGCGACATTAAATAATTTACCGGATATAACTAGATTCCGGCGAGTAACCAACCCGATAGCAAACACACACAACATACGCGGAAACTTTCTCTCCCAGCCAAACCGACGAGCGAAACTTACTTCGGGAGTAATTATAATTATTTGACGAGTGCTTCACAATTATTCAATTTGCATAATGTTTCGCAGCAACCGGTTGAACGGGTCGCTAGTTAGACGGCATTTAAAAGATTGTATTTTGTTGCGAGTTTATTAGCTAGTTGCTTTCGTTAATTTTGTCTCTCTTGTTAATTTATCTTCTTCAGAATGAAGCGAATCATTTGCAATAAGCCTCATTTTTCAATCGTATTAACAATATTTCTCTTTTTTGTTGCCGTTAAAACATTTTCTGTCGACAACAAAAAATCGAGGGGATCTTTTAATTTGTACGGCTAATACTTATTGGAAAAGTTTCTTCCATAAAATCCTTTATTGCGCCTGGAGTTCGGAATCGAACGGTGCATTGGAGCTCCTCCAACAGCTTTGTTTTCCTTAACCTGACGGTTTCGTCGCCGAAGAAAATCGACGTTTTCCCGACCAGTCGATGTTCCCCCGGCGAATTTAAAGAAAGTTGTAAATCGACCTCGGAGCCCTTAACTATTAACATGGCAATCCGACGAGAAGACCTTTCGCCCCGTTCCATTTATTATTCACCGAATTACTTGCATCATCCAGTTTAAATATGGAGGGCGTGCGTGAGCCGAATGCCGATGCACTTAATGGAGCCGTGTTCTCTAAATAATAAATGCAATCGCCCGGAGAAAATGGCCGGAAACTCGACGCACCGCCGGTTGGTCCGACTGCCATCGACTGCGGGAAAAACTGGAAAACTGCATACCCGATGTATTACTTTTCGGTTCAATAGCCACGTGGAAAATCCCAAAGGTAACGCTATTGTTTTCCAATAGTACTGAAAATTCTGCTTACGGGATAAAGCTAATAAAAGTCAGTTAAAAGTGGAGTGAAAGGAATAGTAATGTGAGAGTACAGATTATTAGAAAAATTAGTAAATAGATGAGGTAATTGAATAACTTATAGTGCAAATACTATTATACAAATATACCAGCATATTTGTTGTTAATTTCTTCCCTGTTAATTTCAAATTGCATATCACACTTGATCAATTTTGCGCTACCTTTTTTGGGATACCAGTTCCATGGGAGTTGATGCTGTGTCTGGCGGAGTGGTCCCCGCTGTAGGTTTTGTTAAAAATTAGATGGATGGAGTGCCGGGGCGATGTTTTCGATGTATTACATACAAACATGTCGGGGATGAATATTGAATGATCTTGAAAATGACGGCGCGTCGAAAAAAGGTATTTGTTGCCGTGGATTCGAATTACATTCGTATCCGACAGGAAAGGGGAAAAGCGAGCGAGCACTTTGGAAATATGCACGTTGAATTTGTATACATTTTTGTATAATGCTACGGGGTGATACTGCTCACCACACCACGCGAAT